GAATTTATACAATCCTTTAATTTCATATTTTGTTTGCATTTAATGAGAGTTGTTTTGGGAATTACAAATGATTTGTCAAAGGCACTTCAAAGGAAAGATCAAGATATTGTGGTTGCTATGTCCTTGGTCAAATTAAGCAAAGTCCAATTACAAAGGATGAGAGAAAGTGGATGGGATTCTTTACTCAATGAAGTTTCTTCTTTTTGTGTGAAACATGAAATTCCTATTCCTAATATGGATGATATATTTCTACCTCGAGGAAGACTACGATGTAATGCTCATGACAAGTCGACTTTGCATCATTATCGTGTTGATTTGTTTTATTCCATCATAGATATGCAACTTCAAGAGCTAACTAGTCGTTTTACTGAAATAAGTTTCGAGTTGTTGCTTTGTGAGGCTTGCTTGTGTACGAATGATTCATTTTGTGCTTTTGAAAAGCAAAAACTAATCCGCCTTGCTCAATTTTATCCAAAAGAATTTTCTCCACATGCTCTCATGAGACTTGGTGATCAACTTGAGAATTATATTGCGGATATGCACTCTAATAGCTAGTTTGAAAGATTAAAAAGGATTGGTGACCTTGCAAAAAAAAAAAAAATGGTGGAAACCAAAAGAGACAAGGTACTTTCACTAGTTTATTTACTTGTGACATTAGCGTTGATTTTCTGCTATGAATATCGTGAAGAACCGATTGTGCAACAAGATGGGAGATGAATGGATGAGTGACAGCTTGATAGTATATATTGAAAATGAGATATCTAATGGCATAGATAATGAAGGTATCATACGACGTTTTCAAATATGAAAAGTCGTCGAGAACAATTGTGAATGTGCTCAATGGAATGATTCAATGAACAAAAAAAAATATTTTTGCTTATTATGATGATTTGAATTGTAAATGTGCTCAATGGGATCCTTTTGTTGTTTTTGGAACGCCTTTAATGAATTTGCTTAATTATAAATAAAAAAAATTTGTAAATGTGCTCAATGGAATTATCAATGAATGATAATTTTCTTTTTGTTTATTAGGATGGTTTAATATATATATATATATATATATATATATATATATATATATATGATTTATGTTGTTATTAAAAGCCCCCCCCTCCCAACATAATTTTTTGGGTCCGTCACTGTATATATACATCATAGTCATATCGCAACAATGACACACATACCTATAAAATATCATAGCCATATCTTGACAATGGCACAACATAGAATGAGTATAAACTTATTAACCAGCTCACCCACGCTACACACATCACATAGCCATATCCCAACAATGGCATAAAATAGATTGGATCTAACTTATTAGCCAGTCTACCTATACCCATCAATATATCATAGCCATGTCCGAACAATGGCTCTAGAAGAACAACTAATAATATATTATGTATAAGATCATAAAATACAGTAATGAGCATGATTATAGTTATAATACCATCTATGCAATCGTTATAACAATTATAGTAATAATAAATCATATAAACAACTTATAAGTTGATTAGACCCATTATCATCTCATACTTTAATCCTTACCATCTTTCTTTTAAATACATGACCCCCTACACAAACCAGAAAATACTATTAAATTGTTTTACCGAAAACGCCTCACTTTGAAAACTAAGATTTAATTTACATTAGTTGAATAAAGCCATTACCATCACAGATTCTAGCATAATATTGTATATTCTGCATTCTGGAATTTTACCAAGTCTATTAATAACATTTATTTCAATTAAAATGGACAAATACAATTCCTGGACAAAAATAACCAAGAAACGAGTCACAACCCAAACTAGTTGACTGGACTCCCAAACTAGTTGACTGCGTATGAGTCTACTGGGTACCTGATCTAGTTGACTGAATACTAGTCTACTGGGTACCTAATCTAGTTAACTACATATCTACTGGGTATCTGATCTAGTCAATTACGTATTAGTCTACTGGGTATCTAACATAGTTGACTAACTCCTCATGGGTTTGTCTTCTTCCTTGCGACCCCTCTGTAAATCATTCCAACCTTCATCGTTTAAGGTCCTAATTATGCATACTAAGTCCACAAGATCACATTAATTGATACTAAACAATTATATATGATTAAAGCAATTAAAACATAGATTTAGCATGTTAATTTACAAGATTTGATATTGCAAATACATATATATATATATATATATATATATATACAGACACACACACACACACATATACAGAGCAATTACAGCCCGAATTCCATAATTAAAACAAGTTTATATTCTCTGTTTAAATTCCCTAAAGCCAACTAAAAATGCATAGAATAAAGGATCTAAGGGGAAGAGTAGAACATAGAACTTGCCTTAGGTTTTTGGATAAAAAACCAACGTCTAAGCCTCCAGTCTTCCTCTCTAACATCAGTAGCCTTTGGGTTGCCGTCGTCTCTCCTCCTTGCTTCGGTTCTACCCAAGCACGAACCCTCTCTCTTCCGTCTTACTCTTAGATTTTTCTCTCTCTCTCGCGGCTGTCATCTCTCTCACGTTGCCCTCTTCTTCTCTCTCTATTTTCTCACGCCAAAACCCTACCTAAGGCCATAAATGCACACACACATATATATAGCCGCATACTACCTATATACAACCCTAATCCTACGTGACCTATGACAACACAATTATACTTAATAAATATAAATACTACATATAAATAAATAAGTAATAAACATATATATATACATATATACATATATATATATTTATATTTTTTTTGATAAGTATATATATACATATATATACATAACATGCGCGCGCGCGCACACATATATATATACACACCAATGGGCAATGGCCCTTAAGAAATAATCATTTCTAGGCCTTAAGTATTAAGGCCTTGTTCTCTATCATTCCAAGTCTAAGCCTTATCCCAACTACTTAACCCAAAACATTTAAATTAACTAATTATAATAATTGATAAATAACTAATTAAACAAACAAACGATTAAATAAACAACTAAATACTCACATAAACAAATAAATAATTAAATGCACAAACACATAAATGAACAAGTAAAACTAATTACAAACAAATAAACTTAATACATATAACTAACAAACAATTAGCTAACACCCACAATGAACAACTAAGTATACTTAACTAGTCAAAAAAATTTAATTAAAATATTTAAATTAAATAAAATAAATGCTCTGAAAATTGGGGGTATTACATGTCTTCAATTGGAAGGGACTCAAATTTAGGATCATAATGCAAATATAGTAGTATGTATATGTGATCATAATTTTCATAATTAAAAGACAATACACTCTTATATACCATGTAAATTTATGGTAATAAATAATTTTCAATGGAAAAAAATTTATGGCAATAAACACACGTACTTAATATATATATATACACCCTGACCTCCCTTTGGGAAGTATGAGGCTGATACCGCTAGGTCACTGACCCGTTAGTATAAACAAATTATTAATTCCCATATAAATTATATAATACAACAATTTATATGGTAATTAATAATTTGTTTATACTAACGGGTCAGTGACCTAGCGGTATCAGCCTCTTACTTCCCAAAGGGAGGTCAGGGGTTCTAGTCTCAGTAGAGACATGTGTGTGTGAGTACCAATTATGAAATAATAATAATCATATTTATTTTGATATGTAGTTGAATTTAGATTTTGTGACTAAATTGTGTTGAATATTTTTTTAATTTTTTTACATAAACTTGATTGTGCTCTTTATAAAGCACCGATCGAGATTGGGTTTTGTTTTGTGTGTTTTCAACATTAATATATCTTGTGTTTGTCGTCTCATTTTAATGAAAATTTTGCACTCTCATAAATTTTGGACGCGTGTGAAACCTTATTTATAAAGAGTCTTGAATTTGAAAGTTCACCTAAGACCTCTCAAAATTTTAAAAGTCTCAGGACCGACCTTGCATATGACCCTGAAAAAAATCACTTAGACGATTCACGAAGTTAATGAAGTCGTTCGGTTCGGGTTTGTTCATTTAGTAAATGAGCTGAGTTTGAGCTCATTTTTCAGCCTGGTTTAATAAATGAGCTGAGCTTGGACAATGGTGAGTTCGGCTCGTTTGCAGTAGCTCGGCTCATTAGACTCGTGAACATGCTCGTTTGCAGCCCTAGTCATAAAGTCATTGCTAACCAAAGACAATGTTAATTTCGATCATAAAACTTTCATATATTATGAGATTTTATAACCTCTTTGTATTAAACCTCATTAAATCCCCTTAACTTTTCAAAAAAGTCATAACGTTTCTCACTCCCATTAATTTTAACTACGGGTGCAACTTGGGTTGGGTAACCCGAACCCAACCCGAGCCCAGCTCGATTTTTCACGAACTAGTTTGGACAATTATTTTTACAATTAGGGTTTGGTTTGGGTTGAAAAATCTCAACCCAAATTTAATTAGGGTTGGGCTTGGGTTGAAGTGCTAGAAATGCGAGCCAATCCGAACCCGAATTCTAATATTATTTTTATATATATTTTTACTTTTTAATATATTATATATAATATTTAAACTATGATTACTTTTTTTATTTGCAACTTGTTTTATTAAATCTTAACTTATTGTATGTTAACATTTAGGAGAATTAGTTTTCTAAAAATTTGTTTTGTAATTTATTAAAAATCTACAAAAAGTCTTTAAATTATTTTTTGTTTAAGAATAATTTAATCTAAAACTAATTCATGATCATATTAAATTTTCAGTATAAAGATTAATCATATGAGTAACCCGAATTAAGCTAAAGTTTTTACCCGGAATGTAAGTCCGAATTAAAAGGTAGAAGGATGGGTTGGGCTTGGGTTGAGTAGTTAAGGTCGAGGATAGGATTAGAGTTGGACTTGGGTTTAGCATTTCATATGGTGGGTTGAGCTTAAGTTATACCTTATACCTGCCCGAGTTGCAATCCTAATTTTAACCTACTTACTTTTCATATGACCAAAATGCCCTGTATTTACCTTTTTCAACTTTTAAATTAAAATTAAAAAAATAAAATTAATTTTGTCATTTCACAGCCTAATTAACAAGACCGGCACACATGGGGTAAAATAATCAAAATTGTTAGTATGGTAGGTTTACCCCCTTGAAATTAATACCACATGATTTGTTGAAATGTTTCGAGTGCTCCATTTGCAATTTCCTTTAGATGTGTAGCTCAGCCTTGTGTTCATCCATGCATTCCGAACACTCAAAAGGGAAGGAGCCAAAAAAAAAAAAAAAACCAAGGTAGTTTGGAAACTACAAACCATTTCTCTTGCCACAAAAATTCCTTAAGACGCAGTCTTCGGAGACGGAATGTTTTCTTCTTCTTTTCTTCTTAAATCCTCAATTATTTCTTCGCACGCTGACTTTATCTGCATCGACAACTCGTTGGCTTTCACAAATGTTGCCAATTGATCGATAATTACTTTCAAATCCGTAGTTAAAATCCTGCAAATTTATTAGATAAACAAAGTTTGAGATGATGGTGCTGAAGTTATTGTTGATGGTATGTAATCCTAGTCTAATAGAAGCCACAAGAGTGGCCAGCCCAATCACAAAGCCATGTAGGCCTAGTCGGGTTGCCCAATTTGACCATTAATATCATAATACACCAAATGGGCTAGATGGGTTCATTTGGTTTTTGACTCTCAATGTACAAATTGGGCAACGACCCATTAGCTGGTGTTTAGGAATTGGGCCGAATAGGGTTTTTAGTGTTTACTAAGAGCAATACCTAGACTAGGCACATTTGGCTGCTAGATGTATTACTAGGACAAGAGTAGACGAGCAATGCTATATCATCTGAAATACTTTGCTCATCAAAAAAATCAAAGATGATCGAGGCCATATGGTTATATTATATGATCATAATTGAGTCATTAGCTTCTGTACTACAAACTGTTTTGATCCCATTAGGCCAAAAGGCTAGATAGCTTGAGATTTTAAAATAAATAAACTTGAATAAAAATAAGTTTTGATTACTTAACACTCCTCTTAGCTTATTCAGTCCACAAATATGGCGCGTGTATATATATATATATATATATATATATATATATATATATATATATATATATATATTCTTAATAAAAAACTTGCACAGAATTTGAACAATGGACTTTTTATTTTGTTAGATGAGAAAAATACCACTAGCTACAGTGTTTGATAATAATTTAAAAAGGGTGTTGTATATCATTATACATCATTTTCCAAACTAAATCATGGGCTCATTCACTTTCAAATGACTGATACTGATGAGCAGACTCAGCAATGACTCATGGATCATGCCTTAGTGGGTCCCACCCAGGGAAATGAATTAGGTCACAAAGGGCCATTGACTTTTGCAAAACAAAAGCTGTGCTATAGTGATTGGTTGTGATAAATAAAGCAATGTGAAATTGTTGTATAAACGGTTTTATATCACGTGACAAAAGTCGTTCCTTATGAATGTTTACTAACCCATTGAGTTTGCAAGCGATATTTGACTCCGCAAATTGCTCAGTGCTGCGAAGACTCAAACTTGAACAAAGCCCACAATATTTCTGCAGATAATACTTCTGATGACAGTTCTCTGCAATGAAGAAATCGCCATCAAATGGAATGATCTTGGTAACAATCCTCCTGTTGAGCTTCATCTGCCGTCTGATCTTTGACTCTTGCGCTAGCTTCCTCTGCTCCTCTGACGAGTGAAAGATCACTGACCTATAATGTGTGCTTATCCCAAAATTCTACCAAACACATATATAATTAACAAACAAATAATCCCAAATTAATATAAGTTAAGGCTAAGAAGAAGATCAAAATACGTACAAGAAAGTCTTTGTTCGTAGGATCATGGGTTTCCCAGAATGCATCACATAGAGATCTGTATGAGATTTTCCGGTTATCGTATGTGATTTTTACAGCTTCAGTATGGCCTGTTCTTCCTTCACACACCTGCAATAATAAAATAATTTATACACGCACAAATATGTAGAAACATATATATATGTATACATGTTTCTGTATGTGTATATATATATATTCTCATTACCTCTCTGTATGTTGGTTTTGTGAGAGTTCCTCCGCAGTAGCCTGTGACTGTTTTGACGACACCATCCACACGCCCATATGCAGCTTCAAGACTCCAGAAACTATCTGCAAATGCCTGTGCATTAATATATATATATCACAAATAGTGTGTGTTTGTGTGTGTGGGAGAGAGAGAAACCTCCTGCAAACACTGCTTCAGATAGGAACTCTGATGGAACAATGACTGTTGAAGTGCGTTCAGAGATGGGAAAATGATGGTCATGAGGTTTAGATTGTTGAGGGAGTAATTTGTACATATTGGTGTGTAGAAACTAATAATGGAATCAGAACTAAAAAGAGTTTTTGTGTGTGTATTTATATATAAGACACACAGTATGACTAGTCTGAGTCTGAGTACATATCAATTAAGTGTGAACATGCCTGCAGTTTTCCTCACTATCTGTGTTGAATAAAATTTGAATATTTGAATATGTTGGCGTCAATTGTCACTTGAATGAGAACAGCTTCTAAGCATTTTCTTGTTTGTCTGGTGTGTACAGGACCCTTTTAATACACTATAAATATATATACATATATAAAACTATGTCGATCCCGCCGCCTGAAATGTGCCATTACCATATATAGACATATATATAGAGATCGATATTATAAGAACATCATATTACAATTAATTCTGTTTTTATTTGATTTGATCCAAACATGAACCTGCACCGCTGCACAGATGGTTTAGTAGTTAAAAAATTTCAAGAGACGAATCGTAAATTTAGACACAGTACTTTTTCTTTTAAAATGATGAAAAAAGAGAGAGAGTAATGACCTTTAAAATTGTCTGTGTGTTTTGTTTGCGTAACATTACTTCTTGTGCTTAAAGTGTATAAACATTTGATGGATATTTTTTTTAATTTTTTTTTATATTTTAGTATGTCATTAATAACGTGGAGATTGTAGTTATATTAATTTAGGGAGTACTTGGGTAATTGACGCGGTCTTTTCCCTTGAATGTGATTTATTCATGTGCAACACAATATATGTGGGGACCTAAGTAGAATTAATGTTTCAACTTTCTAAATGATGTGAAGATAAATAATATATACATGGTTTACATCCATTGGTGGTTAGTGGAGGTCGGTTAGATTAAACTTTTTCTAAGCAATATGGTTTTTTATATCTTTAGATTGAAATAGACTTGTTAGGATCTAAATCTTTTTCTTTAATCGTGGGTCTGTTCCTACTTGACATTGATGGACTTCCATGGAAATTAAATGAACTTTAATTAAGAAGAAATTATACATCCAAACCTAATCAAACCTTGTTCTTTTTTACATATATATATATATATATATATATATATATATATATATTGTGTGTGTAATTTGGAATTTGATGAACGTGTCATAAAGTAGAGTAGCGTAGCATATTTACCCAAGATAAAAGATAAATAAATAAAAATAAAAAAAGAAGCAAATTACTCCTACTTGGTGATGTTCCTTCAATTGGACACTGGTTTGAGATGTTGTGATTGGACCTGATTGTGAAACTATGGATTAATATTCTTAGAAATATTGTTCAATGTTGGCAACTCTATGGACCACACTGACTTTTAGAGGTGGATGTCACTTTTTCCTAATTTCAAATGAGGATGACAACGTTTCTTTGGCTCATGAACTATAACTCTTCATGTAAGTTGCAACCAACAAATATATATATATATATATATAAAAGAAATACAGCAGCAGCAGCAAAAGAAAAATAAAGAGAAAAAAATAAAATAAAGATGAGGATGATTGATTATGTGCAAAGTATTTGTGTCTATATATAATATATACAGAGATATATATTTATAATTTTATACATAGAGTTAAAGGTGAGTACTTAGATGTTGGGTCCAAAGAAACTTTAGCAAATTGGCGTGTTGCATTTGAAGTCTTCCTCTTGTGGACGCTGAGACATATAGAAGTCGACTGGGTGTTCCCACCCATTATTTGCAACTGCGATGGCCCATTTCTCTAATCTCCGTATTTTTCCAAACTGATGTAAAAATGACAATGATATAGATGCAAAACTGTCAATAGATGCAAAGGCATATAAAAATTCTTCAATACCCTTTTAAGCTGATTTAGATGATGTTTTAGGCATATATAGCGGCGACTGGCGAGATTGGGATGGGTCCCCTTTCTGTGCAACTCAAATTTATTATTTTTTAATTTTTCCACTTAAATTTTAAAAACTCAAATTTAAGAATATAAATTAAATAACATTATTCTAAATGACACGTGTTAGGTTGAAATTGCAGACACTTAAAATTTAATTTTTATGATTAACACTTAAAATTCAATAATTAAAATTTTTGGTGCTTAATCCACAAATCCAAACGAAGCCTTATGGTTTACTGCCGCAGGGAGCTGCATGCGCCATCATGAGGTGGATGATGATAATGCCCACTGGATTTCCCAATTTACCCCTAATCCCAAGTGGCAATGATGGAGGAATTTTAGTGTATATTTCAGTGGGTCCCACTTTGTCTGGTAGATTTTTGATGCGGTACGTGCATACCATCCGATCTGATCTGGAAGACGCTTATCGTCCTCTTCTTCCGAAAAGTGCAGAAGCGCGTGAGATTAGAGCGTGGGATTAATCTCATTCTACACCTCATACTTTAAGCGCACGCTCAGAAGTCCGAAAAGTGGGACCCACTTACCCATTTTGATTTCTTTTAAACAAGAAGAGAAACTATAGTCTAATTCAAATGAGACAGAGTTACACCTAATATAAAGTGAATTAAATTATTTAATATTGTTATGTCATATCCTTTTCAATTATAAAGTACCTTTAAAACAAATTACCGTGTGTCATCAATACAACTTTACAGAATAATATATGAAAACTTGTACCCAATAATTTTTGTTATGGTGGAGCCAAAAATTCTTTTCTCAAATATAAAATTAAAATTTGAAGGGTAATACTTGCAAGAGAGTTATTGCATTATTAAGTTTTTCATTTTAACAAATGAATTAAAAAATATATTAAATAATTCATTTAAATTTTTACGTATATCAAAAATATTTCAATTCAATAATTAAATATAAAAAATTCGTAACTCGAGAGCATTACCCAAATTATAAAAATACTAAAAGAAGTATTATTTTAAAGAGAGATGGGGAATAACAACTTGGCTCACTTATTCGGGGTGTGAATAAGCATAACAGGGAGTGGAGATAGCTGCTCCCAAATGCCATTTTATGCATTGGGCTCTTTTAATCATCTTTAGTCTTAGATCCATTTGGTACGAAAGAATAGGGGAAGGAAAAATAAATAAAAGATAGTATTTTTTTTTTTTTTTTTACTTGTCGGTGAGTTTTTTACTTCTTAAAAATTATATCTACATTTCAATTTTCCATACAACACTTCTCTTGACCATTCCAAAAAAATTACACACACATATAACATATTCATATTGAGTTTTGTTATTATTATTATTTACTATTAATTCACCCTAGTACACTTCTTCTTCTTCTTCTTCTTCTTCTTTTTCATTAATAAGAAACATACACATCACTTGCACGCTCACTTCGCTCATTTGAGAACTCAAAGCCTCATCATCCACATTGTATCTCTTTTCGCTTCTACTGATATTTTTGAGATTTCAAATGCATGAATGAGATTTTCATTTTTCAAATTGAATGAATAAAAAAAATTTAAAATAAATTTTTTTAGAGCATAATTAAGGTACGTAAAATGGATTTCTTGCAACTTTCATACTCTTCGAATTGAGAAATTTTAGATAGTAACTATTCAATCAAAATTCTTCAAATGTAAAAAATAAACCACTAACATTTAAATAAACTTTGATTAGACTGGACCACTAAATAATATACATAGTAGTCTCCCTAAACTATTTAATACTCCCATTTCCCAAAATAAATGTCCATCTTTTTATTTTGGAATTTCTCAAAATATATGTCACATTCCAAAAATGATTGTGCTAATTTTTATTTCATTCCTCTTTTGACATTAAACAAGCAAGGGCAGAGCTAGAAATTTTACTTTGGAGGGCTGAACTATTGGGGATAATTAACTTCCTCCAACGCATTCAACAATAGTCTGTTGTTGATAGTTAAATTCTTCATTGATCACACATCGGGAAGCATCATCATAGCACATTACATCAACACAAGTATATATGGAGTTAACAATCAAACACAATATTTTAAATGATTTACCCAACTCTATAGTTACGTCCATGGAGAGATACATTTATTATTATGAATCAAGGAAGAAAATATATCACCACATGTCAAAACCCTACTTACTCACTCATCATCCCTGATAGGGAAAAATATAAACCTACCCTACCCTCGATAAGATTGATTAGATTTCATTATCAAGGATAATGAAATCTGACGTAGTTCAACAGGTAAGAATAATCCTATTATAACTGGAGGAGGTCAAAAGGATTAAATCATATCCCCGACAAATCTGACAACAAATCTCCTATGATCTTGTACAAGCGAAAGATGAGATCAACTATCGATATCGGCGGAACGATTTTGATTTCAATCGACAGCCATAAATAGGGCACCAAGCCATTAAAGAAGGTACGACAAAAAAACTATTATTAATCCCTGCCTTCCTTTTAGACCTCCGTGACTAATTTGATCGTCGGAGAGCTCTTGGCAGGCACCACACCGGTGCCGTCAAGGTTCATTGATCTTCTCCTCTCTTCCTTGCAGGAAAACGGTATCGTATCGGACTGCGCGAATTTCAGCCTCAACAATTGGCGCCGTCTGTGGGAAAGACGATTCCCTTGAATCAATTAATTACTCGTTGGGTATATACGTTTACAGTCCGGTATGGTTACCGAAGGAACACATTCGTAGGGATCTGGTCAAAGGGTAGAGTCGGGTGAAAACATGGATGTGCTAAACGACCAGGCACGGCTTGCAGCGTTGAAACTGCAGATTCAAACTCTAAGTCAGGGTATGAACCAGTTGATCCAGTAAAATGCAACGCTCTTGCAACACCTTGTTCCACCGGTTCAACAAAACTTTCCACGACAAGATCTCTTAAGTCCAAACGGAAGTAATGGGAATCTTGAAGGGCAAGATAATCATCCCCCCCAAAATGAGACTAAAGTGGAACAAAGCCAAGTGGGAACCCGACATAGAGAGGTGGTTCACCCATCTCTCCCACGGAGTTCCCGACCTCCTGAAAGCATAGCCTTCTGTCTTAAGGAAAAGACAAAGAAAGTTACCCATCTCGACTTGCAGATCAAGGATCTAAAGGGGAAAATGGAAGATGTAATGCAGGCTATGAAAGGGAAAGGTCCTGCCGTAGATGACCTGGTACAAAGGATTAACCTGCCTTTCAGCCCCGCCATTATGAAATGTCCACTACCTAGCAAGTTCAGGATACCCTCGTTCGAAAGCTTCGATGGGACCAAAGATCCCCTCGATCACCTGGAAACTTTTCAAGCTCTTATGCATTTACATGCTGTGCCAGATGAAATCATATGCCGAGCTTTTCCCACTACACTTAAGGAATCGGCGAGAGTTTGGTTCAACAAGCTGAAGCCAGGAACCATCAACACCTTCAAAGAATTGAGTAAGTAGTTTGTGAGCCACTTCATTGCAGGTCAGAGGCATAGGAGGCCAGCTACCTACCTGTTTACCGTGGAGCAACAAAAGGAAGAGTCGATTCGAGAATACATCACCCGATTCAACGGAGAGATGTTGCAGGTAGAAGAGGTGGATGACAAGGTAGCTTTGACCGCTTTCATAGGAGGACTCTAAACTTCCAGATTCTTGTTCTCCTTATCAAAAGAACCTCCCACCAACATGATAGAGTTGCTGATCAGAGCGCAAAAACACATCAACGCTAAAGACACCATGAGTGCATGGAAGGAAGGAGAGGACAAGAAGAGGCCAGCCCCTCTCGCTAGGGATGAAAATAATACCAAATATAAGAAATCGTTCTTCAGCCAGAGCGATATCACATATCGTGAGAAGGACTTAGATGAGTATACCGACTAGAAATTGTGTCACGATTGGAATTAGCCTTATCAAGTCATTCACAATAAAAGACTGGGGGCATCTTAGTTAATCATTTTAAATTGAGGGTAGCTCCATCACGTGTTATTTTGTTTTTAATAAGCCTTGAAGCAATGATGGTCTTTAATAAAATTTCTTTTAGTTTATACGTGCAGTATCCCCGTATTATAAGGGATAGTAAATGAGTGTCCTGTATTACAAGGACCCCGGCTGAGTGGATCCCGTAATCCGTATCCCTGTACTATAAGGGATAGTATATGAGTGTCCTGTATTACAAGGACCCCGGCTGAGTGAATCCCGTAATCCGTATCCCCGTACTATAAGGGATAGTAAATGAGTGTCCTGTATTACAAGGACCCCGGCTGAGTGAATCCTGTAATCCGTATCCCCGTACTATAAGGGATAGTAAATGAGTGTCCTGTATTACAAGGATCCAGGCTGAGTGAATCCTGTAATCCGTATCCCCGTACTATAAGGGAATAGTAAATGAGTGTTCTGTATTACAAGGACCCGGGCTGAATGATTCGCGTCATCCATATCTCCGGACTATAGGGGATAAGTATCCTGTATTATCAGGACCCGGGCTGAATGAATCCCGTAATCCATATCCCCGTAATATAAGGGATAATAAATGAATATCCTGTACTACAAAGACCCGGGTTGGATGAATCCCGTAATTAATATCCCCTTACAATAAGGGATAATAAATAAAAATCTTTTATTAAAGAGGTGAGCTGAGTAAAACTCGTAAGGTTCAATTCCCTAACGAGCTGAGTAAAGTTTGTAAAATTTAATTCCCTTATTAAAGGAGTGAAACTCATACAATTTATTCCCTTATCAAAGGAAGAGTACTGTTCCCTTAGGTGTCCCAAAAAAAAAAAAAAAAAAAAGTTACTATTCATGGGTACTGTTCCCTCGGGTGCAAATAAGGTACTATTCATGAACAGTACCGAGGGTACTGTTCCCTCGGGTGCAAAAAAAAAAAAAAATCCCTGAGTCACTATTCACAGGGGTTATAAAAAATAAAAAATAAAAAAAATCCTGAGTTACTATTCACGTGAATAGTACCCGCGGGTACTATTCACAGGGGTTATATATATATATATATATATATATATATATATATATTACATTCTCAAAGCTAGACGTGCAAGCTTGGGAATGGGGGGCAACTGATATGGAAAAATATAAACCTACCCTATCCTCGATAAGATTGATTAGATTTCATTATCAAGGATAATGAAATCTGACGTGGTTCAACAGGTAAGAATAATCCTATTTTAACTGGAGGAGGCCGGTCAAAAGGATTAAATCATATCCCCGACAAATCTGGCAACAAATCTTCTATGATCTTGCACAAGTGAAAGATGAGATCAACCATCTACATCAGCGGAACGATTTTGATTTCAATCAACAGCCATAAATAGGGCACCAAGCCATTAAAGAAGGTACGACGAAAAAACTATTATTAATCCCTGCCTTCTTTTTAGACCTTCGTGACTAATTTGATCGTCGGAGAGCTCTTGGCAGACACCACACCGGTACCGTCAAAGTTCATCGATCTTCTCCTCTCTTCCTTGTAGAAAAACGGTATCGTATCGGACTGCTCAAATTTCAGTCTCAATAATCTCTTTTAAGGCTATGTGTATACACTCGAGAATTACAGATACTCTTCCATCTCCTTACAACACTCACCCTTACCCCTCACATATTTTCTCTATTCTTTCTCTCTCAATGTCTCATACCCATATATATTTATAGAATCTTCAAAATTGAATTCCTTGTTAGACAATTATTTCTCAACTTGCCTTGAAGGAGTTACCATATCAATCCCAAACTCTAAAAAAGAAACTTAATGAAACACAATTTCCATCACGACTTTCAGCATTCCAAAACGAAAAAAAGAAATTAAATTTTGCACACAATTTTGAGCCACAAACCCAACACGAACTTGTATTATATAATTAAAATTTAATATTTTTTAAACCAATTGTAATATAAATTTATTTATAGTACATAATCATAGTATACATAACTTACAAAAATTGAAAAAAAATGCAACCTAAAAAAAAAAAAAATTCAAGATTTTTTTAAAATTCAATTTTTGAAAAAAAAAAAAGAGTTTTGAGTATTGTAATTTTGCTCTAAAAATATATCATTATTGTCGTGATAAAAGATTAAGAAAGATTGATTAAGCAAAATTTTGCAAGTTTTAAGAAAACAAAATTACTATTACTAAAGAAAGCAGAAACATAATTTTGTTTTCTTAACTGAAAAAAAAAAAAAAAAATGAACGTTTATTAACACTTGTTGTTATCACAATTTTGAAAGAAAAAAAAACAAAAACAGTGTTTAATAATACATATTTGTTACATTTGTACGTAACATTTTTTAATTATTTTATTTTATTTTTAATACTTTTCTTTAGTACCAAAAAGCCATGCAATTCAATTATATCAAAGTATTAAAAATGGATAGTAAAATATAATATCCAATTTAAAATCACAAATCTTAATAACACCCAATACACAGATATATTAGGACAAAAACACTCTCACCTATTATATATATAAGTGCATGCATATGCATCATCTACACATTTATTATATCATATATAATATATTTAACATATAGTATATTATAATAAATAAAAAATGTTAAATAATATATCTATAATATAATATAGATATGGTATATAATAATATATTATATTTGTTGCATAATAATTTAATAATATTATATAAAATAAATAATAAATCATGCCATTTTCTGTCCCAAAAAATAATTTACACTAATATATAGTATAATTATATATTAAAAATATAACTTTTATTATTATTTAATATGTAGCATTAGCGTATAACATGAATAATATATATTTTATTTGAAATGAACACTACATATGTAATAATAATAGTGAAAACGTTTTTATTCAACAGTGTCGAAAACATGAGAAACACCTTTTTATTTCATCTTTTCTTCACAAAAATAAAAAAACATTTTTTTGTTATAGAAAAACAAAAAACATATTATTAAATATGTTTTTATTTTTGTTTTGCCTTTTTTAGGGTTGAAAACAGAAAACGTTTTCCATTACTAAACGCAACAACAAGAAGTAGTGATACAAATTGTCATTTAGCAAGTGATATTTAAACATATTAGTATATGTTTTTAGGTAAGAATTACAATAAGAATGAAGATTTGTTCTTTCAAGAGTATGGTTAAAAATGGTCCAAATTAATTTATATATATATATTATAAATTTCAAAGGGCACAAGTTAAATTTAATTTCAAACTTTTTTTTTTTTTTTGGGAAGGGGACAGTTAAGTTATATTTGTAAATTAACTATTTAACATTAAACAATACTTATATAATGTGTTACTAAATACCTAACATACCCTTTTGGAACATCAATTTTTTGTCAACTTTATCAGCAGAAGTGTGTTTTTTTATTATTTTATCCACAATTCCAACCGGACTCTTAAAAACCCCACAGTAGAATTCCTCGAACAGCCCAAGATTTTTGGGCGAAAAGGAATACTAATTTCTCTTTCAAATCAAACACAAAAAGTAGAGTCATCTACGACGCTAGTACAATTTTTTACAATTTTTTTATTTTATTTTGTCTTCACGAAATACAGATCCAGGGCGCGATTGGGATTTGGCCGCCATCAAACATAACAGGATTGTAAAGAAAAGAAGGAAAACATCGAAAATGAGTCTCCACCTCACGTGACATGTTCAACGTCCTAATGAGAATGTCAATTGTTGTTCTCTCCGACTATTCCTCCTTTACTCACTGCCACGGGAATACGTAGTACAGTATATCTTAATCGTTTAAAGTAAAGCAGCCGTCAAACGACAAAAACCCACACAAAACTCTCTCTGTCCGAAAATCTGATTCCAACGTTCAAAAGCCCAGAAATCCTAGTCAAATTTCTACACAAAACTTCCTCTCCCACCTCACGCGCCGCCCACCAACGCCACGCCCCCCTCTCTCTCTCAGAGAAGTAAAGAGAGATCGCCATCTCCTCCCCCACCATCTCAAGCTCCACTTTCTCTCTCTCCTTCTCTCTCTCTAACTACCAAAAGAGTATATTTGAAGATAAAAAGTTGAGATACTATATATGAATCCAAAACCTCTGAACCCAAGATGGGCGGAGTCACCTCGTCGATCGCCGCTAAGTTTGCCTTCTTCCCACCAACCCCGCCGTCATACACAGTGATCGCCGCCGCCGACGAGTACCCCTGCAGTCAATTTCACATCCCTGAGCTTCCGAGGAGGGACGGCGTTGATGTCTTGAAGCTTCGGACTCGACGAAGCAACGAAATCGTGGCCGTACATATCAAGCACCCCAAAGCATCGGCCACTCTGCTCTACTCTCACGGTAATGCCGCAGATTTGGGTCAGATGTTTGAGCTTTTTGTGGAATTGAGCCTCCGTCTTCGCGTCAATCTTATGGGGTAACACATTAATTAGTCTCCACTTGTGTTGTTTATAGTCAGTCAATTTTGGAACTTGAAGCTTTAAGCTCTGATTTCTTGCTTGAATAGACTTAATTAAGAGTATGGGACCATGGTTGTTACTTAATTTGATGAACTGTAAATAAAGGAAAATGGGTTTATTTCGTGATTATATAGGTTCTGGTAGGTACACTATTTTAGAATTTCATGAATTGTGATGATAGAAATGCTTTTTGTGAATACAGTGAAAAACCTTTTTCATCTATATCATATATGTACGCTCTTTCCAAGTGTATGAATCAATGCTTTTATTTTGTATTTGGGCAAAATGAGGAAAAAGTACATTCAGGAGTATTTCCTAATGAACATATGTATATGACCTGTAGAAATTAACTTATTCTGGGCATGTCTGGAAGATAAAATACTTTAATTTCGTGGCAATTCTAGTAATCCACAGATGCATTTTAGGAGTCTTAGGTTGATTAATATATATATTTTTTCATTTGTTGCTAGTTAATTCTGGGAATATGTGTTTTTGGCACTTGTATTTAATGAAGTTATATGATATCTGCACTCCTTATGGAGTAAGGATAGATTGTTTTAATCAATTGAAAATTTGGTCAATGGATATATCTTGTTTGGATGGTCTCTTGTAATTGAGAATTTACTTGGGATTAAAGCTCGCTCAAGTTCATTTGCTAAGCAAACGAGCCGAGCCCAAACAATCTATGGCTATGCTCAATAAGCTTTTGAACATGTTCATGAACAGCTGTTCGTGAACAAACTCTATAAAGGCTCTCCCGAATATGATCCATTTATTAGGTATTGTTTGAATTGTAGTTGTTTTTTCTCAACAACAATCTTAATCTCAAGCACAAGCACAAGCACGAGCTCGAGCTCAAGAATGAGCTTGATATAAGGATTGGAATTTGACTAAATGAGGAAACAAACCGAGTCCGAGCTTGAGGAGTAATGTTCGAACCAAACTCGAACACTCTTGTATAATTGAGCTCAAGCTCAACTATCAGAAAGCTTGGCTCATTTACCGTCCTAAAATTGAGATCTTATTTTATGGCAGAGATGTATGTAGTCTTTAACAACATATTTTCAATAGTGACTTTTGGTTGTCCCCAAGCTTTATTTTCCATGCTTCTTGAAGGTTGTAGGTACTTCTGTCATCCCCCTGCTGTAGAGTTTAAATCCGTGAGGCAGTTGACTTGATTTTATGTGTAAGTTTATATTTATGTGGGGAAGTTGGACTTAAGCTTAGCAATTTTGACCTCCTACAATACTACAATAGACACTTTCCGTTTTTTGAGTTAACTTTTCTCATTCTTTGTTCACCTATATTACAAATTTGACATCCACTTGTAATGGTAATTATTTTAAGCCCCATCATTTGAACTTAAATTTACGTTAAATAATCATTCCATTCAATTTTGACTTGTTAGGTCAGTGTTGGGTTTAACCGGCCGGTTTGCAATGATATTTGGCATGGCCGTTATCGTAGACTTTTGAGAGAATAACAAAGAGATCTACTACTTTTCCACATTGCATCTTTGTTATATTTAATGATAGTTTTTTATTTAACCTAAAAAAAAACCTTTCATTTTAATTTTAACACACCAAAAAGAAAGTATTAATTATATCAATTAAGTAATTATACATCAACAATACAACTGTCACTTTCTTTAAATCAAGAAACAAAATCGCACATCAACTCATCCCTCTTCCAACAATAGGACAAGATAATAAAGCATTCAAAATAAGCAGTGATTCTCCTCTCATTGAATTATGTAAAGTTTCATGTAAGTTTATATTTGTCTGTCAAAATTGAACCTTTCATTTGATCATTGAAGACATACACGGTATATTATTGAAGATTAAACAAAAACTCAAAAGTGGCATATAAATAATTACTATGATCATTTATAATACAGATGTTATATAATATATATGTTAGGATTCGTAATTTTCTTTTACTTTTGACTTGTATTATATTTTTTACCAATTTATTTTAATTGTTTCTTCTCACATGTTATATATGGTATTAATTTTCATTTATTTAATGCTTAAATCTATTGTTATTCATTCATTTAGCAAAAAAATATAATTACTAATCTTTTTTCGTAAGGACAATGATGTAGAATTTATAAATAGGTCCCTACTTGTGTTAAATGGTTTCAAAAAATTCAATAAAGATCAGTAAAAAAACTATTTTTATTGAATTATGTTGTAAAAAGTAGCGTATCGGTGCATTTTTGGGCTTATGACATGCAAGGTCAAAAAACATTCATAACCGCGATAACAGATTCTGTTATGTTACGCTCAATTCTGTTACACCGCGTTTGCAACTGTGAACCATGGTTTCAATACTCAGATACCTGATAGTGTGGTCATGGCATATAATTTCAATCATATGCATTGGGATAATCTTATGTTGCTATTAAAAAGGCTATGTAATCATGACATTTGAAAGACAGGGCTGGGATTAAAGGTTGGGTCCTTATCTTCTTCTGTCAAGAAGTATATAAAGTAAAATAAATGACGACGACATAGAATTTATAAATAGGTCACTACTTGTGTTAAATGGTTTTAAAAAATTCAATTAAAATCACTAACAATCTATTTTTATTGAATTATGTTGTAAAAAGTAGCTTATCGGTGCATTTTTTTGGCTTATGTGCAAGGTCAAAAAAACATTAATGACCGCGATAACAGATTTTATTACGCTACGCCAATACTAACCCAAGTCCGTTTTGAGCCATGATCATGAGTCAATAAAGTTGATGGTTTGATTTAGGAAATGATACTTCCTGTCAAAGTAAACCTTATTGAGAGTAGAGGTGTGCATCTTCACTTATAAGAGAAAGTTCAAGTGCAAAAAGGGGCGGTATGCTAATAAATGGGTTTTAAACACCCCCCCTCACATGTTCTCATACTTTTCTAATGGTTTAGATGCTATAAACTATGATGATCTGCCCATATGAGTGGCTCTTGTGGATTGAATTGACAGAAAAAGAAGCTTATCTAATGCTATGAGGTTGCCTCATTTACACTCCTTAATTTACAAGAAGTCCTTGGAGAAAAAAGAATTATTGAAATTATTAGGATGTCGTATGCTTTTTTCAGATATTTGACCATCAGATGTTAGCTTTTGCGGTATCTCCTGCAAATTTCAAAGAACATGTGCAGGGTTCGAGTCGCAATTGAGACACACATGTTTCGTACTTCTTACTTTTATGAGAAATGCTTGTTTTAGTTATTTGCCTCTTCATTTTTTATTTCATTTTTTGTCTTCTCTTGGATTGACTGTTGAACAAACTTTACATCTAGTTGCACCATATAGGCTAACCGGATCTTTAGGTGACAATCAGATATGTGTCGATGATGTTAATTTGATAAGTTTGTGGACTAAATTATGATTGGTAGTGCAGAACATCCATTCTGTGGTTGCAAATGTTATTTTATTTTATTATTTTATGTTTTTTTTATCTTAGTAGCCCTATTAGCTTTTCCCTATTAGTCATTTTGTAATTAATTGATGACCTTTTTCTTTAACGGGTGGCATTCATTTTTTTTCAATAAATTGTCATTGCTCAGGCAATGTAAAAGCCCGGGCTGCCAAGCATTCTCAAGTGTGCTCAAGTCTAAGAGCAACCACTTATGCAAATAATGCCAAAGGTTAGGTGTATGCTCTGTCCACCACTTCAAACACCCTCAATTTACGGATACTACATTCAATGACCTTTTCTTTATTCATTTTATCAGTTTGTATCCATGTGACAATTCATGCTTCCTCATAGTTTTATTTTTGAAGACTCATGAATGTGCTTTTTCATTCCATGTTTTTGTTTTGTTATTTATAAATGTGTTTTCATTGCTGGACTATTCTTGAACTTATGTAGACTGATATAAGGCAGATGTATTATGAGTTTCTTACTTGATATCATGTGCCTCCACATTCAATATTTTTGGTGCTGATACACATGTATATCAGAAACAGTAGACATAAGCATTTTCTTTTACTTGCCCGTTTTAACTTTTTCACTGATTTTATACATTTGGTTTTTCCAGGTATGACTACTCTGGCTATGGACAATCAACTGGAAAGGTGCTTTCCATTTGAACATTATTAAGAATGGAAATAAATCTGTCTTTTGTTGATAATACGTCCTTAGTAATATCCTTATATTCCTTTTTCTGTTTAGTTTTCCTTGTTTAACTTCAATGCTTGCACTCCTTTTTCATTGTTGTAGCTTTATATTCTTTTGGTATGACTGACATCTCTTACATGAAAATAGGCATGATCATATAGAGTTGTATGATTGACATTCCTCTGAATCTTATATATTATATTGCTCCATCAGTTCCAACAAGAAAAGAAAACCTGTAATTACGTGCAAGCATTTTATTACCATCCTGAAAATGTCAATTACTGTACAATAGCTTCCTTTGTGTACTTGATGCCTACATTCAACATTGTTGCACATAATCTTTACTCTCTTTAGCATGGTAATTTATTTAATCCAAGTAAGATGCAAGATGTAGGCCTCAAGCTTCTCTCAACTGTGGCTTGACTAAAATATGAGGCATGCAGTCCATATAATAAATATGGTATAGTGTTTGACATTTCCAAAATAAGTATATATATATATATATATATATATATATATATAATTTGTATATGCACAGATTCTTACTGTTTCTTATTTCTTTTTCTAGAACATTTCTTTTTCATTTTTTCCCCTTCTTGATCTTTCCTCGGTAATTGCTGAGTGCTTTATGTTGTGAAGATTGTGTTTTCTGGCTTTATGTCACTGACTTTTGTTCATACAAGTTTCTTTAAGTATCTTCTTAATATACAACGTAGATGCATGCTACACAAATAATTGCTATGATAAGAGAGATTCTTTATAGCAAATAATATCGAGATCTTGTGCATTTCAGTTATATTCTAGTAGTGTCCAGCACTAACACATGGGAAGGGTCTAAGCAATAACTAGGATACCTTTGGTTTGCTGAATTCAGGATAAAGTTGTTTTTTGATGCATTGGATTATTTATTTCGTACCCTATTGGTTTGACAACATTAGTTTCAAAAACCGGATTTTACTGTGGCAGAATGTTTCACTTTCAAACAAATTTTTGGTTGGCAGATTGCTTGGCTTTTGACTTTTTTTTAGAGTTTCACTAATTGGATATTCCCCTTGTCACCATCTACTGTTGGTTATAGCGTAACAATCATCCTTTGTTTTTTCCTTTGAAACAGCCAACTGAGTGTAATACATATGCAGACATCGATGCAGTATATAAATGCCTCAAGGAGCAGTATGGGGCTAAAGATGAACAACTAATATTATATGGTCAATCTGTTGGTAGTGGCCCAACCATTGATCTTGCTTCCCGGATACCAAACTTGAGAGCTGTGATACTGCATAGTCCTATACTTTCTGGGCTGAGAGTATTGTATCCTGTCAAACGTACATATTGGTTTGATATTTACAAGGTAATATCATTGTATTGGTTCTATTTCAAATGCCTCTAATGTTTGGTAGATAATGCTCACTTCTTTCTTTGTTCATTTCAGAATATTGACAAAATTGGTCTGGTGAGCTGTCCTGTTCTGGTAATGCATGTAAGTATAATTATAGATAAGTCTACTTTTCTTCTTCTGCCTTCCTTCCTCCTCCCTCTTGGATATGAAATCCAGGAATGCACAATGGAGAAGCTGATGATTAGTAGAGTCATACTTGGGAATTTTAATCAAATTAAGATACTTTAGCGTGGCAAAACTTTTACTTAGTGTTGGAGTGAAATCTATAAATCATGGATTCTCTATTCCCAAATAAATAAATAAAAATACTACTACTAATAATAATAACACATTGCTCTAAAAATAGCAAATAATTTACTCTTTAACTAAATCGCATCTGATGACAATCTGAGTGAATTTAATTTATACAGTAACAACATCATGCTCTGGACCAACCAACGGGTGCTTAAGATCTGCTTTTGTGGGGATGAATGATCCTTAAAATTGTTAATATATCAACTCAAAAATGCATGGTTTCCTGGTGAATCAGTTTGTCATGTTTGGGGTTGGTAAAAGTATCCCCAACTAGATGTCCAATTAACTAGTTTACTTGTCAAATAAGTACATAACAGAACAACATAATTTGTAATTCATATAATTTGAATGTAGCTTCTTAATATTTCACTGCGTTGGGTGGTGGAGTAGAATCAAGATACATGATGTGAAGTTAATGATTGGCATTAAAATATGCCTTTTGAAGTATAACTTGTAATTTTACTATTGTCTCTTATTTCTTTTTACCAAGATTGCAATGAACTACAATTTTGATTGGTGAAATTAATGATTCTCTCTATATCCACCTGCAGGGGACAGCAGACGAAGTTGTTGATTGGTCCCACGGAAAGCAGCTTTGGGAGCTTTGCAAGGAAAAGTATGAACCCTTGTGGTTAAGTGGAGGTGGGCATTGCAATCTTGAGCTCTATCCAGAGTTCATTAAACATCTGAAGAAATTTGTCCTCAGCCTTGGCAAATCAAAAGGTGCCACAAATGGTTCTAAGAAAGCTACAGTAGACACTGACAATCAGACCAAACCATCTGAAAGTAGTGCTTCAGATACATTCGACTTGTGCCTGGACGTACCAGAAGTTTCAAGAAACAGTTTAGATAGCCGGCTTGAGAAGTCTAAAAAGCCAAACAAGCCAGAAAAGTCTCGGATGAGCACTGATCGAGTTGACAGGTCTAGACTAAGAAAGGGCTTAATCTGGTGATTACTCGTGTTGTTCACTAATACTCACTTGAGGAGGTAATTTACTCAACTGCTGGCTTTAGCTCCAACTACAATTATCTTATTGGGTGTGATTCATTATATGAATAATCGAAGCGATGTGTATGTTCAGAAGGATAAATCACATAGGTAGGGAATCTTGCATTTGGATCTCTTTTTTTCCCTGTACTATCAGCAACCTTATTTCAATATGAAGATCCTGTTTGTTTCAGCAGTTATTGAGCAGTTGAACCTCTATTATTGTGTGCTGCATTCCATCACTGGATCTAGGATACTGGACATCCACCATTGGAGGAAAATTGTAGGGAGTACAAGTTTCATACCGCAAACCATTGTTTGTTGTTTGTGAAGCCGTGAACTGTGAACGACTTTTTTTTTTTTTTTTTTAAATCCTTTTTCTTGGTCTTTGTAGTGGTACCAGCAGAAGTTTTTAAGGGATCATGAATCATTTCCGACCATGAGCAAAAGGAATATTTTTGTACTCTTCTCTGATCTGGTGTAAATTAGCAGTATGCAGATTCTGAGATGTGTATCACTGCTAGAGTCGGAAATATTATTTAGTTGTATTTGTGTGCCTTTCCCCTGTATCAGTTCATGCAAGAACCTAGGGATTTCAGGCAAAATAAATAAATAAATAAATAAATAAATAATCTGTGAATAAAGAATTGTGATCAAAACTTTCAAAATGGGTAGGAAAAAACCATTTATGGATGGAGTTGAGCCTTCTGGCGCCAGAATTTCATCTTTTGACTGTAAAGGCAGTTTTCAAGCTACTTTAGCAAGGCTACATCAAATTGATCCGGGTTAAAGTTTATCAGCTCAACCGAATCAATATAATAAGGCTTTGCATATATACGACCGTCTGTGTGTGTGTGTGTATGTAAAATGCATATAATCTCTCTATGTAATGGAACATTTTGGGCATGAAAAAAAGATGGATAGAAAATCTGTTGTCCTTTCTGACAAAACTGGAAAAAGGTGCAGAGCAATAAGGTCTCCCAAAGTCAGCTAAATTGCCAGGTTATGCCACAGATGGCAAATCTGTCAAGAACATGCCCGAGTCTGGATTTCTGGAACAGTAATTGTCTATCCCCAACTCTATAACGCCGCCACCTTGAATTTCATTTCAAACTGATTCAATGTGTTTTAAGAACAAAATTGATGCTTACACCAAGAGCAAGAACCCGGTATCTTGACTAACATCTCTAAAATGCATGACAATCACAATATTCTGGTAACGTGACAAAATTCTTGGCCGCCATGAGATAAAAGCGAATGCTTTCACCAAGAACAAACTGAGTCCTGAGGTAGCACTAAATGGGCACCACATAAGAGAGTGAACGGAGATGCATTAGTCATATGTAACAAGGCTGATTACGTCGCCAATAAAGAGTAAATTCAAAATGAAACTCCAAGTAAGGCAGCCAGAACAGAACCAAAAAAAAAAAAAACTTGAATGGTGTAATTACGAGAAGTGTGTGAATGCCATGCCATAAGGCTTAACAGAGTTTGTGATTCAAAATAGAGTGAAGAATAATTCAAAAATCTCTTCAAATAGGATCTTTACCAACAAGCAGTCGATTAACAACCGGCAGCTCTTGAATCACTCCATCAGGAGAAGTTTGGTTTCAAACCTTGGTTCAAGAAGGAAAAAGTGTGCCACATGCTATGTGCTCCGATGGTCCACGTGGGTTGACGAGCACATTTAACTGTTTTTGTGGCTAAGGGCCCTCACCACCCAGGCACAATAATGCAAATCAAAGGGGCACTCTACCACTGAGCTAATAACATGTAATGGGAGCCTCCCACAGGGGCCTGCTATGCCGAAAGCAAGAAAAGCTCCATTCCTCTCCTTTTTTGGCTCCCATGTGGCCATGTCCCTTTAATGCAAGAGTAGTTGGGAAACGTCTTTGTTGAGTTGAAGTGAAATCCCTTTGATGCATAACTGTCATGCATCCAGCCCTAGATAAATGGAAAAAGACTGTTAATTTGAGGTAATCAGACCAAACTAGATGAATTTGATACATAAATTAGAAACTATATATATATATATATATATTTTTAACAAGTATACATAAATTAGAAACTTTAAGAAGGATGCATGAGTTTTAATAACTTTTCAATCATTAAATTGATGCAAAAAGGTTGGAGAATGAACCGTTATGTCGTGCACACAGAATTCAGCAATTCTAGTATGCATTTTCACTCTAGAACATGACAGATGAAAGAGATTATGGAAGACTAGAAACAGATTATCTACATGATAAATAAAGAACGTTAACTTCTAAAATATACATGAAAGAGACTGTGGAACAGTAAAAACCTTGTCCATATGGCCAAATATCAATTTGTGATAAAATATCGTTGGAATAATAGATCACCAAGACTCGATGGAAATCATACAAAAGCAACACTAGTAACAAGCAAAGAAATATGGTCATCATTAGAAACAGTCTGAACAGAAAGTCTGTTATTTGACTTGCGCGGGGGGAGCCTGTCACAACTCGCAACTAATCTTACACTGGACTGTAACGGTCCTGGTCATATAAGCGGGTGTAGCCCTCCTCCCAACAGCTGCAGCTTTTGGGTTGGAACTGAACCGTAACACAATTGCAAACTTTAGAGTTCATAAATATACACCTTATTGGGTAAGAGATTAAAGGTTTTTATCGTGATAAATATTTATTTTACTGTTTTTAATAGAGATATGATATTCCTAAACAATATATTAGTAGAAAAACAGGTTTTTCCTAGATTTATGTAATAGCATCATTAACCGAACCTTTTCTTCATTGTCACAGATTCTTGGTGACAAATTCAGAAACTCATAAATGTAGAACTGAATAAAAGGTGGAACAGGAAAAGTACCCGGAAAATCAAAAAGTGCAATTGAATAATGATCAATAAATGCACTGGAACAAAAAAAAAAAAAAAAAAAAAAACGTATATTTAAATAATTTGAAACTTCTTATTAAGCTATAAAGAATGAATCAGATTACGTACATATTGTGAACATATTCGCCAATTCTGATATCGACTTGGCTCATCAAGGGCTATCTGATATTATTTTGACTCGTTCTTCAAAGAAAATAATTCATTGACTTGTTGGTATTAATCTTTGGTTATATCTCATGTTTGAGTAGGGAAAGCAATTTCATCGTCCGTTACCAAACTGGAGCTTAAGGCTCAGTTTGGTAGAGTGGGTTTGAAGGGAAAGGGAAGGGAAGGTGATGGAGGGTTATAAAAAAATTGTGCTTGGGTAAGGTGAGTGGAGGGAAAGGGAAGGAGAGGGAAGGGTTTGGAGGGGTTCTTCATAACAATGTACAGTAATTTCTTTAACCTTCCAAAAATGGGAGGATAAGGAAGGAAAGGGAAGGCAATGGCAGGCAATGGCTCATATAATATTTGTCATGCCACTTTTACCCTCAAAATTGCACTTGATATTGGGCATGTATTCAGCGCGGGAAGCTTGCGAACGGTGGACGGCGAACCCGAACTGGAACAGCGATGGAAACTGAAAGATGTGGGTTTTGATTTTTTGAGGCGGACGGCGACGGCGAACCCGAACTGGAACAGCGATAGCTCATAAGGACCACCATTGTATAACCATTCATCAACAGATGCCGCTTCCCAGATCGGGTAAAAGTGCAAACCTATAGCTGCAGAAGTAGAACAGCGATGGAAACTGAAAGATGTGGGTCTTGATTTTTTGAGGCGGACGGCGATGGCGAACCCGAATTGGAACAGCGATGGAAACTGAAAGATGTGGGTTTTGATTTGAGAGAGAGAGAGGAGGAGAGGGCAAGTTCAGATATGAGAACGAGATTAGAGATGGAGGCTGAAATGATTTGCCCTAATCTTTTTTTTTTTTTTTTTTTTTTTGTAGCAAAATATAAGAGATTATATATATATATATCTCTCTTTTAAAATATAATAAGGGTATAATAGTAAATTTATTATTATCCTTCCCTTTTCTTTCTTTTCCCAAACATAATTATTATCCTTTCCTTTCTTTTCCTTCATTAACCAACCAAACACAACGGAGGGTTAAAATTATCCTTCCCTTCGCTTTCCCTCATAACTAATCTTATCCCTTCCCTTTCCCTAAGAGATATCATCAATTTTGGTGTTTACATAAGGTTCTTCATAGAAGGGTTTCTGGCGGGAGAGAAAGTGTGAATGCAAATTCTGCAATAGATGGAAGGTTCAGGAGCCATCTTGATAAGGTCACTGCATCTGTCATGGGGAGAAATAAGAACATAAAAAAATCGAGTTATTCAGGAAACTATTGGAAACAATTCAAATGAAGGGGAAGAACCAAGCTGATTTTGCCAAGAAAAAGAAGCAATGAATGTTAGAAAAATCAAATAAAAAAATCGTAACATAGTATGTTAGTTAATTATTGTATAAATCCCACACCGTTAGATAAATGAATCTTATTGATTGAGGACCAAACTCCCATTAGGAAAAAGAAATTTCAGCTCACGTTTCTATATCAAGTATTTTTTACTATAGCTGGAATAACTCCAAATCTAAAGTACTCCCTTTGTCTCAAATTAAATATCCCTTTTCGGGAATCTAACTTTTTAAGAGGATTGGTTTTAATATTTTTTTTATTGTATTGGTAGTGAATGAATTACCAAATATGTCCATAGTGGCCCCACGGGATGTGATGGTTTACTTTTTACAAGTTCAATGTAAGAAGGTTATATTGGTAATGTTACAAAAAAATAGTACTTTGACTTTTCAAATGGGACATTTATTTTGAGATAGTCAAAAATGGAAAAGCGGACATTTAATTTGAGACGGAGGGAGCAATTAGCAAGGCTGTTGCAATAAACTATACAATACATATTAAAATAAATCCATGGAACATTTCTTTGATGTCTGCTATAAAATCTCTAGAATTGGGAATGTAAAACTATGCCCTAATTGTGGCGCCAGTATTCTGAAGTCAAATTCTTGAGTGTGATTTGTCAAACATAGTCAGTGACCTAACAATTTCCAACAACCGATGAAGAACGATTTTGAAAGAACAAACACTAGCAACATATGCCTGACCTCACGACAACTGCTTAGCACAGGGACATTAAGGAACACCAAAGCACAAATATTTGAGGCACCCCTTTAGACAAGTTAGTTCGCTTAGCTATGACAGTCTCTCAGATAAAAAATTAGCTAGACATATAATGTAACTGGTCTAGTAATATTTTCTCCAAAACAATTGACCACTTTACATATCCTCCCCCACCCAAACCCCCACCCCCCCAAAACAGATAAACAAACTGACACAATTTGCTGACAGGTTTTAGGATGCCAATACTTACCCCTGCTTGGAGGGTTATTTGGTGTCTAAGACGTTAGAAACTATTCTCCATTCGCATATCCACATCCTTTTGTCAGTCAAGAAACACACAAATAAGGAGGATCTATGACATGATTCACTGGCTAGCTCATGCTTGTGAATTTCTCAGATTCTCTTTGATTAATTCCACTGATCTTCAGTAACTCTTCCTGGAAATTAAAAAAAGGTAAAAGAAAAGAAAATTTGTCATTTAGGAAAGAAAAAAAAAACGTAAATTCGTCAACAAGTTCTATTAAAAAGAGTAAATGAATCAAAAAATGTGGTTTTACGATTCACTGATGAACAGGGTATGGAGTAAAATTGGCATTTAAAACAAGGAAGATTCAGGAACCTCATCTTAAGGTAGTCTGACAATCACAGGCATATTTCATTGTGATGATTCCATCAAATCCGTTTATACTAGTTTAGAATGGTGCATTAAGTAAAATTCACAAGCAATTTTCAAATAAAAGGTCACAGACATGTTTTCTTTGACAGCAATAGTTTAGAGGCTCACCAGTTTGACTTTCAAATCAGAGATTGCCTGCCGTCGCTGATACGCAAAAAACTTCAGTGACTGATGCAAAAGAAAAAAAAAAAGAAGGAGAAATGCTCAATTTAATCCCATTAACCATGTGGTAGTACACTGATGAATATGTGTATGTTGTTCAACAAAAATGAGAAGAACTGAAATGGTGAGAGAACAAAAATATCTTTTACTTACTCCAATTCTCTGCATTTCAAGAGACCTGTTCAATGCTTCTCTTTTGGTCAGGAGATTCTGAGGCACCGACTTTGGAGGGCGTCTGTAATTTTTACCACGGTAAATAATTATGGCATGGCCTTCTTTCATCTTATCCACTGAAACTAGTATTCCGCCACTTTCTGCTTCTAGCATTTTTGCAGTATAAATGACCTGTGAAAGCATTCTCTGCATTGTAATCACCTTGACTGTTTCTCTGTGCTTCCAGTGCTGATGTAGACCTTCTATCACACCATCAAAAACCCCTCGCCTTCCTGAAGAACAAAATTGGAAAAAAGAAAATAATGTTGACATGCCATTCACGTTTCACCAGAGATCTCTTTTTGCTCTTTTGCTAAATATATTTGACCAGAAAATATATTTACAAAACCAGACAGCACTGACTAACGGCAGAACTAAAGGCTCAGTCTACATCACAGGGTGCGGTTTCCAGACATGAGATCCATATTTCCATTGGTGAACCACATCTACCTAAACATCTGGACAAAGGTTAGGAAAGACAGATGATATGTTGATGGGTTCATTCACCTTCACCGTCTGGATGGGAATTTCAAAGTTCCCAGCTCCACTTCAAGTCCAGGACATGATAGAGGCTTCCCATCAAAGCAATGGCCCAGAGAGCAAATAAACAACCTTCCTAAGATAAATTAGATTCTAGCAGTATTGTTTCTGTGCTTCCCATGCTTTGACATTCATGTATCCACTCGAAAACTTGTGTTAAGGGTAATATAGATGAAATCTCTTCTTATATAATCAGGCTGAGATGATCTGTGCCACTTTCGATCAGCATCATGAGAAGGAGATGGAATGCCAAACGATTATTACTGTGAAAGAAATTGTTCTACAATCTCCAGTTTATAAAGTCATTGGTTCTCCTCTTAAGCTAAAAGCCTCAAATTTGTCAAGGGGCGATGGATGAAAAGTCAACTATACCTAAAACGTGTCTAAATGGTGGTGGACAGAAAGTCAAATATTCTATTTATCTAATAAAGGTTTCTCAAAGAACAGTCCTACATCGCCAAAGAAATGGAAACTCTACAAACTTCTTCTCTTATGTGGCTTGTCCGCCAGTCATAGCCAAAACTATCCTAAGAGTGAGTTCAAAGTTTGTACTGTATTTCAGTTTGCTTTTCTTGATATTTCTTCGAGTTGTTCACTATTTTCAGAATCAAAAAATATATTTTTTCTATTATTTCTCATCGAAGAAGAAAATAAAATATTACGACCAGTTTGATTCCATAGAAGATCTTTTTTTTCTCAACACAAAAGCGATTTTATACAAGACGAGTACTCTAAAAGTTGTGTCAAAATATAAATATGAAGAGATGTACTGACAGAAAATTGGAAAAGGTCATGGAAAAATAATTTTCTGGCCAGCAGCCACAGATATCTTAATCATATAATCCTGAAACATTTGGCATATTGGTATGGATTGTGGTTCAAATGATGTGCATGTGTGTGAGTGAGTGAGAGAGAGAGAGAGAGAACTGAAGATTATTGTGGAAAAAAGAAGTAATTGTTGCGCCAAAAAAAAAAAAAAAAGGAAAGGAAGAAAGAAGTAATGACAAGGAAATCACAAAATGGTTATATTGAAGTCAGATAAAAAGGCAGGGTGGGTAAGATATTGACATACATAACCAATTTAGATGAAGAGCAATAACTAAAGAAATAATTTTTATTATCATCTTACCAAAATGTGAGAACTTTTCAATCATCAACCTGAATGAGACATATCCAGGGAAAAAGAAATTGCTAAAGAAATATCATAACCAATAACCCATTCAACTACTAGAAAATGGAACTCATTTTGACATTAGATTGTTCACTTGTTTTTTCTTCTTTTTTTTTTTTTTTTTTTTTTTTTGGTTAATATATATATATATATATAGTTGAGACTACTGAAAACTAAAACAAAAGGTAACAAAATAGATGAGTATTTCAGGAAAACAAATACAGAACGCTTGCTTACCAAGCACTAAACTGCTATCCATCTTCAATCCTATCTTTCGAAAACATTCCCTCTCCTCTGCTGTTATCGTTTCATGGTCTGCGTCCTGCTCAGAAGGTCTCCATGCAGAATTTAATTTTAATAACTCTTTTGCTGATCTCTCTATCTTTGATTTAAGCTGCACAATCACACACGTTATAAATGTTTTTTGATATTTAACCATTAGAATGTAAAGTGAAACTAGAAGACAACTTAAATCTTACAATGGAAAGCTTGCGCTCTTGATTTCTCAGGTCTTTTACTAATCTCTCCCTTTCAGCTTCCAACTGAAGCTCAGACTCTCTATTTTCATTTTTCAGGTCCCCACATTCTGTTCGGATGTCCTGGAATTCTGATAAAGTTCCAGCTGTGCCAGTGTTCACTGATGCTTCATCAGTTGCATAAAAAGTTTCAATTGTTTTTAGGCGTAAAGCTTCTTCCTGAAGTTGGCACCTTTTAAGCTCCATTTCTCTTTCTGCTACTATATTTGCAACTGTCAGAGGGAGAAAATCTTTACCTCTATAAAGTATTATAAAAAACTTGTTTCGCAGTAACAGTATTCCTCCTGTGAGACACTGCATAATAAGACATTGATGTAAATGTATGTGTATGTTTACAGACAAAACATATAGTTGCAATATGACAAGACACAACTTCATATGCTGAATGTTTCTATATTTCTTTTCTATTCTGCTGACTACACCAACATTAATTATATTTCATATTGTGACTGCTCATAATTATATTAACATAATTCCAACGACGGTAAAAAAAATTCTAAGTGGCATGAGCTCTTTAACCGAGATCCGTGTTTGTGCCTGGTACTTCTGGACACTCTCTTGACAAATAATAAAAAGAAATTTTAGCCAAGGTTTAGATGCAAGGAATTAAGAACTCGGACAAAATTTGAATGAAAGACGCGAATATACGATACAAGTAAGACTTCACTTTAAGAATATACGTAGTATATATATATATATATAGTTGTATTTAAATATACATTATGCATATACTATAGTATTAGATACAGTACTATCATAATGTCGTGTCCATGTCATATTTTCAATGAATTTGTTTTATCAGCAGGTCCACAATTTGTTTTGTCTACACATTTGTGTAGACACACATTATGTCATATTTTCAAAAAAAGCAGTTATAATCACGAATCAAATTGATTTTCACATAAGTAACAAATGGATGAACTACCTTGCCCAGGATTCCTGGCCATATACATGCCTCTGATGTCACACAACGATGACATTCTCAGGGAAGCTTGCCAAAAGAACAAGCACAGGTCACAAGTAACAATGAATTACATAAGGTCATGAATTATCTATAGCCTGAGAATTATCATTGTAATGACACTTGCCTTGAGCTCATATGCCATTTGCTCATTGCTGGTGTTGGGAATTCCCCATTTCACAGCAATTTTTGCTATATGACATTTCTCCCACAATTTTAAGATGGCAGCAGCTAAGCCTTGAAGTTTTCTGTTTCTCCCTTCAGAAAACATGAGGAAATTAGTTAAGGAACCTGAACACAAACACACATGCACATAAACATGCAAAGAATCATAATTTGTTTTATAGTCAAATATATTTGACATCCCACAACACTTATAAGTGTGTGCCTAATACAACCGTTATTCTCTTCTCCCATTTTTCCTTCAAACACTAAATAAATTGTGATCATTAATTAAAGTATATGTTTTACAATGATTTGCGGTAACTACACAAGTTTCAAGCTTGTAGAACAAGGTCAATCAAACAAATCTAGACTCAAGGGTACTTGCTCAAAATAATAATGATACTAATAACAATATGATAATAATAATAGCAGCAGCAGCAGCAGCAGTAGTAAAAGTAATAGACTAATAGTAAATAGAAACAAGTGCATGACCATATATCTTTATTTTTTAGAATTTAGTGCATCAAACATATATATTCAGTGAAGCTTACCCTTTAACAGAAAAAGGAAATTAAAAAAAACCATATACATTCATGTCTGTTTGCTTACAAAAGGACCAACAATGGTAAAAAAAAAATGGTGAAAACAATAATCATTTAAGAAGGTTTTCTTTCACAAAAATGCATAACACCCTTGTACACTTGCAGGAGTTTTTAGGTCACTAATGGTGGATTCCTTCACAAATGTCCAAACTGTTGAAAAACAGAGAAGTGGTACTAAGGTCATCAAGTATCATTTTAAGATATTCAGTTGTATGCCTTCTGGCATGATACATTACAACTGCTATTATAAAAGTTCTTAATCAGTAGATTTTATATAATCAGTGTGACTTAAACACAAATGCTACAAAAGATGAGCCACAGGATAAACTCCACTCAACAAGTCTTAATCACAACGATTATGGGTCAGTTACATGGTACAGGCCTTTGGCACTCTCAATTCACCCGCTTTTTTGGTCTTCCTCTGATCCTTTTGGAACCTTCAACTTGGATCAAATCAGTAATCGTACCAATGCATTAAGTGGTCTGCACGCACGTGTCTAAACCATCTTAGATGACTCTCTCTCATTTTGTCTTCCATCGCTAGAATCCAACTTCCATGAATGGATTCATTTCTTATTCTATCTTTTCTTACGGTACCACTCATCCATTTCAAGTTTTCAACATCCTTATTAGAGTTATATTCCTATTTTGAATATGTTATTTCTAAACTTTATTCTACACATCATACAGCATAGCTGGTTTATAGGTGTCTTAATCAAGTCCACTTTAGCTTCACCAAAATTCTACAATCACACAAAACTTCAAAAGAACTTAATTTTATTCATTATACAATAATTTTTATAGGCAACTCTTCTGGAATCCCTCCTTACACTTAAATTATTATTTTAATCCAAATTAAAATAAAACCTAAAGATTCTAAAGTATTTCTCCATAAGTCTAACTTAAAATTTTACCCTTTCTATAGCTTTGTCAAGTGAAACTCTGTAATATGGAGGGAAAAAAAAATAAAAATAAAAAAAGAAAAAAAAAATTGAAACTATGTAATCAGCAAATAAAATATATCAAATATAAATCCTTATGAAGTTGCTGGTAGTACTAACTGTAGACAAGATAGAGAAAACCAATTAAAAATGATTTGATCGTGACAGTATGGAATTTCAAAAATCTTGGTAGATTTCAATCTTGACTAAAGGCATGATAAGAATCCAGTGACTCCATAATCAATCTAAATCTACAGTTTTGAAACTGTTCCAACTAGTAAACAAAAAAAAAAAATATACAAAAGCGTATTCAAGAAATGTGTACCAATAACCTAATAAGCCTATGAAAATTTAGTAGATATTTTAGCCACTCCGGAATAATGCCGAAAAGCATTAGGCATATGCCCAATCAACTCCTCCCCAAAGCACATTGCATCAACGGGATTAGCAAAGGGTAATGGTCTTTGTTGTATCAATGACTTGTGCATATGCTAAACTTTATTCTTTAATCTAGTTTATATGAGAAGAAAATGCATAAAATATTTTGTTAAATTTTCAAGGAAATCAACTAAGACATTTGTAGCTCACAGTGGGCAAGTTTAAGTACCAAGGACAAAATGGGTGGGTAAAGGGAGAGCAAGCTTCCTCAAGTATGTCAGTTCATCATCAGTCAGCTTTGACCTAGCATGAGGTGAGCAAAGCCTAAATGGAGGCCTGAATCCAGGAAGCACTTCTGGAAGCAAGTCTGCATCTACCGGCAAAGGCTTTGGCCTCCACCAATCAATGAAACGAGGTCCCAAGCCATCCAACAACCTATCAGCTTCTCTCTCAAACAGTGACCCATTTATTGGTATATTCTCTTCATGTCCATCCCTTCTACTCCTCTGTTCATTCAAAACATTTCCATTTGTTTTTACTTGAGAAGAAGCAACATTATCTTCTAAAATATGGCATCTGTCATACAAGGAATAAGCTTTTTGACCACCAGCAGAACAGGGGTACACCTCTGGACAAGCTTTCAGAGTCAACTGATTATTGCGTCCTCTATAAACAACAAGTATGTCTTTCCTACACCATACAACCAAGCCTCCAGTCTTTATCTGTGTGACAGGTAAACAATTAAAAGGCAACCATCAGAATATCTAAAAGGAAAAAATAATAATAATAATAGAAAAAAAAAAAAAAGGAAAACAATAATTTACAGTATTACAAATGATGTCAAGAAGTTTGAGATTAGGGATTAAGACTCTGCTAAAGTTATCTTAAGTTAAAGCATATTTTGATTCCTGCTAGGTGCAAACAATTCCTTGGAGGGGGGGTGTGTGAGTACCAACTAGGAAAAAAGAAAAGAAAGATAAAAAAGCATATTTTGGGGTTCAAAATAACATAAAGACCTAGATCATAGAGTTCCTTTGGCCATTACATTCCAACTTAATTTATTTATTTTTGATAAGTATTACATTCCAACTTAATTTATTTATTTTTGATAGGTATTACATTCCAACTTAATCATCAATAGGAAAGGTCTATTGCAACCAGTACAGCTTTCATCAAGCTCAATTTTTTTAATATCGAACGTACTAAGAATCTACCACCAAACTATATATACATATATATATGATCAATTCGATTTGCCAAACTATTATTAGGGATTGTGTCTCAAATTCTATTGCAATTACGTCTTAGAGTGTATTTTATATGGTAATTTTTAGTTAGGCAAGTCTTGGCATCTAAAATGTAATAGTTGTCCAACAAGGAATTGGGTTTAGAGGTCTATAAATAGATACCTAGGTTATTGTTGAAAGTTATGAGTTAGAGAGAGATGTAGCCCGTGAAGGGTGGGCTCGTGAGGGAGTGAGTTATGGGTAGAGAGAGTTAAGGCTTTGGTAGAGTGAATATTGATGGCACCCTACCCTTGAGTAGGAGTTTGTGTACATGTTTCGGTGTTGGTAATTCTCTACAATTGTAATACCTCTTCATAAATATAGTGAATATCTCCTCATCCATGGACATAGCCCAGAATTAGGGTGAACCACAACAATAGCTAAATGATGATGCCATACCAGTCAGCCATAAACTTTGTATTGCCCTTTTTTAAGGCAAGCTACAGTCATACACCCTCTTTGTGTCCCAATTGAAACATGAAACTTCAGCCACTTCTTCGAGAGGCAGACTAGATACCATTGAAGCTAAAGCTTGGTGATTCTATATATCAAACTAATTCATAAATTCGATAGAACTTCGTACATTTCAACCTTCCACACATATATATAAATATATATATTGTCTACTTTGGCAAAAGTAAAATGAACCAAGCACAATATGCAAACTCTTAATTAAAAAAGGCAGTGAAAATTTCATGAATGCAATCTTTTTCATTTAAAAAAAAAAAATCAAAATAAAATAAAATTTCGTGCACAAAGCTAACCTCAACAATTTCTCTTGCCCGGTCCATATTCCGACACAATGGCATATCTAATTTGAGCATGGCAAGTTCATTGTTCTTCCATATGAAATGAATCTGATCAACAACCGATTGAGTCACCCCAGCTTTCTTAACTTTCACCCACTTTCTCATCCTTCCAGCCTCAGCCCTCAATCTCTCAAGCAACACTCCATCAAGACTCAGTTCGGCAGCCGTCACCACCTTTTCCTTCTTCGTCCTCCGAAACACCACCTTCTCGTCCTTCGACCATGGCATTTTCCCGCCAATTCTTGAGTCCCCATCTCCCAAAAACTGTTCCAAGGAAACCCCAAATTCAAACTCGTCTTCTTTCTTGTTGGTTTTCTCTGATCTATGGGTTTCTTGAAGTTTTTCAATGCTCTGTACTATATTTTCCATCGCTTTCTTGCCCCTTCCTCCGCTTATTTTCTCCGTCAATGACGGTTCGGGTGTCCCATCTCCGCCATTGAACGAGTTATTATTGTGTCTTGGTTTGGAAAGTTCTGTGACTTGAGTAACCCTCATCCATGGAGGCGTGGGCATTTTAACAGCACGCGAAAAGGGCTCTGATGAAGAAGAGAAATCTGGGTTTTCCAATTCATCATTGTTGTTGTTGGTGGTGGAGGAGTTGAATGGGAGTGAATTGACGATCTTGGAGGTACGGAATGGTTTTGGGTTTACGAGAGAAATGGGGTTTAAAGAGTATGAGTCGGAAATTATAATAGGATTGTGAAGGAAATGGGGGTTGTTTGAGAGAGAGAGAGGAGGAGGGGAGAGAAATAGCGTGGCAGACATGGGGAGACTGAGAATGAAGATTTTGTGTGCGCTCGACTGGAGAAAGCTGAACTCAGTTCTTGAATCTTAAGTACAAGTTAACAATACCAAGAAACCTGGATTATAAAGATATTTTGGGTGAGGGACTTGGTTTTTTGACATTATGTACAAAAATCTCTATAATACAGGTTGCTTGGTATTGCTAACGATGTACACTAACAAAATTATCCCCGTTCATCTTGCCTTTTCCTTTTCATTTCTTTTTCGTTTTTTTTTTTTTTTTTTTTTTTTTTCTTTTTCTTTTCTGGCTAAACAGAAGAATTTATTAATTCAAAGTAACAGGATAAATCCAAAACAAGTGCCAACAGGATAATATTGTGGGCTTCATAGAACAAGGTAAAAAAAAATTAAGAACAAATTTTTCCTCAATACACTATAAAATGTTACTGTATAATTCCACCTTCCAAAATAAAATGGTGAGATTTGAAGTTCTCCTGTGACTATGGAAGTGTATATATTTTCGTTTTTAAAAAAATGTATATATATATATATGTCCCTTTAGATCTCCAAATCATCCATTTAGATTTCCAAATCAAAGCCAATCACTTATATATTTGTAAATTTGAGCCAATTTTATTCATTAAATATATATATATATATATATATATATATCTGTGTGTTTTGGGATCTTCTTATTTTTTCTAAATATTTGAACATTATACCTAATTTTCTAGGGAGTGTAGAATTCGAAATTATTCACAGTTTGTTATCAAAGGTGGTGCAACTTAATGATACTTCAGCAAAGAAAAAAATAATAAATAAATAAAAATAAAAAAAATCTTCAGCACCATTTAAATGAGGATGTTAAGAATTTGAAGTCCCATAAGAACATTATGAGTGTGAATGTATTTCTTACTAATAAAAATAAATAAATAAAAATACATACTTTGTTTCCTAGTCCCCTCTGTTGATGGTTAACGTACTGGTATCAATTTGCAGTCGTGAGTAAATATTGGTGTAAACCGAGCAGTTCATGAAGGTGTGCAGCGGATGTAAGGGGGAATATGGTGAGCTTGAGCCCCCCCTCCCCCGCCCAAAAAAAAAATATTACTCTAGAAAATTTTAGCCCAGTCCCAAAACAAAACAAAAAAATTAGTAATAGTAGCTCACCCAAGAATATATTTCTGGATACTAGACAATCTCACCTGAATGAGTTAAGGCCCAAGGTAGACACTGCAAGATATGATCAATAGCATTCTGCTGCCCATTGTCTTAAGTTAGGAAGTATGGAAACTTCTACGAAAGAGTCGTACTCGTGTTGGATATCGACACTTCATATATGTGTCCATAAATAAAAATTAATTTTATTATTTTGGACACTTCGCCGACACTTTCCAAACACTTTGCCTACACAAGTCTACCCACTAATCTTGAAAATAATATGAATACTATCATGACAAAGTAATAAAATATAAAAATCATTACAATAATAACATAATTTCATTTTGTAATTCATTTCAGAAAAATTCTTAGCATAAAAATTATAAATAAATTAAAGTTTTATAATACTATTATTGAATAGATGTATAAAAATAAAAATTTAGATTTATATGTAATCTTATACACGCCATACGTGTGTTCTACCTTTTTAAAAACAAAATTTACGCCGTACGTGTGTTCTACCTTTTTAAAAACAAAATTTACGTGTCAACGTATCCATATCGTGTCCGTACTAGATAGGTCTTAAGCCTGGTACATATGCTTAAAGCTCCTCTTCTAATGTCGATATCTGGTAACATATCCAGCAAATGAATATTAATTACAATAAACTATCACACAATCATGTCTTCTAATTAATTGCAATAAAATTCATTCTTATATAAGCAAAATTTTACTTTTACGATTTAATCAAAGTCAATCAAATTGCCATTTTCACAATATGAAGGATTGCTGAACCTCATACCTGGTCAATTTCTATGTTCACTAACCATCTCATTTTTTAAAACCATGCATGCAAATCACATTATATTACAGGAGGGCCCTTAATTTTTTTATTTTTTATTTTTCATCATAGAACTGAGGTCAAATCCAAACACAAGAAGTGAGAAGGCAAACAAATTTACAACTTAAAATGACTACAGAACTCTAGTTGGAAAGAAGTTTCCCATTGAAGCATGACCTACAATTGGCAGATTGCTACAAAAGATTACTTATTTGAGTCCTGGGGATTCAGGATTACTGGCATCAAATATGAAGAAAGGAAAGCTCCACCTAAAACCCTCTCCTCTTTCCTCTCTCGAATACCAACTTTCTAGTCAAAATCATGAAAACCAGCAAAATAATTTACATGCAAGACACAAATCAACAGATATCCAATGGAAGCGGGTAGAATTACTGCAAAACTACACCGAAACAGAAAAGAAACCAATCCAGCACAGGTATGCACATCACATTGCTTTCTTGGGTTCATCATCCATGGGATCACGAAGAGTTCCAAACATCCAGTCCATCCATATAGTGTAGTGGCCATAGTTGTGGCGGTATGTGGTATGGTGAATAGTATGGTAGCCGGCACCCATTACAGGCCATAATTTACCATGGATGCAGTCATGAATGTTTGCCGTCCATATAGCCTCAAGAAAAAGGAGGCCTATATGTGTTGTGAAGTGCGTTGGAACAAGGAAGAGAGCTACAACATGTGGTACCGCCTGCAGTATCCCATCCAGTGGGTGGAATGCCAAACCTGATACAATATGACATAAATCAATGAATCATATACGGTGTAGTTATTACTATTATGGCAAAACTTTCAATATAGGAGCTTTCAAACTACAAAGATGTATGGAAATGAAATTCCCATGGAAAAAAATCAAGAAATCATTAAATAATGTTTCCCATAGTAATTGTAGGTAGAGACAAGGCCATATCCTATGGAGTCCACATCCACCCACCCCTCCCCATGCACGCGCGAGGTCACAAGGAAATCACATAACTATGATCAAAGTCGATCTTTCAGCTCCACTCTAATTTCAATTTTAATTATAGTCCATGTCACATGAACTCTTCTAAATGCATCAAGTACCCTTTGACACACTACACCTGACAAGAGGGTAATAAATATCCACCAATCGCTACTGATCGGAAATACACCTAGCTAGCATACTCGAAAATTCAACTTTATTATATATCTGTGCCTAAACACTCTTCTCATTCATTTGGTTACATTATTGTTCCAAAATGAGTGAAGTGTTAATGTAGCACACTTGATGTTAAATAAAAGGACAATTTTTTACCCTAGAAATTAAAGAACGGTATTGAAAAGGTATATAAATATTTGGCAGTGTTCCTAAGTTTGGATATGTCGACACATCCACACTTGACACGCACCCACGTCCATGTAACACAATTCATTAGCTCATTTCAGATGATTCAAAGAGTCTAAAAAGGTGTAGAATGACTTTTCGTTTTCTTCCACTAAATGAGAAGCATTTCGTTAGAATTGGAAGTATCATCATTTGGAATTTTGGCATGTCAATGCATAAGTCTTTCTTGGTATCATGGACACCTTTCTACAAGGTTTTATTTGGTATTGGCAATCTGAAGGCTTCTGGGTGAAATGGTGATGCTGCGGTCACAACGCAAGTCCAGCATTGACAGGTCACCAGTGCATTGAGTTAAATAAACATTGGGAAGAGATGGTAAGATGTAGAACATGGTAACAAGATGCTTGTGACAGCAAAATCTTTTGAGATTCATCAGTCATCACTGACAAAACTGGTCTGAGGCTATATTCTAATACATTGGTGTTTTTCCTTGTCAAACCATTTGCTGAAACACGAAAGACACATAACCATATAAATACGGTGCAGTCAAGTTGAGCTGCCGCTATCAAATTAGAAATTGCTTCTATAAGTGTCTGATTACACATAATGTGCAGGTTATATATTCCCTCCAAAAACTCATACAAATGGGGGAGACGCCCCATGAGGATACAATTTGACGTAGTTAAATTAGGTAACGTTGTATCACCAAGAATTTACCCAAAGTGGAAGGTTGAGGGTCCAAGTCTCCTAGGGGCAAAATGTGGGTGTGCGTGCTATTTGCCATTACAAACAAATAAATAAATAGATAAGTAAAATGTTGTCAAGGATGCAATCATGCAAAAACCATAGTACTCTAATTTCAGTTTGTTTCCTCCTACCCCACCAAGTTAGCACCCGGGGTTTTTTATTTCTTCTAACACCAAACTTTTATGTGAAAACCAGACTTGTCCAACATCAGCAGTTCCCTGCCTGAGTGCCTGCTAGTGATCTCTGGAATGCTGTGAGGAACTGATGACAGAGGAAGTTGTGGGACTTCAAGCAAAAGAAAATTCTAGAGAAAGGAGAGTTCTACACGGAGTCTTTGAGAGAGTCAATACTGCTCTCTCTCTCTCTACTCTGACTCTACACAAAGAGTCTTTGAGATTGTCACTAATGCTCTCCCTCTCTCTCTTAACATCTGACTGCATTCTAAGGCATCCAACTACTAGCTTAATGCAAGAAAAAATCTAAAAATTTGATGAGTACATAGATTTGATTTTTTCCTTCTTTTCTAGAATGCTTCATAGTATAGGAAGAGGACTCTCCTCTAGAGGATAAGTTGAAAGAAATAGCTAAAACACTCCTCTATTCCCAAGACCTGTACTAGAGATTGCCCATGGTCCAAGGTACCCATGCTATAATCAAGGTTTAAATTTATTAGATTTAATTAAAAGGGCAAGATTCAAATCTCCTGCAGTTGTTTTATCAGTCATGGGGAATGCCCTGATTCTACCCCTTTTTTTATTATTATTATTATTTTTTAATAAAGCTCGAAAACACTAAAAAAGTTTTTTAAACTACTCTTTTCACTTAAAAAATATTTCATCTAAAGAATTGCTGTCAGAAAGTTCAAGCTCAACTGAATATCAATACAGGAATTTCCCAACTCTTCTTTTCAATATTTTGTTTTATACCTTTAGCAAACCATATGAACAAAAAGCAAACATTAATTTATCTCATCAAGAAACAAATGACTTGCATAGACCAACCACCCTGAAAATTTTCAATTTGACCTGGCACTGAAATAATGGAGATTGAAATGAGTAGAAAGTAGAACATACCAGCAAATGGAGAAAGGGTATTTTGCTTGTTATAGATGTGATGTGTTGCATGAAGATACTTGTAGAGAGGTTTTATGTCATGCAACTCTCGGTGCATCCAGTAAATCCCAAACTCCACAATTACAAGATAAACCATTAAATACACAAGATAGGGAAGCCAACCAACATCAATAATCCTAGAATAACACCTTGTCCAACCGCTTTCAACCATGTACTCAGAAAGTGTAGGAAGAGCAGTGTACCATGGCATGGCCTTCATTGCAACAATTATTTGCAAAAGCATGGCCTTTGTTGAAGGAATGGCATCTGCAACAAGAATATGACAAACTCAAAAAGTTTATTTCAGGTTGAGGTAATGTACATGCAACGAAGCAAGATGGAAAGTTATTTACCAAAAATTTAACAGCCTTAAGTTATGCTAATAAAAACACTTTAACCCTCAAAATTTAAGTAGAATTTCCTTTTAAAAAATTACAAAAACATCATATAATATCAGAGAACCAACCAATAGAACAGATTTATGCATGATATCATAGAGCCTACAATAAATTAATGCAAGTTTTTGCTCTGTTAATCTTCCCTTACTGGGTCTGGCATTATAGGATCTATCACTTTTAGATATTGCTATCTGTTTTTTCTTCTTTAAACAGTTATACTCTCAAGTCTCAACTATGAAAGAAATATAACATTATAAAACCTCTCGGTCCCTGATCAACTGAAAACCGATGGCCAATTGCAGTAATTGTGCTACCAATGTATAATTCAATAATGTTTAAAAGGAAAACCCTAACAATTCATGATTATAACACGGTTTAAACTCACATCTGCAAATATATGGAATTGATCACCAATGATATATTAAATTGGAAAGTCATAGTGACATAATGAAAAGCATAAGGTCGGTTGGTGAGCCTAGTGATAGGAGACTGTCTAGCTTGGTTGTGAGAGCATTTGGTGGGTTAAAGATTTTTTGTTGCTAAATGTTACAGCCCAAATGCTGAACTATTGACCCTACTTGTTCGAATAAGTGTTTCACCCCAAAGTGTTTCCGGACTGGATGCATAATTCCATAAGGAACTTAGTTCAACATGGCAAATTTCCTAAAAAGTAATCGGCAAATAAAAGAAAAACAGGTCAACATCTTAATGTTTATTTGGGAGATTGTCCTTGGGCTGAGGGGTATCCATATGAGTTTGTTGAGGTGTCTACACAGGCCTGTGGCAACCAGTTGGTTTTCCAAACCTCAACCCAGTGTCACAATGTCACACATTGTCTAGGTCCGAAGGGATCTAGTGCCCAACTACCGACTCCCCCAGGAATCGCGTTATCGGAGCCGAGCCAATAATGGCAGTTAGTGGACACCCATCACTTTTCAGTCTTTAGAGAAACACTCTTTAATACATTAAGAAAAGATGTTCACATGGGCCAGAAGTATGCAAATGATAAAATCATCAATCAACTGAAATCATATGACACTGGCATGATTATATCATCATCACAAAATCCTAAAAAGAAGTAAAAAAATTATTAACATTGTAGAAACAAAGGACATGACATGATCCAGTAAACAGAGATGAGAAAAAGAAAGGAGAAGGTCACAAATAATCAAACAGACACTCATAGTATCTTTGCCAACTCACTCGACAGTCATTGCTGATATCAAATATTGATACAATAACATAAGATCGGATCATTAGACAGCACCAGTTTTGGAAACCCATGTGATTCAAACATAAAATAGTCATTAGACAGTCTGTCAACGTGATTGAATATTAAACTCAAATTGAAATTTGAAAACTAAGTAAAGCCCATCTGGAAAAATTATATATGGAAATAGAATCACTGAGACAGACCTTCAGAAAATTTCTTAAGCAACAAAAACACAGATTAAAAATAACAATAAAAATCCCATTTGGGGGGAAAAACAATAACAAGAAACCCATTTGATATCAAACAAAAAATTATAGAGGCATACATTCATAGTATCAATTGGTTAAACTGATGATTTGCACAATCAAGGAATTAAAAATAAATAAATAAATTAAATACACAAAAGAAAAAATCAAACATATAGAGATTTATATATAATACCTTTTGGAAGATAAACATTGCGTTTCAAGTAATAAATGTAGAAGCACCATAGGAATCCAGAGATGAAGTAGAGTAAGGTTCCTGCGACGTAGTTACGGAGCCATGTTTGTAAGAAGTGTGGAAGTGGGTCCCACACTCTAGCCGGCAAGAGGTTCTCGAGAACAATGCGATTGTAGAAAGACGTCTCGTCTACGAAGAGTTGCAGGTAATCCTCCATCTAAGGGGGTCGATGGTTGTGTCAGATGCCACCGCTGTGTCGTCAGATTCCGGTGGGTCTTCGCCGGAAATTCCAATGTTGAGCCGAGTCTAGACAGAGAGTAAAGACAACTTTGAGCTGGAATGACGAGGGAAAGCCAACTCTATGTGTCAGTGTGCGTATATATAGAGAGAGAAAATCAGAGAGAGAGAGAACGGTCTTATGCTTTAGATTCCTGTGAATTTATTAGCGGCGAAGAACGGTGTAACTGGACAAAAAATATCTTTTATTTATTTTAAACCAAAGGACAAAAGTATATCTAAATCTCTCTTTTAAGTATATCAGTATATTCCAAATCCCTGTGGCGCGGAACCATTACCAGCAATGTACCTCTCACACTTTGCTCGTTACAATGTTTCAGATTAATTAATTTAATAAATGTAATACAATAGGTAGCCCTCACACAACTTGTGACGTCACTACGTTGAAATCTACTATCATTCTCACATAAATTGAATGATATGGCGTATAAGAGTAAATATATATATCTATATATATATACATATATCAAAGAAGAGCCCAAACCAAAAATATGATAATCATTCATGGACTTACCAATTTATTCTAATTTTTTAAAAAAAGTTATTATAAATGTTGCATTTTTTTATTAGTCATATTTAACCTTTAATTTTATTTTATTTTTTAACGACTAGGTAAATTCATCCCTTCTTTTAATATATTAGATACTTCTGAGTGATGAAACTGTAAAAAATTTCAAATTTTAATTCAAATGGAAATGCCCTAAGAATTCACGTGTAATGTCACATGGATTGCAAAACGTTATTATCGAGAGATGTGTCACTATGATCTCAGTCAACTAAAGCTTTATTTTCAAATAAAGCAAATAGAATACAAATAAAAATTATTAGATAAATTATCTTATGTTTAAACTATAAACTAGTGAACAAATTTGACCAATTATTGGATAAACTGTCCCCACCAGATTTGATTGATCTTTGCCATAATCACGCCCACCCTTAATTTAAGGGTAAATTATACGGATCTCTACTAAAATTTAAACAAGATTACATAAATATAAATTATTTATCATTTATTACTTTAATCTCTTCTAAATTTGTCCTCTTGTAGTGATATTAAGTGTAAAAAATCAATAATACTCTAATGTAATAATTATATATTATATTATATTTTTATACAAGAGATAGACAAATTTATTATTTTATAAAATTTAATTAAACTGTTTGCCGAAAAGAAAACATAAATGAAAAAGGCCTTTTTTAACACACATGTCAAAATAATAAAACGTCGAACTATTTGCGAATGATTTGTCCAAATATGTGCAGTTAAAAAACACTTAGCCATCAGTTCAAAGGTAAAATACAAAATGAAAGTGCCAAAGACTACCCTCATAAAGGACAAAATTACAAAAATAATCTCATCAAGCAAATGACCATTAACACTAATATATTATGAGAAAAAAAATAGACCAAACGCTTAAAATGCACAACTGATTGATTTAGCCTCCCCGGTGACCGCTGCTTGTTTTTGACTTTGTGACAACAGAAAATACTCCGTAAATCACTTTCACCAAACAAAGTTCCAGCTGTCCAACTAAATGCTCTTATATCACCATTATAATATTTAGGCAAAAGAGCAAAATAGCTTCCTCAACTAGAACCATGTTGTTGCATATTGCTTCTTAAATTATTTTTTGAAACAAGTTATCCCTTCAACTATTAAAAAAGAACAAAAAAAACCCCCTTAAAGGCTACGAGGGTATATTCCGACCAATAGAAGAGCAAAATTACCATATTACCCCCAACTATTAATTTATTATTAAATATATTAAATATCAAACGGGTAAAATACCTAAAATAGCCTCAATGAGAAACTCCGACCAAACAAGACCCAATAGAGCGGGGAGAGACACAACCCAAGTCAGTCAAAGCCAAAAGCCCCAACTGCGTGATGCGTGAACTGTTGGCAAGAATGTGCTCGGAATGTCGTCAGGCCTCGGAATTGATTGAACGGGGGTGGTGTTGGGTTTGATTAGGGCTCTGCAATCGGTATCGCATGGTGGTTGTGTTAGATTTTGATTATAATCGATGATGATGGTGATGGAGATCAATAAGGATTCTGCAAGCGTGCATTTGCAGGTTGGGTTTAATACGCCGCTGTGGGGTTACAATTTGGGAGTCGTAGTGATGGCAGCGAGCAATTCATCGACGGTGTCGGTCAGTTGTGACGGCGACGGTGCATCTGAATCCTTTGATAACTTCTTCAGAATTCTCCAATGCTTTCCCTATTTATTTATTTAATTTTTTTCCTTTTTTCTTTTACAGATAAAAACCTTTTTATGTATATGAAAAACTTTCTTGTATATAAGGTAGTGCTTGGTTTCCAACTGAAATAGAGATCTGATTGTGCTTGGTCTCCAACTGAAATAGAAAGGGGAACCACTTCTGCCACCAAAAAATCTATACTAGCAAGTTAATTTACATAATTATAATCAATTCATTATCGTTCAGTCATTAAGAACCAATTGAGATTACAAATACAGGCATGATTCATGTTTAAAAGTAGTCATGGCAAACAGGATAATAATCACTCGGTAGGACTTGAGACTAATGATATGGTTTTCAGAAATACACCAACATTTGATGTTGAACACATGCGCATACACGCACGCACAAAGATGGCAAGGAGTTGCTTTCGTTTGACCAGTAATTGACACAACAAAGTCTGCTTTGTGCCTAATACCTTTCGTCCGTCTGCGATGGCAACAACTATGAATTTGTTCCCAATGACACAGAAATCTGATTGTTTGACCCAAAATTCAGCCTCGTTTGGGAAGATGAAGAAAAAAAATCTTAGAACCGCATTAGTGAAATTTTATACCTAGATATTTTATATTTTTTATAATAAATTAATAAATAAGGGTAAATTAGTAATTATGTCTCTTTGTTGGCCAAAAATTAGCCTCCGGGGACCTTTAAGTAAGGGAGCATTTTGCAACAATGGCATAGTTCAAGGGAGCAACTTGCTTCTAAAAATAGTTCAAGGGAGGATTATGCAACAATGGTATAATTTAGGAATGTTTTTTGCTCTTTTGCCTAATATATATACACACAAACCTAACAAGTCGAACACTTGACAAAGCCTAGGGGAGGTTAGTGTAATTTATCCATTTATAAATGATGCAATCAAAGTATTTTCCATGGGATAAAGCGTGTTATATATACATTGCATCATTATGCAAAGCAAATTCATTCCTCACTTTCTAAATACTAAACAAAACTGAGGAAATTTGTAACATATAATCTACAAGATAATATGAGACAGAGCGCCACACCCCCTTACCCCAGTTGCTGGAAGAGTATTAGTGTCAAAGTACCAAAAAGTCCCTTTTTCTAACTTCAGTCCTTTTCTAGTTCACCTTTTTTGGCAATAAACATGAAGCAAGAAAAGTGCCTACAGAAAGTAGAAAGGCAAACCAAAAAAACCAAAAGAACATGTCACTTCTGTCTTCAAACTTTTTTGAAGTTTTAGTGTAATATATATATATATATAGCTATAATAATTGTAGTGCATCTCGGATTCTTATCCAATATGCAATTGAACAAGTTCCACCAAACCCACAATATACTTGACATTATCAACAATTTCCACAAGACGGACAATATCATGAGAGACCAATTTCATGACCAGTGTCATTGATGTTCCAATGGTAACAGAAAATTCTCCAGTTGGGCTTCCCTTTCATTAACTTCCTAACGTCTCTTATGTATCAGGAAAAATAAAATAAAATAAACTTCCTAACGTCTCCTATGAAAAACTTGAAAGGCACCGGAGCTGAAACCACTTGGGCATCAACTTAGACTATCAAAGTCCCTATCAAAAGTACCTCACAGGTTCGCAGTCATCAGACTGTCGTTAACCAATCTTGCTTCAGTCCATCCGGTATTTTACACACTGATTTAGAATGAACTGCAACAAATAGGTTACCCAAAACATGTGCACTTTTTTCTACTAGGGAGGGACTCCAACTCCATGTCTCTTTGATCACATGACAGCCTCCTACAAACTGTATAACCTCACATGCATCAGGCAGGATGAGAACTAGGGGGATGGCCTCCAACATCATGAAACTCAGGACTTCCATAACGTGAAGCGTTGTCCCGGCTATCCTCTCTATCCCTTGGGATTGTGCCGTGTAATGTATTGCTACAATAACAAGACATTTGATAGAAAGGACTAATATTTCAATTGGTCCAAAATGTTGTTAGCGAGCTTAGAACAACTTACATGAGGGAACGTGATTAGAAGATGACAATATCATCGACATTCTCTATTTTATATTTTAATAACTATACCATCGGCATTGTTGATTGTACAAATTTGATAATTGAGATTACTTACCCAAGGAATATCTGATCTTTGGATATTCTGCAGGCTATAAAATCAGAACTCCTGCAGCTTTCTTTAACAGATTCAGGAAAAGTGACTCTTCCAGAGAAATGTGGGTATAAGTAATCTCCTCTCTCCTTTTGCACACGCAACACAAGCGTCCCTTCAGTGTCTTTTCAGTAATTCAATCATGCCTGTTTTCTCTGCATTTATAGAAGTAAATACTAGTTTAGACTTGTGACATGCAAATAATCCAAAAGGGTTTCATCTAAATATATAAGTTCACGGAGTTTCTCATTCAAGATGAAAATTAAAACAGCTAACAGATATCTCTCTCTCTCTCATGTAGAGTTGACATGAAGTGATCCAAAAGGGGTTTTTCATTAAAATTTAGAAGTTTATGAAGTTGCTTATACAAGAAAAAAATAATACACCAGCTGATGGATAAAAACCAAGGGGTTTTCACTAAGGGTTTGTTCGGCTACATGGAATTGGAGCTTTGGAATTGAAATTTGAGAAAATTTTGGTTCAATTTTCTTAGTTGTTTTTCTCATATTTCACCAATTCCAATTCCAAGGCTCTAAGTCCATACAGCCGAACACACCCTAAATGTAAAAGTTCATGAAGTTTCTTATTCAGGACAAAAAAAATATATATATATATATATGACAGCTGATGGATAAAAATCCTCTCTGCACATTCCTCCCATGTGTGCGAAGGCCATTACGCTGTTGAGGGTGCAACGAGACTAGAAGTTTGATTCCAAAGTCCATGCCAACTTGAACGTGTTTACCAATAATGAGAAGTGGAAGACAAATAACTCAGTGGAGCTCTCTCTCTCTCTCTCTCTCCATGTGTGCAAAGGCCATAATGCTTTTGTGGGTAGTAGGAGAGAAGATTGATTCCAAAGTCAATGCCAACTTGAACATGTCTACCAACAAGGAGAAGTGGAAGATGAATAACTCAGTGGAATTCAGCTACCATTCTAACGAAATTTATGAGGAGCATCAAACTAAAGAAAATAAAAAAAGAGAGAGAAAGAGAACAAAACTTAAGAAAAAAGAAAAAGGAAAAGGAAAACATAATTAAAGAACAAGAAACGGCACAAGCTGATTTTCAATAGTGACAATCATGAAGGTAGTGAGTCTATTCATATTTGGTTTTGTGCAGTAGAGATTATGGATGTACATTGTAGAGTACTATGCACGGGAGTAATTCAAGAGACTTGGTCCCGACTCATTGATAGGTTCATAATTTTTGTGGTTTGAAGGCACATTACGTAATTTTCAAACATTTTAGAAACTTCACAAATTGTTCTTGTTTGTAGATTGCACATGATAATTGTTTTTTTTTTCCTCCGAGGCAATAGTGAAATCATAATTGCGCCACATGAACTCCCCTACAATATTTGATTTTAGCTTAATGCGATCCAGGCTTCTAGTGTATAATTTGAAGTGTTGACCCAATGAATTCTTTTGTATTATTATGCCAAGACTACAAAGAGAGCAGTGTTAAAGGGCTAGAAGAATTCTGACTTGGGGTAACTTGTCATTTTATGTTTCCTCATTTCACTGCAGCCCCTCAAGTGTCTTGCCTTCCCACGTGCCAGAAAAACCTGTGTTGTTGCTTTGGAGCAAGATAAACTGAGTTCTTATGGTGATTCGAGGAATTTTTTTTTTTTTTTTTCCCCTGATTTTCTGTTACAACTAATTATGCACATGAGCATCCAGCCATGTCTGGTGTAGAACGCAAGACCCTTTCGTGCAATATGATAGGCAAACTTGATTGTCAGTGAGGATGCTAAAAACAACGATACATTAAAGCAAAAGATAAGCAATTTTTTGTTATGAAGGAGTTATTATGAGCAGAAAAAAATAATATGAGATCTAACATGACAAGCATGAGGCAGCAGCTAATGGATATTGAAGTATATTAAGGAGTCATTCTAGGCAAGCAAGCTCTTAGATGATGACATGGACATGAGTGATGGCCTAGGTAAAATAATGGAATATAGATATAGACAAGGATGGAGATCTTAATAATAAAACTTCTTAGAATGCTGTGTTTTCATAAGGGGCGATTTTATTGCAATCAAGGCTGTACATGACTATCTGCAAAGGCCTAGTATGCTTCAAAGAATCAATAGTTTGGACAATACTATGGCCATGCAGGAGAGTTTCTGCTTCTGCAAAGGTTGCACCTTTGATCCCTACAGGAGATCTGTTCAATTCCACATGACACCCCAGTGACCCACCATAATCCGAATTCCCAGAGTAGTCTTCCATACTCCTTCAAAGTTCATCTTGATGTAATTCGAAGAGAAAAATGGACACAAGATTGAGATAGATACGTTTGAATTTTGACTATACAGTGAACTTGGGATGTGTGAAGATTGAATCTTTATATCTTGATCATACATACTACCCGCAATTGGCTGTATAGTAACCATGTCTTAAGTTGATACAAGAGTGAAGCTGGTAAGGGTACTATAGGATTTGGGCGTACCTACTCAAATCGAGAATTGTCAGGCTCCATTTTTAATGGGGAAATGGTACCAACAAGTTGTATGTTTCTTTTACACAACAAATTCTTTTTCAAAATGATGGAACCACTAACATGTTTCTTATGGTATATATGTATACTATTGTAGTTATTGTGGGTAGGGCGATGACGAAAAAGATAGTGACTACCTTTCCACCTTATAGCTTCACTAAATTAGAAGAATTTATAGGGTGTATAATTGCAGCCCTCTATTCAATTATCTACCACCAAGCAGTGTCAATACTTCAGCACAGTTGCTCCAGAAGACAAGTGCTAACTCTCAACCATGACTCATGTTCTTTGTCAGCGGATCAGTAATACGTTTCATGTAACTAATAATGATCTCTACTTACCAAAAAAAAATGTAACTAATAATGATCTTAGGGCTACATTATCTTACATTGATTCGACAAAGTAATATAAGTTATATGATATATACTACAAAGACAAGGGGACATCCATGCTGAATCATGAAATCTTGAAAGGGCACCTGGTCTCAGAATCGCAACCAGAGCAGCTATATGATTTTAAACTAGAATCTGATATACTTATATTAACCATAATTTAGGGATTTATGCTTGCATGACTTGATTAGAAGAAAACATCACAATTCAAGGATACGATACTATTAAAGGTATCTCATCTCATCAGAAAGAAAACAAATCCTTGGAGGGGGAGTGTGTGAGCACCAACTAGGGAAAAAAAAAAAAAAAAGGTATCTCACCTCATCAGAAGCTAACATATTGGAAAAGATGATCTCAAAAAGGAAACTTAAACAGCTGGCACTGAATTGGACTGCAGTTTCATTTGCACCTCCTCAAGACAAGCCTGAAGATCCCTAAATTCTTCAGTGTCTGAAAAACTCTCAGCCTGAAATTCCACAAATGAATATCATCTGTCACTATAATACGGAAAAAAAATAAAAATAAAAAGAGCGCAAAGATTGGCAGCAGTTCTGATATCAGTAACATTAACTTACCATCAACGTGCTTGTTGTGGTCCCCTATATAATGGAGTCAGCCACATGAACTCTCTTCTTCCACCATTTTCTATAACAAGCTAAGTATCCTATTATATCTAGTTTCCTAAGGTCTTTCCTTATTACTTCATTCCATGTCAGTTTCAGTTTGTCTCTTACCCTCTATGTTAACTAGGCTTTACTTTTTCATTGGTGTATATTACGAAGCAGCCAAGATGCATCCTCAACAGAAAAAAAAGAGGTCAAAAACATGTTCTTGGTAAAATATGAGCTGGGGCTTTTTTGGTCTTCCATTCTTCTCCTAACTCATCTCTTAATATAAAAAATAAATAAAATTAAATTAACTTTCCTCTTTCCAAAATAATCAGGTAAGAATCCAGATCTCAATCCAGAGCTACTATTACAACAATCAACTGAGCTCACGAAGTCGGATTAAAATAATAAAGTAATTGACTTGCCTGCTTAATTATATTCTTTAGGTGCATCTCAGCTGCAAGGAGCTCTTTATGACTACCAGTACAGGAAGAGAGTTCCACATACACCTTACAAAGTTCCAAAGAAGCATGTGCAAACTTCAAAAATCGATCTCTATGTTTCCACAAATCAGAACCCTGAGAGAGAGACAAAAGAGATTTAAATTCTGCCTTGATGCCAAATTATTCATGTAAGGTACAATCCTTAAACAAAGAAATTTTGTCAAAAGGCTGGAAAGACTTGGAAGCTTGTAAAAAATTAGCCTATCTGCAGCACCTAGAACCACATAAATGAAACAAAAGAACAGTTATTCTTGTGCTTGCAATTCAACCAAGAAAACTTCTGGGGTAAAAATCAAATGCAGATAGAAGCATTTAAATATGCCTGAAGCAGAAATTATACAAGCTTGGCAAATGTCAATTTTACTTCAGTTATGATATGAGTCATTCACAAACTAGTTATGTAAGCAAAGCAGAAAAGGTCCCTGTTGCTTTTACACTATTACTCTCAGTTTGCTTACTTGGGAAAAGGAGGAGCGAGAGGAGACAAGTCAAAAGACTCTCTCTCACTCTCTCTATCTCTCACCCCCACACACACATGCACACACAAAAAAGATGCAGTAATTCTGATAAAAGGTTGCATAATTGAAGTAGCATTTGGCAATAACTATCATGTAATCAGTCTTATATCCTAAAATTTTAACATCCATAAACTCTCTAAATCATTGCCATTTACACTATTACTCTCAGTTTGCTTACTTGGGAAAAGGAGGAGCGAGAGGAGACAAATCAAAAGACTCTCTCTCACTCTCTCTCTCTCTGTCACCCACACACACATATGCACACACAAAAAAGATGCAGTAATTCAGATAAAAGGTAGCATAATTGAAGTAGCATTTGGCAATAACTATCATGTAATCAGTCTTACATCCTAAAATTTTAACATCCAAAACCCTCTAATTCATTGCCATTTAGTATTATTTTGGCTTTATTTTTTATTATAGGTTGTACCATATCAGTTTCTTTGTTGAGAGTTCTCTATTTTCTATGAGAGAATATGTAAGAGCACTATTCATGAGGACAACACTAGGGCCACGCATACTATTATTCCCCTATCATTTCTTATAAAATACAAAGAAAAACTTAACCAAGTCCAAGGTATAAATTTTACCACATAGACTTTTAAAACTTGGGGGCACTTAAATAGCCTAGAGGAGCTCCTCTTGTCAGACTTGGACATGGACACTGACCCCCTTAGACCCACATGGACACATGGCATAAACATGTTGAAAGTTGTACACAGGATTTAAAATGAAATTCATACGTAGTAATTCTGAACACACTATCATCACATTTTTGGATACCTTGCATCATGGCAATATAGTTAGTTAAATGTTAGGGGAAAACTTTGTTTAGCATAGAAAATAAGGAAGTTTGTCAAGAAATATACAAATAAATAAATAAAATGAAGATTTATTGAAAAGTTGGACAAGTTAAAGGCAAAGGTATACCAACATATAAAGGTTTTAATGACAACAAAAAGAAGACCATATAATGGTTTTAAGGAGTGACAATGCAAAGAGGAGAGCTACCTGTACACTTAATTACATGCATATATACATATATGGAAATATCCACACAAGTAATTTCTGGGAAAAACATATATATATACACACAAGTACATATATACGCAATAATTACATAGTATCATGTCAAATATACACACAAGTATATATGTGTGTGTGCAAGAATTACATCTTATCATGTCATCGACGTGTCCAAGTTCTACCCAATCCAGAGTGCTAACATGTCCATGTTGCGTCATGTTTTCCATATCATGTTTTCGCATGCAAGTGCCCATGCAACACAGTAAAATATATCACATTTGCTGTGATCAGTGGCAAAACAAGTCTTTTTTGTGGAACTTCCACAAACAAGTAAAATAAACTCATGAACTAGCATATGAAGTAGTTCGAAAAACTCTTCACATTGCAATTTTCTCCATGAAATTTGTTATGTGCTACTGTAACAATAATATGTTCAAAAGATGCGTAGATGATATGTTCAGTTCCTTCATCTTCTTTCATAAACAAAGTTAACTTTACATCACTGGTTCAGCAATGTCAAATCCACACAAGAACATGTAAGAAAATTATAAGACACGAAAGAATCAATGATCTACCGAACAATCTAAAATTGTAAAGCCTGACATAATATAGTATTGCATAGATGGAAATACCTGGTACGATCTAACTTGCTTTAGAAGGGCCTCAGAACACATTGTGAGATCTCCTTTTAGTTTGTGCCACCTAGCATATAAGCCCCAAATGTCTGCTCCCCCACCGCTTCGAACAATCTAAATAAGGGAGGGGGGTAAAAAAAAAAGCCAAATCTGAATCGTTGACAGATAATAATCCTAGCATGTGCTCTTCGGCTAAAATCTATGTACTTCTGATGCAACCATTGGACTCATCCCCAACACACAAATATCAGTTCATTCAAGTATAAAAATCATTTTTATGGATAATTTTTTTTGCAAGATTTTCTTCACATGCTATCACTAGTATAATCTTAATGCAAAGACAATTTGATCAATCACTCTGATGCATAGCCAACGTTAATTTCTGTACAATATAATCAGGAATCTGAATGTCTTGACTAAAAAAAATGTACAAAAATATGCACTGATTGCTGACAAACTGCCACTAAAAGAGATTCTTTTCGAGGGGTAACCTATCTCCAAATACTTAAATATATCAAATATGGTCATAAACCAATCACGAGCTAACTCAAATAACAAAACAAAAGGCACACACATTATGTATGAGATCCAATGCATTGCGAGCACAAATGTGCACACACATTGTGTCTTAGTCGTGCTTCTATAAATACATATAGCAATATAATAGGAACAAAGTCAGTTCAAAGACCAAAGATAAAAGGAAAAGAAGAAAGCAAATTCAGAAATGGAAAATTAAGATCATCAAAGAATTTGGTCACCTGCCGTAAGATTTTCCCAAGCACCTCCACCAAGTGATCAGTTTCCCGTGTTTTTGCCATCCCAACTTCTGAATCTGTTGGCTCATCGACACAATTGACAACAGTTTCAGCAAGTTGAATTTGGTTGGTATCATTGTGTTCATCGGTGGACATATAAGAATGAGACCTAGTTAAAGCCCTTCCTTCAATCTCCAGCATTATCCTCTCTAACAACTCGGTGTCAATTCTTTTATTGTTAGTCATATCCAACACCATCTGTATAGCTTCTAGTGCCTAAAAGAAAAGAATCATCAAATTATTGTCAAGTAGCATGGTTGATCAACATCCAAAGAATAACTGATAATGTCCTAAATGCACTTTACAAAACATAGTGTGACATAAACATAGAACATATATATGAAGAGGAAACCCATCGATAATCATTGGTGTAGGACAGCAGCAAGAGCATAATAATGTCATGGGGTTCCTAGATTGAAAAGGGGCTAGAAAGACATTAATCAGATAGTCATTGACTCATTGTTGCTGGAATTGTAGAAAAGATGCATTTGAGATGGTCTGGAGAGTAAGTACCTTAGATTTTGATATAGGAATTGTTCATAAGCAAAGGAAGAGGCTAGGGTTATGAAGCAAGCTTTTAGGGTAAAATATCAAAGAAAATAAAGATTGGGTATGATTGAATCAGAAACTTAAAAAAAGGCTTCGTATGCTGCTGGAGAACACTCCCAAACTGGTTTCTATGGGATAGATTCTTCCATAGATAACTAGACACAAGAAATCTCCTATTAGGACAAATTCAGACCACAAACTCGAGTGTAATTATTAAAAACCTAATAAGATCTACTGAAAGCTATATATAAGCACCCAGTACATGACTATACTCATCTACTTAAAAACACATACTGATCAAGTTTTACTTTTGTTTATGTGAGGTGCTGGGCAGGGTGAACAAACCTGACCTTTTACATATCTGATAAAAAGTAGCTGCCCTAAGATTTGAACCCGTGTCCGCATGCCTTGTGGACTTATAACTAACAAAAATATGGGTCATGGATACAATCAAACCATATTGTATATGACATACCATAAACTCAATAAAACATAAAAAACAAAAAAGAAAGAAAGAAAGAAAAAAGTGAACAAACTAACAAAATGGAAACGTAAAATAAGACTAAATCTGAAGTAAAACTTACTCCTTATAAAGGAAGATCGTCTATTTCAAAATTGCTAGACCTAATCTAGCTAGCTCTTAATAAAGGAAGATCGTCAAGTTATGAAGGTCACTAAGCTCAAATAGGTCCTTCATTGTCACTTAAGATATCATAACATACCATGAAAAGAAATGAGAAATATTCGTGTATAAAAAAAAACCCACCAAAATACCCTATTTCCAATGACGTATAAAAGCATTTTCAATGAATCTATGCAAGTATGCATCACTAAGATAACCCTCTGAGGACCAGAGTGAGCATAAGAACCCTATTTTTTTGCTAAATACTTACTATTATTAATCGAATTCCAAAGAAAGTGTTTGCTCCTTGGCAACCTCCACAACCATTTTATTGATAAGGTCAAATTAAGACGGCCTTTCCTTTGAGTCAGTAACAAAAAGGTGTCTACTATGCTTCCCTACCCTAGACTGACGAAACTCTCAAAATCCTTTTAATAGTATCAGAGAGTCTAGGTTCTTGCATGCTTCCCCAGACACAATCCTCGCATGATGGCTGACATTATAGGTGCCGATGACTAGGTGGTGGAAGTGGTGTGGAAAGACCTCCACAATGTGGTGCAGAGAATTATGCAAACCAAACTCTAAAGAACCAAAGGATATGTTGTAGTAAAAATAATGAGCAAGGGATCCCAACCTGAGTGCTATAGGTTCATATGGATGTGCGGCCGAACACTCAAATGAAGAGGTTTGGTAGGTCATTCTTCATATAATAAAATGTTCTCAGGTATATATAAGCACTAGTGGGCATGCTTTACTATTCAAGTGCATTATATTGTTATTTAATGGACGTATATTGTATTCACCTATCCTATTAGAAATCTTAAATATACACATGTTATCTTTAGATGCTTTCTAAAGCATGTATAGCGACCAAAGACCACCTGCTTCATGTCGAAACAGATTGTTTAATATGCAAGAGTAAATAGTTTTTAATTTTCTGCATTCAAAATATTTACCTGACTAAAATTACTGATGTCTGCAGAGACATGACTGAAATTCTCCCACAGCTGCCAGCTATTTCTCCTGCGATAGATCGTGCTTGGCACATTATTATTTCAGCCATTGCATAACAATGAAAAACAAGATGTAATTGTTAGCATATATGATACCACGATTTATGGTATCGTGGTATCATATATGATAACATATGCATAGTCAAATCTCTGCTATTGTGGTAAGTCATACCATAAATCGTGGTATCAGATATGCTAATAGTAATCTACACAAACGCACAAATTAAGAGAGAGACAGAGAGAGAAGGAGACAGAACTTGAACTTCAGTGCTTCTTTAAATGCAACGAAGGACTCTTTGTTCTTCTTTTTAATCATATGCCTGCAAATTTGATAAAGGGCATCATGATCTACTAAAACAGATGAAAGATTGTAAAATGGCATTTAGCATCAAGACTCCATTTCTCTAAAACAAATGGTATCCATGATTCTCTCATAGACTTCTGTATTATTGCAATTAGAATAAAACTTTCATTGAATTAAGAAATAAATAAAACTTCCATTAATCAGACTCGTGTTTTGACAAGTCTTTAATAATGTTGCTGGTTTCCAAGTGGTAGTTCTTGAGCTTATGTCTCCAGTTTTACCCTTCAAGCACCCCACGTAGGGAGGACACATAAAGGATAATTTCCTTCTTACTCTCGCCTCCAAATACGTAAGGAAATATAATAAACAAGATCAGCAAAAACACATACTTATAGAAAGCACATAAAAATAATAATAAAAAATAAATAAAAATAAAAACTTCTTCCCAAGTCAATAAAACTTGCGCTAAATCTTGATTCTTCAAGTTGCTACTACTAGTAATATGAAAATTTGAAGTCGAGGATACAATTTCAATTGTTTGAGACAAGTAAAACAATGGACAACAGACCTTCTAGGAAATGACAAAATCAATTGTTGAAGTAAACGAAAGATACATCAAAAAATAGATGCAGAACTTTAACCGTGGAAGCAAGCCCATTCATTCCTTTTCTTTTCTTTTTTGATAAGTCCATTCGTTCTAATTTATGATGAACTAATAAAACTCTTTTTGGGAATTCCATCTATACTAAACCTGGGTTTGCTTGAAGACTTGAATATCAATAGAATGGTCAGATTTCTCATTCGGGCTTTGCAGAGTATAGGGAAAGCCCAAAAAATAATCATAATAAATAAATAAAAAATAGTAGTGCCTCGGCATCATAATTACTATAAAATTCCAGAAGATGGCATGAAGAGAAAACGTCATACAAACAAGCAATATTATTCCAAGCCTCCCCATTTTCTGGATCAAGTTGAACAGCACGAGTAAATCCATCCAGTGCCTTTTCAACATCCCTAGCCTGTATTATATTCAGACGTAAGTTCAAGAAATGTAGAAGAAAAGAGGAATGCTATACACGAATTTCTTAATCACTAGTGAAAATTCATGCAATGATATCAAAGGTTCACGCTTATGGGTGCAAAATCCAGATCAATTCAAAATCAACATGATGCAGATCATATAAGAAACCTTCAATGCAGCAGATCCAAGAGCAAACCACCCATCTGGATACAAAGAATTCGACGCCATAGCAGACTCCCTAAGATGAAATCGAGAGAAATTATTGTAAAGCTGAACCGAGGATAAACAATTATTAATGAAGGTGGAGTATTTAACTGCAACGTGAGAGGAGGGAGAGAGTGAAGGGTGATGCAACATACCATAAGATTTTAGATGTCTCATAGTCCTCCCTATTGTATGCACTGCGAGCAAGAGACCGCTGCCAAAAGAGAACGGAAAAAGTAAATACAGCATGTTAAAAAAAGAATAACATTGAAAATGCTGGTTGATTCAAAATAGTGGAAACCACCTTCGCTCGAACAGATCTATTGTCTGAAACTTCTAATGCTTTCTCATAGCAGGAATCATTATTTGTAACATCACCGAGTGAACACCTGGAAATACAAAAAAATTTAGTCTATTGAGATACATAATGCAAGTGCTAATTTAGCTCCTTACTGATTCTTCAGGGAAAAATTATCTGAAAACCAGTACTCATATTCATAATAAATGCAATAGATACAAGAAGAGAAAATTGTGATTGTATTTGTATATGAAAGAAGCCTTAAAAGTAATCAAACCAGAAACTACAATAACAAACTTAATAATAAAAACAAAATTTGGTTGAAGGAAACAAATTCTGAATCTCTAAAGAAACAACCAAGAATATCACAGAAATTATTTTGGTCCTTTGTTACTATAATTAATTTTTTAAAAATTAAAAAAAAAGAGATAAAAAAAGAAAAAAGAAAAACGATAACTATTAGTTCTTAAGCCAATCAATCCATCCAGCTTCTACCTAACATTACACCCATGCAGAATAAGATTGGGGCCATTGCTTGGTGCAGTATAAAAGTTTAACCTGCCAAGCATGAGATGTATTTTTGCATATGAAGGTAGTCACTTTATAAAAATAATGCCAAAAATTGTGTCACAATGTAGTTTTGTCCCTTCCAGTTCCAGCACCCCTGATTAATGGAGACCATATTGCGTAATGGCCTCTTTATATATACACACGCATAAATAGAAAAAAGCTTTATCTAACTTCAAAAAGGAATGACCAAGATCATTGCGTCTCCAATGACCCCAGAATGATTTAGTGGAATAATAGATGATGGATCAATCACAATAGAGGACAACATGTTTGTACATGAAATTTTGGAGGATAGTGTTAAACCACAACTTTTCTGAGTTGGCTAGCATATCAAAATCACTTGGATGATGAGGGAGAACACTGAACTGAACTAATCATAGTAATGACGAACAATATATGTAACAACTTTTAGATCACAGATATCATACTACTGAAATTTATCTCACATTATAAGACAGGAATTATATTCCAAGACAATTTGAAACAAAGATCAAGTCAAGGACAAAAAATTTCCCAGGAGCAGCTAATTTTTTGAGAATTTTGCAGAGAAAACCAAGAGAGACTATTTACTTGGGAGATCTGATAATCTAGGGAAAGGAAACGGGAAACTGTTGTAGAATAACATCTATTTACAATAAGTCTGTTGTCATAAAAGAAAAATATATTCTCTTCTTGTAGGTCAACTGGTAGAAATTTTTATTTGAGTAGAATAGAGTTTGTAGTGAAGTAGAAAGAGGGCAAACCATGTATTATTTGCAAGTTGAATCATAGAATAGTTGCAAGAGAATCAATATAGGAAACCACAATTCATGTAAGTGGGATGTAAGGATACTTTTATGAATAAAGTTTTTGTATCATCTACTGTTAAGAAAATGTAAAATATATTAGGACTAAACCAAGCACATCCTGCTTTTATATATTAAATTTCTTTATTTGATGAGTATCAATTTCCTCTAACGCAAAGGACAGAAAATGATGGGAAGTTCTCAACTAAACCAGCAAATAGTTGCGGCTGAAATGAACCCCTGTAGTGACCATCCCTTTTGCCAAGAATCAGCTGGCTCACAGGACTTGACCCTGCCTATCATCCTTGCAGACCATTTGGTAATCCATTAAAGAGGAAAAGCATTCCCTCTAGCAACTAGACAAAAGTAACACCCTGATCTGCCTCACCATAAGCGACCCAGAAGCTATAATTAATGTGGACAGATCAGATTTAACTGGCATGAAACTGAATATGTTCTATTTTTTCTCTCTTTTCACTTATTATGAACAATTCTAAAAATTGACTAAACTATTTTGGCAATGTCCTTTTTGAAAGTGATTTAAAAGAAACAGAGTGCAGAAAGATGCGAATAGATTAAAATCACAAGTCAGTATGTGAATTAATGGTAACTTGAGAGTACATTATACAATATTTACAATGTTGACTTTATCAACGAACCATGCATACCTCAACAGCGCCAAAATTGAGACAATATATGGAAAAAAGTTGAACAAAAAACTAAATGAACAAAAGTAAAAGTCAAGCTTACATACCATAATCTTGGCTCAGTGGGCATTTTGGATAGTCGTGCCTTAATAAGTTCCACCGCTGCCGCTTTCTTCTCCAATAAGCTGTTGTTCAAAAGATATTTCACACCACACCCCCCATTGGAAATAATAGAAGCTAAAATATAACATAAGCAAAATTCATTTTTTGAGACAATGGCTGTTATCATACCAGTAACAGTATATGAGATTGTCCCATAACTCTAGATCCTCAAAAACCTTAACTGCCTCCCCTATCAGGCCACAACTGACCAAAATTTCGCCATATTCTCTAGTATCAAAAGATAAGAAAATGAGAATTTGGTACAGTATCAACCCTATAATGAGAATAGAAGATATTAAGAAAACAAAATAAATACACACGAAAGTAGGATAAGAAAAATAAATGGCTCAAAGAAGATATCTCACTGTAAAGTTCCAAGTTTAGAAAAAACATATGATAAAGAAAAAAGGTTATACATCCATAATGCAAGAATGGTGGGGATATGAACCCCAAAACAACAGTAAATTCTTTGCGCAACTCCAATTTTTAGAAAAATATATGGTAAATGAAAAAAGGTTGTACTTCCGAAGTGCAGGAATAGTGGGGATGTAAGCTCCAAAACAACAGTAAATTCTTTGTGCAACTCCAGGAGAAAGTTCATAGACACCTTGAACCTGAAATAAGATGAAATAATTGAAAAAGATTAGAATTAAAAAAATAAAAATAAAAAATAAAAAAAAAAGAAGTTAAATATTATAGGAGAGATGGCTTGTACTAGAATAGAATGGAAAATCATGTGGCCGACCCCATTCATATGGGATTAAGGCAAGGATGATGATTAGAATTAAAATATATAAAAAATAATAATAATAAATAAATAAATAGTATCAAAAGCATAAGGATTTCCCATACAAAAAGACTGATAAGCGAGATCTGTTGCTGATTAAACAAGAAAACCAATCACTTGTGAAATGAAAAGGCACAGGTAGCAAAAAATGTTAAATATTATTTAAATATTTAAAATGATCGACCTCAGCAACGCATAAAGTAATGGACAATAGTACCATGGAGTTTTTACCATTTAGCTTCACTTTCACTATCAGATTTACAAACAGAATACTCTAATACAAGGATCCCTCTAACAACATATAACTAAAATTAATTTTGGCCTCAAATAGTTGTCCAAAGGAAAACCATTGACCTTGAGACCAATTTGAGTCCAATCTGAGAAAATCCAAGTTAATTGGAACTTTAATATTTCTGAAGGTATAATAATTTGATGAGGGCATCGTTGGATTTTCCATAAATTCTAAGGCTTAAGGTCAACAAAATTGATATATCAAATGTGCCAATAAAAGATCTTATTTTCCACCTGAAGGAACAAGATGTTAAATAATAACAAATCAGAAAGAGGTGCATTACAAGGTATCAGTATTCAAGGATACATCATGTATATCATATAAGTTGGAACTATTCAATTGCTCAAGTGAAAAAGAAGTTTTGATCAGACTGTGGGCCAGAAATCATGGTCACTAGCCAACACCGTGATACATCTAACCAGAGTCTCATACGAAAGGTAGCAATATAATAATATAAAATGCTTAATAATGCAGCAGAGTAACACAGCTCATGAACATCGCATCCTCTTTCAGAGAATGTTGACATAGGAAAGCATGCTCATGAATATCAAATCCTATTTCAAATATAATCAACACAGGCATAACACGCAATAAATATGCATGCATGGTAAAAGAGGAAATAAGGACACATAATTAGCATTGGATTATTTGTTGTAGGGAGCAACATGCGTCACTTTCACCCAGAAAACCAACAAATTATTCCAACAGATATGGATTTAAATTTAAGTGGCAATTTGCAAAGGTAGGGTGACAAGATTACACGAATCCACCAATTAGAACATGCAAGAGCACAGATCCTAAATTACTCGATTGCACAAGCTAAATTTTTTTGAATTTTGCTGGTAGAGGCACAAGTCTCATGATTAAGTTAAGGTAGACTTGCAAAAGACATGATCAATTTCACTCACCAGAAACTGTGTGAACCTGGAACCAACTTTAGACTGGCTGCAGTCTGCAGTGTTTTAATCATATGGGGAAAAAGACTTGAACCTATGACCAAATTCAAATAGCAAGAGCTGACAACTGCTCAGCAAGGTAGAACTAGTTGACAATGTGAAGCATCTTGTTTCTCTTTTTTACATTGCCTTAACTCTTTCAAACACTTATCATAGATGATATAACTTTTCGTAAAAGTATGTACGAAGATATTAATTACGCATATTTATTTTAGAGATACTCTTGCAATACTCCTGGATTTTAAGACCAGGCTCGCTTGCGGAAAGTGGAAATGGAAGCAAATCAGTTTTGAGTGAATAGATACTCTGAGATAGAGATAAAAATTTTGAATCTGATTAATTCAACTTATAAGACTTTGGAACAATTAGAAAATTACAAAAATGAAACCATTAATTTTGAAAGGGCCATTAATCTTGGTGTTCTCACGCTCTTGCTCCACAAAATTGGTGCTTACGAATAAATCTTCAAAAGCCTCTTTGGTCCAGCAAAAAATAAAATAATAAATAAATAATAACTACATAATCTGAATTAAAACATTGCCATAACACAATTTTTAGGATAACAGAAATTGTTTCCTACATATATTTACATTGCCAAACCACACAAACTCTTTGGTGTTTGAGCATTTATTAAAATTCCTCCACTGCTTTTATAGCTGTGCCGGAAGGCTTTTGGTCTAAAAGATGCAAAAGAAGACTGAGGGAGCAGCTACAGTGAAGAAGAGTGAAGGAGCAGCTAGTGCAACAAGGAAACGACATTAAAATTGTTAAAGGAAAAGTGCAACTATATTGATGAATGAAAAAGACTGGATAACGATTTTCTTTTGATTTTCTAAAGCCGTAACTCAATTAATTTTTTGAGTCCGTGGTCAATCTAAGTTTTCCCTCTGTACGATGGTGCATACATAAAATATGGATAATTTAAACTGACATCATTACAAAGTTGTGTAGAGATGTCTGAAAGACTAATAGTGAACAACATTCAACAGTTCCATGGTTTTTATAGATGTAAACATGGTCATCAAAAGAAAGCATATGTCTCATCAACAAAAGAGAAGAACATCACAATGAAGCTCTTGAAGTACATTTGTAGGAGTGCTACCATGCCTGTGTTTTTCATCGCAGTACCAGCCTATGTAACAGTCACAGCAGTGTCATCAGAAGGCGCAAGGGAATCATTTGTCGATGCCCTGAATTTTTAATCACTAGAAAGTCAATGATACTCATTTTTATTTCAATTTGTTGTCATTTAATGATTATAATTGTTTTTTGCCAATATTATGACAAATAAAATAATGCATTACTCAGTTCCAGTCCCTCTGGCAGAGTCTTGAGGAGGTAGGAACCTTTTTTCTTTTCTTTTCTTTTCTTTTCTTTTTTTTTTTTTTTGCCAGGAGGAGGTAGGAACCTGATCAATCTATCCTTTGGTATTTTGCAAAAGTGACTGCTTCAAGGCTCAAACTCACGCCAACAACACCGACACTCAAGGATTATACCATTGGACCAGGCAACAGCTCTTGTGACACCTATAAAGAGGTTTTAATTATTTTATTGCACTTTATATTGGTTTTAACTCAGAAGTTTGTACCAAATCATCCATTTATGAAATTAACAATGACATGACTTTCTCCATAAATATGTTCCAAGAATCAAATGTAACATAACATAAGGCAGGATAATTCACACAAATTTCAGGTTAACAAGACAGGATTACAAGGTGTAACAAAAAACTGCAGGTCGTTATAATACTCAGAATTAATACACACGGTATAACCTCTGGTTCAAGTATTAAAGCTATTAGTCTCTCATACCGATCTAAGTACCTCTCTTCTAAATTGAAGAAACACCAGAAAATAAATAGAAATCCAAATGCGACTGGAAATGGTTCAATAATGAAAGTTTCTTGCTTTCATGTTTATCCAACTTTGAGAGAGATGGAACGAGATGCAAGTACAAATGGCTGCTTCGAGTTTCTCACCTTCTCTTAGTTTTCAATAATGCTCACACGTTGATAAACCTTATTCACCTGTTTAAGCACCAGCAGAATAATCTTTATACTACCCAAAATGCCAAAGAAGACCCAGAACAGCTTGCATCTGGTCCAACACAATTTACGAGGGACTTATTCTACCATTTTTTACTGAAACGAAACAAAGTAGAAAACTAATATATTGGAGTTTTAGCTGGTCAAGTGGAACATCTCACAAAAATTGATCACCCATTCATGGTAATATTTGATTAATACTAACAGGAAATTATTTTAATAAACATCACCCTAAAATTGGTCCACAACCAACATTAATATTTAATCTTACTAGCAGGAAATTATTTACATGCAAGACTACCAGAATAAATACCATTACAATAAAGATGTTTAGTAGAAGTGTAGAACTAAAAGGAAACCCATTGTCAAGATCAATGAAAAAGCATATATCTAATAAGGTAAACCAAGATAATTCAATCTTCAACGTGAAATCTTTAATTTTGTGCACGGTTTAAATCATTCACTGCAATAAATGAAATAACAACAAACTCAGCCAAGAAATAAATAAAAATCCAACACAAGCACACAAAGAAAATTGATAAAGCATATGTTCTAACTTGTATAAATGCAGGGAAACAGGCATGGGCAGTTAGAAAGATCAAGCAGACAATGGAATGAAAGATCAAGCAAATAATGTAACAAAGACGCAATTTATACCAGTTTATCCATCATCAATAAAGCACGCTCCTTTGTGCGACTACGAGTAGACTCCCATCGGATACGTAATATGTCACAAAAACGTTGAATCTGAAAGGGGATAACGTCAAAACCATATTCATATCACAAATGAACATATTCTAAGGAAACAGAGGACCAGCCATAGAAATAAACCAACAAAAGAGGAAAGAATATTGAGAAACAAAAAATTTGCAGGAAACTGAACAACCATAACCACACACATATATCAAATAGACTATTTCTGACACCTAAAAGACGTTACAAATAATAGCTAGGAAGCGAGCCCCAAGATTCCTCACAAGTTCAGAACTCTTAACGACATTGTGCAAAGAAGCAAGTTGTTCAACATAAGATCACAAGTGAAGGTCTACGATGATAGGATTAACTTATATGATATCTATCACTTTTGAAACACCAGATATTTACTATTTTACACTAAAATCTGAATTCAATATAATTGAAATAGTTATTTATAAATAAAGAATTCTGATCAATTTTGGTTGATTTTCAATTTCTATAATCATACACGCAATCATGCATCAAATAGAAGCATAGTAAAGCAGAGAAAGAAAGAGTTCTACGTAAAAAAACCATGAAACCACCTAGTCCAGACATGCACAGTCCACTACACGAAAAGATATTACAACCAAAGTAACAGTTCCTCACCCTAGAACCCTAGTTACCACTCAACACATATGACGCAGAAATTTCCACCAAAAGTCTCAAGGCCAACTGTCCACTTGTATACAAACTTTGCTTATCAGGATTTGCTTCTTTTGTGATTCCTCGCCCTTTCTACACTAATGATTGATCAGTTGAATAGAATAGGATTGTTGAACTCCTCCTTGATGAACACTTAATCACATATGATGTACACTGAGGAAACCCTAGAATGAGTAAGTAGGAAATTCCCCTCTCACAAGGATTTTCTCTCTCTAGATCATGAGAGACATCCAACTCATGCCTAGACTAACTATATTTATAGCCATATAGAAGTCTCATACGTATTAGTAAGTAGAATCCTTGTAAAATTGTGTTTTGACAAAATTACCAAAAATATGTTCATCAAGTTCGTTCGATCGAACCAACAATCGAAGCCTACTTGGACATCCCTCGACCAGTCAACACTTCGATCAATGCTTTCTGGATTTGAAAATATTTTTCTTGTAAAATCTTTATCAATCGACTATTTGACCGATGACTAATGGAAACTGCTTGATCGATCAACCATTCAATCAATAACCATTGTTCTCCAGTTCAAAAACCAATTTCGAAAAAATTGTAGAACTTTAAATTCAAAATTCATTTTTCGAAAACACTATTAAAACATATTTATGAGCCCAATCAAATCAGCCTACGTCATGATGGGTCTTTCTAAGGCCATTTTTACCCATGCTCCAAATATGTGATCAAGTTCGCAAATTTTATGACGTGTTATTTGCAACTTTGTGTCTGCATTGTCTTTAATAGATGTTCTCGAACAACTCAAAACATTTTGACGCATTACAATACAAGTTTTGAGAAGGAATTTACCAACACACGACACATCTACATAACAAATCCTTGGTCTAAAAAGTAATTACATCTGTAATCTGATTCCACATTTATAAAAAAAATTGTTAATGATGAGAGATATGTTGACGAGACCACCTCATCAACACCAAAGGAAGGAGCCTTAACATGCCTTGTTGCTGGGGCAGTCCTCTCTTCTTAAGAACCGGAACTAAGCACCTTACCAATGAATGCCGCTTCGGGTGGATATCCGTCACTTCACTATTACTATATCTCAAACATAGTCAAACGTAGAAGGATGTTATGATGAAACTGACCTATGGGAGGCATGCGAAAGTCTCTGTCCACGATCCAAACAAAGAAGAAAGGGTGGTGGGGCAAGGCCTCCCAGCAAGAGTAGCAGGTCATGGACCCCCGGCCGAGAGATTAGACCACACAGCTTTAGACGAATAATATAGGTTGCGAGATAGAGCCTATTAATGCCCTTGGAAGGCCTTAGCCCTGAGAGAGACTAGACTTCTAGTAACAGAAGTTTTGATCGATATTTGCCTGACCTGTAATGAATAGATAGAGCCGGATGCATTTCGGAATATTGTAAAGGTAAGAGAAAGGGCCTGCTGATAGAGCTGGGTGGGGAAGCGATACTAGTTCTCAGGTCAGAAAGAGGCCTGGCCCGTAAACTGGCCCCTTAAAAAGCCATTATCTCGGGAGTCGATGACTATTCATAGTTATTACCTTGGATCATTTTCTCGTGGTACTTGGAATTCTTCTGAACATAGAATGTAAATGGAAAAATCATGATATACGAAGTCTACTTACAGTGAAGTATGAGGACTGTTGAGAATCTATTGCCTCTATGTACGGGGCCATCTCCCACCCTGAAACAGAAAGATGGCTAAGAATAAGATATTATGAATCAAAATATTTTAAGATATTTACTCTGCTTGAAGATATTATAAGCACATTCATAAATATATGTTGTATTTTGTAAGGATAAACTGCCCTTTTTCCTTTATGTTCATGTTGGTCAAGGCACTTGGAATTTCCTTAACCACAAGTTGTATCTAATTTGATAGCAAATAGGTCTTTAATTTACACCACTTCTGGTCTCCTCTTCACAAAATATTTTCTATTAGATTTGCTAGAATCAAAAGGAGCTCATTCATTCATGGAGCTCAAGCATCATGTTTCAATAACCATGTGATGCAGGACAATCTAAGTTTCTTAGTGTAGCAGCAACAAAAAACCCAGCAAACAAGGAGGGAAAAATTGAGAAAAGTACTTTACCCCAGGAGGGTTTGACTGAAAACTACAGTCAAATTAATATAAGGTTTCACCTTTTAATCAAGAAAAAACATTTGATATATAATTATGTTTTACAGCACTTTGCCATTTTCATAGATGATTGAGGACACTAGAGACATGCAAATCGGCTAAAATCCCACTCATTATAATAAGCACATGAGAGCTGAGACTCAAATTGCATCAGAATGTAAAGATTTTTAAACAACAACTAGGCCGGAGATTCAGTTTCAAGAAAGGACTTCCAACTCAACTCAAGCATCACTCTTAAAATAGAAAATTCTAGGGAAGATGCTATGCTACAAAATTAGTAACTTTTACAACAAATATTTCAACGAAGTAAAGTGTTTTAAAATCTTAGAATGACTCTTACTAGGCCTAACTAGATATGAGAAATAACATGAACCAGAATCAAACAAAACAGTAACAATATAGAAATTACTAAATAACCCTATACTACAAATTACTTAGACATAACTATTATGTGCTTGCTTTCCTCTTGTCACTCCAACAACATTGTTTTAGTTTTATTATAAGCAATTTTCTATGAAAAATTGCCAGACACACTGTATGTATAATATATTAGGTAATATCACAATTCAAGCCACCACCTTCGCATTAAATTCCAGTCACAAACTCCTCTCTCTCTCTCTCTCTCTCTCTCTCTCTCTCTCTCTCTCTCTAAGATAATAATCTCACCAATCAAGAAAAAGTGATCTTGTCCTCTGAAACCCAACCTCTTTAAATCCCATTCTCCCAGGTAGCAACTTAGCATATATCCAACCCCTTTACTGATCTAAATATCTTCCAATTGTAGCCACTTAGCAGTCACGTTGACACCTCCTAAGCTGCCAAAACACTAACAGCACTACTTCAGTTACCTCTTAGGTCACCAAAAGCATTACGCTATAGCCACCATCTCCTGTGAAAGTTACGAGCAATGGCACAGGTAACTAAGGGCAATAATCCTTCACCCTGATCAACCCTTTCCCCAGTGCTTGTCACCATCCGAGATAGTCATTGCAATTATAAACACCGATGCCTAATAACCACCCCAGATAGTTGCTGAGATTTGAACCATCTCGATCACCTACTGACTTAAACAACTCCTACCCAACTCACTACTATATGTTGCCTGCTGCTCCTTTGTTATTATTTCCTACTTAATTGACAGTGATATTTGTCAAACCGTTGCTTTTATCTCTCTCAGATCACTATAAACATCTTACCTTATACACACACACACACACATCATACATATAAATATACTTGCAGTCTATTGTTTTAATGACAAAATAATTAGCTAAAGGCATACCAATTTGGTTTCTAGATCGTACCAATTTTGGTTTCTAGGTCTGCATTTTGTTATTGTAAATAGCTTGAATTTCGAATTTTCTTAGAAAGAGAAAATGGTGTGGGATGGATCAACTAAGCTCTCAAAAAAAAACCATTTTATTGTTTCAATGTTTCAACCAAAATGCAGAAAATTTACAAATTTATAATAATTAAAGTTGAAAATTTGGGTGAGAATCAGATCACTCATTGAGATTGAGTTCTTTGACATATTGTTTGATCCAATCAGCCAATTTAGGGGGTACACGGTGAACTCCCCATGGGGAAGGCCCTTTGAAGCGAATATTGGCCAACCGTCCATTTAACATGTTGCAAAACCTCAAGGAAGGTCAAAAAAAATTCCTCTTGAATTATATATTTTATTTTAATCAAAGCACTTCTCTTCTATTGTTTCAGTGGTTAGTGATAACTGATACCTTATGATGTGGTAGCGTCCGAAATCCGCACTTGGGTTGTTGCATGATTAGTAAACAGTTTATTGCATTTGAGTGCACATGACTTGTACATGTTACATGTAGGTGATCTAAGAGTTAATAAAACGTAGCCGTGTTTGACAATATGCATCTATGTGTACACCATAAACCATAGTCAAGGAAAATTTCATATTAATCTCACTAATTTATAATCACCTTTAACCCATACAGCACATCAGTTACTCAGTTCAGAAATCATCCCAATTGCCATCAGGTATTTGCAGGTCGTGGAATACACAATTACGTTATTAGAATTATTTATATTATCCTATTCAAATTATTATTATATGGCATCTAATGAGAACTTAATGAAGATTCAGATAAATAATTCTTAATGCACATAACATATGGGATAATGGAAAGGATGATGATGATGATGACGACAATGCACAAAACAAGAACTTGAGCTTAAACCTTGTATAACTAAACAGTTCTTTTATAGGAGAAAAAATTTATTTCCCATAAGCCACCAACTTGTACACAATTTGTTTGTGAAAATCCACAAGTGCAACAAAGTAAAAGCCTTTCTGGTGTCATCAATAAGATCCTGAACTACCATTTAAGAGAAGAATTAAAATTAAAAAACTAATTCACAACACATTTCAAAAAATGCCATACTACAGCTCATTCTCTTTTGCATTAAACAACAGAGAAACAAAGAACATAATTTGTATCAACAAATTTAAAAGTCTCAAATCTTACTCTGCATTTCATCATGCCGAGTGGTCTTCTCTATAGAAAGGCAGTGTGCAAGAATAACTGCCTGTTGGATTGCATTCAGAGGAGCACCAGAAATACCACCGTTTTGAGTGTCGACTTCTGCACTATTGTCAGATATTCTACTATCTTCTACAAATCTTGGGCTCATCAATACATCAGAAGATTCACAGGTTTGATGACGATGTTGAATCAAACTATCTCCATCAATGCTGGAAGCATTTCCCTGGACTTCAGGGATCACTGAAGAGCAGGTAGCACCATAATTTGATGCACTAGTGTTTGCAACAAGTACAAGCTGTGCCTTTGGTTCCACCTATATCCAGGAATAATCCATAAAGCAAAGAATGGGAAAATTCCCAATAAATTTCCAAATAATACTTCAAAACTAGGTACCTGATGAACAGTGCGGAAACCCAGAGCCCCGGTTACAGAAAGCTGAAGTCCAGATGCCACTTCAGCTGATTCAAAATGCAGCCTGACCAGGAAGGTACATCAGCAAGCAAGATACATAAGGGAGTTTTCAGAAAGAAACACGAAAGGGAAAGTCTGTAACAACAAAAAATAAAGATAGCTGTAAAAGTGCAAGGCTTGTGGAGCAACACAGTTGTGTAAGTAGGCATGAAATAATATGATAAGAACATATTAACATGTTTCATGATGGAAAAAATTCTAAAATTGGAGTAGTCCATGGTATGGCATCAAAAAGTTTGTATTGCACTTGCACCCATACTCCTTTTATGGTGTTCTTAAACATTGCTCTACTCCAATCTCGAACCACAATTAGTACATGGAAACCAATATATTAAAAATAAATATAAAATATAAAACCAATACAAATTATTAATGGAACTTTAATTAAGTTCTCTTTAAAAGGCACTTGTTATGACCACCAAAGCTTGGCCAAGCCAAATATTACCACTTGCCACCAAGATGTCTGCAGTGTAATCATGTGGCACCCACTAAGCGATTACGCTGCACTTTTTTTATTTTTCTCTTTATTTTTTTACTTTCCCTTTTCCTTTTTTTTTTTTTTAACCCTCAAGACAGGAACACTGATTCTTTTTCTGATTTTCTTTAATTTGTTACAGGAAACCTAAGAACAAAACTTGAGAGTAAAGAAATCATACAATGTATAAAGATATCAAGGATCCTTAAGACCTAAAAAGTAAAACAAAGCAAAGAGAACCCCTATACACAAACAGGAACACATACAACGCCACATACTAGGAGATATAAGCTGCCACCCCACGGAAGACCTTAAGGCGGGAAAAAGATGACACTTAATACTATAAGAATAAACTGTGAGTTAGCTCTGCAGATGTGAACTTTGAATAAATGTTGACACATGACCTAGAATGCCCTTTTAACCAGTAACTTGGCTCTGCAGATGTGAACTTCAAATACACTGTGTATTAGGAATGAGTAGCTCAAATGATATGCTCAAGGAATGGTAACTTTTGGACTCAACAATATTGTGGAAAGACACCCATTGATACGACCACAAGTACTCCCTTCAAACAAAAAACAACTTCATGGTAACTCACCTGGAAGGATCAACTCGCCCATAGGTATATTCCATTATTCCCGCTTCTAAATGAAACATAGAAACAATAGTCGACGCTTCTTCCTCCTCTAACTTAGCACCCCAATAACTTTTTACCTTTTCTGAAGTACCAAAACGATGTGAAGTTTCACACATATAGACTTGCAATAGGTCAAACAAAGAAGAAGACCGCTCATCCAACATTCTCTGTTGAAGAAGTAAGAGCCTAGCCAGCCACCATGAGATGCTTCCAAGTCCATCCATGGAAGAAATAGTTCCTTCTGACAATAAATCTGTGATCCTCGTGAGCAACAACTTCGCAAAAACTATATGCTACAACAAAGATATATACAAATTTATACTCAGCATTAAATCAAGCCTTAAAGAAAGCAACAATAATGGTAAACAAGGACGACAAAATTGCATCATGTCAGTAAGTTGATAACTGAATTTGACATTAACAATAGTCAAGGCAAATGAACAAGCACTAATGAAAACTCTCTCTGTTATAAAATAAATTTGAGTTGGATATGCTAACATGTGAATTTAAATCCCAATCAAATTTTGAGTATCGTTTTAAACTCGGTTTGCCAGTGTCATGCTAATATGCACAAGCTTGTACATCCTTCATTTCAACTAAAAACCTCATATATACAATGTTATAATCAATTTTTTTGTAAATCCTGATTAATTTGGTTATAAGTTACCCATTTCCCAATTTTTTAACTCTCAGATGTTTCACAAAAGGTATCCATAGATTTGAAGTTCAATCTACCGACTGAAAATTTTGGAACATATTTTAAAACAGTAAACAAAACCAAGATTTGATTACGAGTTGCCTGAATCGAAGTGCGTAAATATCAGAGGGAAAAAATAGACATAAATTTATAGACCACCCAAATTTGGGTGTAAGTTTGATTTTGGTAACAATATGATTCAGGCATCAACTAAAACAACCACCACAAAATCACAAAACAGATTATAATCAAAACCAATTGATTCTTAATATGAACAGCATGATCGCCACTCCCTAGCAGTGATAGACTAATAGTACTCAAAGTAGATACAATACCGTTATAGCAATAATAACAAGAATAAGTTCATGAGAACAATGAAACCGAACATTGATTGGGTACCTGAAGATTAGAGAATTTTCCAAGTAAATCAGAACCAGCGGACATTAACTGATTTCGCGCCCACCCCTCCCATTCCACCCCACCACCACCACCCAATTCCTCCTCTTTCAAGGCAAACGCAGTAAGAGGCAACAAAGGCAACCTCTGGAACGGCCTGAAGAAGAAGAAGAAATTAAATACAGTAAATAAATAAATAAAAATTAAATTGATTAATTACAAAACAATAGCATATACGAGCAGAGGAATATCATTTCTAAACAGTGACTGACCCAGTCATGTTGCACTGAGCGAAAGCAAGAAAAGCTGCGACGGCAATACCCATCACCAGAAACGTTCTATAACACCTGTCAAACTCGTCTTCCGAATCATCAATTACGAACGAATTGACACATTTGAGTACCAAATCAGAGTAAAACCGTTCGGCATCGTCGAGGAGGTGCGAATCGGAGTGAGCGAATTTGAAGACGGTCCGAGCCGAATCAGAGGATAGGGCTCGGACGTATTCTCCGGATTCGATCAAATAAATCAATTCTTTGATCAGAGTGTGGAGACGAGTACTGCTCTTGTAATCGGAAGGTTTGGATAGAAGAGAAGTGGAGTGGTTTTGATGGTCGGACGGCGATGGAGATGGTAGAGAGCAGCGAAGGAGGCAAAGCTCGTACCCGCGAAGGGGGTCGAGTTGTGCGTCTTCTTCAGGCATCTTCTCACCAGAAAGGTTTAGAAGGTTAGAGAGAGGAGACGGTTTTTTTAAGAGAGATAGGAGAGGGTTTTTGCTGGGTTTAAACTTTAACGGTTGGGTTTGATTAGGCGGTGGGCTAGGGCTGAACTTGGGCTTCGTTACGGATAATTTTTTCGGACCATTTCGCAGTGCTCATACTCAAAACAGAAGACTTTATCGTCCCCCTCGTTGGTCCCTCCTCGTGTTACAATTACATATAATTATATGAATTTATGAATGGTTTCAAATTTGTATCTATAATGAAACAAAAATATTAATGTATTTATTAATATATAAGTTTTTAAGATGATTAAGATTTAACACAATAAAAACAAAAAAAAAAATTTCTCTATTTTTTTTTTATAAAATTAGCATTCTATTAGTTAAAAATAAAATTATAATACTAGTGAGATTAATATCCATCAAAATTGAAAGGAATTGAAACACCCGAAATTGCACCTTGTGCATAAACGCATCAAATTTAAATCAGATTAATTTACATAAAGAGGATTAAAAAACGATCGTTTGAGTTTGAAGTTAAAGTTATTGACTAATTAAACTGTTTCTATCTTAAACAATAAAGGATGTACAGTAAGAACACAAGCAAAGGGAACAAATTTCAATACCCAAAGTTTTTTTCTAATTATTTGAAATCAGTTATTTCATATTAACTCTACAATGTGGATTGTATGGTACTTTCTTTTAGACATGTTTTGTGTATATGTCCAAACTATCTTACCTGATTTTTTTTCATTTTATATGGCGGTAGATGCTACTTCAAATTTTTAATAGGAATTATTTTAGTTTTATTATAGTTCAGTGCCTAAAACAAAATGTTTTTTTGGGTCTTATTTATTTATAGGATAAATTATATTAACCTCGCTTTAAGTTTTTGAATATTATATATGAGTAGAGCATATGGTCTTTATTAAAATATGCTTTTTGTAAAATTTAATAATATTAAATTAGTATATTAAAATATGCTTTTTGTAAAATTTAATAATATTAAATTAGTATGAAAATTGATGTTTTGCATTTCAATAGAATTTCATAACACTTTTGTTATTTTATGTCAAAATATAATGTGATTGGGGTCTTTTAACATAAGAAAAAGGTAACTTTATCAATTTAACTTTTTTTACTTAACAATGAAGAGTGTCGTTTAATACACACACCAAATTTCAAAGGAGGTTAAAGTAATAATAATTAAACGCTCTATTTGTGTGTAATTTGTCCAAATCTAAAAAAAAAAATAGTATAATTTACCTTTACTTATATGCGAGCCTCTAAATTTTCAATCCTGGGTTTAATTTTGTACATTCATCCACAAGAAGCAATTTCACATCTTTCAATCCTATTTGGTAATTAAAATTATTGTAAGATACTTTAAAAAAAAAAAAAAAAAAACCCTTAAATTTGGGCATATTAACTACACTTGTATTACAATTTTATTTCAAAATATATGAATGCTAAGTTTAGCCAAAATAAATAAATTTTTCACATCTAACCGTCTTAACCATTATATATATATATATATATATATATATATATATATTATTTGACTGTAGATATAAAATTTGAACAATAGTTTGTAGGATAAATTTCACAAACATCTCCTGAAATTAGGTCATAATTCATAATCCAGTTAGACGAAAATTTTAGTTTTAACCTTCATTTGCACCCAACATGCAAATTGACCATTTTACTCTCAATTTTTTAATACCAAATACATATAATCTTAAATGACCAAATACCCCTATCCCTACCCCACACCACCGCCACCATCTCTGGATCCCCCACCATAACCACTAGCCTTCCCAACTCCACATCCACCACTACATACCAACCTACATCGACCACAACGTATCCCAAACCACTGCCGAAATGGACGTCGATGGCAAAGAATCAAAGGCGAAGTCGATTACGGAAGACGATGCTGAAGAGCAAGTTGATGTCGACGGCGAGTGTCGGATTACAACCTCTACGGTGTCGCAATCAATATATCTCGATGGCGGGATGTCAGATTACAGGCTTACAGCCTCGACGGCGTCGTCATCGGCGGCGAAAATCCACATCTTGTGCTCCGACGGCTGGGTGAGCAAGCAGCCTGTTCTTATTTCGTTTTATTGCATTCACTAATAAATTTGGCTGAACCTATGGAAAAGAATCCATATCCATCAAAAAGTAAGAGACTGGAAGTTTCTCGATCAGAGGGTAAAGGTAAGGTGGATATGTTGGAGAGCTTATAAGGGCAAAACCCAGTTCACTTGATTTGGTGTCAATTTGGTGGTGGTTGTGGGGGTGATGATGGATGTGGCTGTGGGTGGTGGAGCTGTGATGCGGCGGGCCAGCGGCGGCAGTATATGGTGGGAGTGGTTGGTGGTGGTGATATGTGTGTGTGAGATTTGGTGAAAAAAACAGAGTGTCGTGGTGGTGGGGAAAAAAACCTAAATCAAAGAAGGAGGAGAAGGATTGAGGAGAAAGAAAAATAAGACAAATTTGGCAACTTTAGACACCAAAGATCCTTGCCGCCCATCTCTGCAATTCCCTCCCCCCCTCAAACTCTCTTCTTGTCTGGGAAAAATTCAACAATTATGACAGAGGTGGAGAGAGAAAGAGAAGGTACATGATAGAGCGGGGGATTGTGGTGATTGTGAGGGGTAGTTTGGTTACAAAAAAAGTTAATAAGAGATCAAAGGCTAATATAGTCATTTCACACTTCAAAAGTGATTAAAAACTGACCTTTGAGAGTGTAGGTGAAATAATATTAAGGGAAAATTACATATAAATGGAGTCAAAGTTCCATATTTACTTAGAGGCTGAGTCAAAGTTCCATATTTCTCTAAAATGGATTGCTGAGGTGGCACATGGTTTTTTACTGTTTAGAAATTGTGGTGCCTAAAATACCCTTCCGCGGAGGTACTACTTTTTCTTCGAAGGTACTACTTTTTTGAATTGAAGGTACTACTTTTTGGTGTCCAGGTATCATGTTTTTTAAACACCCGCGAAGGTACTACTTTTTCTTCGAAGGTACTACTTTTTTGAACTGAAGGTACTACTTTTTTGAACTAAAGGTACTACTTTTTTGTTAGGGAAGGGCATTTTAGGTACCACAATTTTCTAAACAGTAAAAAACCATGTGCCACCTCAGCAATTCATTTTAGAGAAATATGGAACTTTGACTCAGTCTCTAAGTAAATATGAAACTTTAACTCCATTTATATGTAATTTTCCCAAATATTAAACCATTAATTCAAGTACAAATGAAATCTAAAACAAAAATGTTAATGTGAAGTATGACTTTAACCACGTGAAATCTGAGTCTAATTTACCCTAATTTGTATCAACATTTTAAAAAAGGATTTATATTATTTTTGTATATACATGTAATAAAAAGACACAAAAACATTCAAATAAAAAATATATATTTTTAAAAAATTCTAAAACATATAGAATGATTATATATATATATATATATATATATGTATGTATAGTTTCAATCTATGAAGCACGAACACGGATACGGGACACGGGTACGACACGACACAGATACGGCGACACGGCAAATTTTAAAAAAATAGGACACGGACACGGCGAGGATACGCCTATAAAATTATATATATATATATATATAGATATATATATATATATATATAAAATATAATTACTAGAATCTTATACAGGTAAATAAAATAATAACAAATAACAGAATCAATTTCAATAATTTCATCTCTGTTATAAGAAAAATATAGACAAGACAAAACAGAAAATAAATGAAAAATAAAGTTAATCCAAATTCCAAACGAAGATGTGCAGAAGAGACATAGCTATAATGAACTAAATATGTATATGAATAAAACTTTCAGTCTTTCACAAAATCTTATTTATTCATATATATATATGTATATATATATTGTTCATGTAGAGAGATAATTGAAGAAGATGAGAGACTGAGAGAGAAGTGAGAGAAAATAAATTTTATCTCACAGAAGTGTCGGACCGCGTGTCCGAGCCTCGAACACGCGTGTCCAATAAAAAATAATATTTGGACACTTCACAGAAGTGTCGGACACGCGTCCGAGCCTCGAATACGGGTGTCAATGTCCAAAAAGTGTCCGACATTGGTACGAAACCCCTGGGAGAAGTGTCCGTGCTTCATAGATTTCAATAGATCTCTGCTAGATCGCAATTCTCTAGGATTTGTGCATACTAATAGTTTAAATCAATCACTTAATTATTTTACTGATAGCATCAATGCCACTTTTTGCTTATCACATCTCTCAATTCATAATTAGTTCTTGTGTTCCCTCTTGGCAATTTTCAATCTCATTTTTTTTCACTTTTAAAATGACCATCAACGAATATGATGCGTTAGAATTATTAATAGCTAACGTTTACTATTTAAATCTGTATATACAAAATATTACATCAATAAACTCTACATAATTCTTTAATTTTTATAAATTTATAAAAAAAATTCAATGTACTAAAATCTTTCTAATTCTCTCTATTTTCACAATCTCTACAAATTTGAAAAATTATAAAAATCGACTCTTATATAAACGTTACAAAAAGTGAAAAATTATAAAAACTGACTGTTATATAAGTGCTACGAATAATTTTTAGTACTTGTGTGTCACACCTTTGACTAATTTATCTCGACAAATTGGGGGCCGGGATAAAAAAAACAAATATCATTTCTTACCCACTATAATTATGTTAACTTTTGATTTTTCTCTTTTTATTTGACGTGGACCTATTATTCTTTCAAGTTGACACACTTGATTTTTTTTGTTTGCACATATTCAAACAATTTTAATAGAGTTTCTCTAGCTTTTATCCACAATGGGTGCTATTTCAAAGTTTATATATATATATATATATATATATATATATATATATATAACTTTAGTAGCTAAACAAAAAAAAACATTTAATGGGCTTTTTTTAAAAAAAAAATTTGGTGAGTTTTTACCTGATAATTTTATTTATTTTTTAAGAAAAAAAAAAAAAAAAAACATCTAATGAGATTTTTTAAGAAGGGCCATTATTTATTTAATTTTTTGTTAACACTGGGGGCCATTTGATTGATTCCACTCGAGTAACATACCAGATAATTTCTGATAAAAAAAATTAAAAAAAAAAAATTTACCTTGATAATTTTATTTATTTATTTATTTCACAAATAAAATAGGAAAAACATCTACTGAGGTTTTTTCTTGGTTCTTGAGGGGCCATTTTGCTATTCCGCAAAAAGTTAGATCGGAACAGTCTCTACGCCGAAGTAGTTGGTCGTTGTTAGGGTTTAGTTTAGCGCCGTGCACAGAAACTGACCCACGAAAGATGGAGGAGGAAGATGAAAGGAGAGAAGCAGCAATAGCATCAGCCCCTTCTTTGCAGCCCAATTTCAGACCAGTCGGCGTCACCCAATCCCAGCTCACCAAATTCCAAGTAATTTCTAAACCCTGAAATTGCCGATCAATTTATAAGATATCTATCTATTTACAATGATTTAATGATGAAGTCTACACGAACCCATTTAATGATTTTATCTGTCCCATATAAGAATCATAACCCTTTTCAATTCACAATATATATATATAAAATCTTCTGCTTTTGAATTCATTAAGAATGGCCGAACAGTAATTGAGACTTCAGATATTCATGCTATTACTGAAGGAGTCACTTTTTAATATATTTTTATTTTTATTATTGAAGTAATTCTTTTTCTTTTTCTTTTAATTTTATGATAGCGGTTGTGACAGATTTTAGTGTTCTAAAAATCTAGAATATGAATTTTAAGACAATATATTCCCGCAGTGCTGTGAGCAAAGCCGATGAAAATTTATTGTTCTATCACTTCTGCATTTTGCAGGTAAATATGACCTAAAATAAGTGTTAATAAAAAGGGGTTTTTTTTTGCTTTGAATTGCAAAATTTGAATTAAGGTTGCAATATTACTGGACAAAGAGAAACAATAACAGGTCCAGTGGCAAACTACAACGATGAGAAAGAAGCCAAAGAAGGTCAGAAATTAGCTGATGTAGTACGTGAGAATATGGAAATTTTTCTTTGGGTTACTTCGTAAATAGGTTGTAGAAGTATAGAACGTGCAGGTTATGCAACTAGTGCATTGTGCTTCCTATCCCAACATTGCACACATACACTTGAACTATCTTTGACTTCATATTCTTCAACAGATGATAGCATTGCTTCCATTGATGAAATTATGGGCTTTCTATATTTATCCTTTTTGTGATTTTGAAAGCGGCTTAATTGGCATGCTTTTTGAAACACAAGCTTTTGTTTTATCTTTCTTAGATTAGAGAAGCCTTTTGAGGTTTTACTTCTGTCAACTTCTAATAAAGACTTGATTAAACTTCATTTTTTGGGTAGTCTACCACTGTGCGATAAAATTAATTGTTACACTTGTGATGACGTTAAGAAAAATAATCTGATAGAGGGAGAGAATAAAACTATATAACATAAATAATCTAATAGAGGAGGGAGAGAATAAAATTATACAAATTTCTCATGTTCACTGATCCTTCCGTAGTAAATTTCCTTGTTATATGTGTTTAGATTTCTTTTCATCCTAGCCTTCATCCAAGTGATCTCAGCTTCATCTTGACTCACTCATTATAGTTAATCGCAGGAATAATCCGCGTCTTATTTTTGTATATTCAAAATCAACATCAAATTGGAAAACAGAATTGTGAACACCAAAGACATTTTTGATTGGCATATTTGGGGATGAGAAAAAAGTCCATTCTGTAGGTCGTGGGATATTGTGTATCCCAATGGAGCTGTCAGTTTGGTCTTGGGAAAGTGGTGGATTGGAAATTTGGAACTAAGGTCCAAATGCTTAGGGGTTACAGAGATCTCCCTGAAACCTAGTGTTTTATATATTTGTTTATTTGTAGTATGGCTTTAATCCTAATGCATGGTTGCAACTTAGTTTATTGGTGACTCACATATATCATTTGAAGTTACTTTTCTAATCAATTAATCCTTAACCTCTTACATCAAACTTGGCATGGACAATGGAACTTTTCTCGGGTTGGGGAAAGTTTGTAGTGTGGAGACGTTGTTTAAAGTTTCTTTTAGTTAATAATGTAACAACTTGGTTCTACATTGAAAAACTTCCCTCTTCTGCCTCCTTTTCAACCCTGTTCAACCTGTGGTTGGTAACTCATTTCAGATGTTATTTTACTGAAGTTGAGGGGATGTCCTGATTTCTTTAGATTGAGAATATATACATTTTCCTTGTGTTTCTGAATTAGAAAATTGCGCTTTAGAGTTGAGGAATTGATTCTTTAGTTATTCTTCTTTTTGCACTTTTATTTAAAGCAGCTATGATTTCTTTCCTTTTCCCAATATTTTTAACTTGGAAACTAAATGTTCCTCCCAAAGTTACATTTGACTGTTGCCAAAAGGATCGAATACCTGTGATCTCTTAGAGAAAAGAATTACATAAAACATATATCTCCTAGTGGAATGCATGAACAAAAGATGAGATGTTGTACTCCTTAATTCTCTGCACTTGGTCTTCCTTTTTCAATCAAGCTGACCACCACTTCTCTCTCTCCCAGAATTACTAGCTCTAGTGAGAATTTATTTTGTTTGGAAACTGGCTACTTCAGCTACTGTGTGACTTGTAATTTCATTCTTTTCTTCTTTGTTTTCATTCATCGCAAGGGAGTAAGTATCATCATCTTTTCCCTTCTTGTATGCCTTCAAATTGGCTCCTAAAGTTAATTACCAGTAATGGATATGCTAATTCTGTAGCTACTAAAGTTATTGAATTGTTGTCCTCCAAAGCTACTATTAGCTATAATAGAATATGCAATTCTTTAAAATTCAAGACCTCTTAGAGCAAGATAGTTGCTCCTTTCTTAAAGCCATTGCTCCTAAAGAGCAAGAGCTAATAATCTATTCTTCTATGGCTGCTAAAGTTGTTGAATTGATATGCTCCTAATCTGCTATTAGCTATATAGGATCTACAATTCTTTTATATTGAAATTTGAATACCTCTTTGAGCAAGATAGTTGTTCCCCTCTTAAAGCTAGCTCCTAAAGTACTAGCAAGAGCTCTCTGTCTGTGTGTGTGTGTGTGTGTGTGTGTGTTGCAATAAAGCTCTTTTTTTATGAATATCACCTAGCAAATACAGAAGGCAGCAAAAATTTCAGATGATGCAGAATATCTCTTCAAAGATGAGAGTTTACTGCTAGACATTCTTCCGGAGGAGGTGTTCAGAAATTCTTGTCCTATCATTTTATCGAACTTGCTTTTTCTTTCCCTCCAATATCTTCACTATTTCTTCCTTTTAGCCCTGTAATTACTGTGTCTTTTTTTTTTTTTTTAAGTATGTAATTAGTTTGTTAATATATCAATTTTATTTTTTTATCATAGGAACTGCATAGGAGGCGTTTACATATAAAAGCAGGATCAAAACATAAGAAGAGATCGAAAGGTTCCTTTTAAGGTTGTACTTTATCATTGTTTACTCTGCGAGAGCTGTGTGTAATCTGTTGTAATTTTGTAGGAATATCTGACGAGTCTGGCAAATCTCATAGGAAACACCTCGATGGCAAAGAATTCACAGATGAAAATTCAAGTAAAACAATTGACGATTCTAGTGTTTCCATCTCAAAAGGGAACAACATTGGAGATATCTCCTCCCTGCAGCAGGACAATGTTGCAGTGCAGGTTGCACCAAAGAAGCGCCAAAAGTTACATTGGGGGTATATATGACACCATAATGATAATCCATATGTCTACATGCATCATCATCATCATCCTTGCCTTTATCCCGTACAAACGGTGTTGGCCAAATGGATTCTTTTTTTCCACTCTTTTCTAGCACAAGTCGTATCTCTTACTAGATTTAATTTTTTAAAATAATTTCTTATCACTTCATTCCATGTTAGTTCAGTCGAACTACTTTCTATGCAAATCAATCTTCCTTTCCTCACACATGCATGTTGCAGTTAAATGCTGCATCACACATTCTTGAATTATTTCCTTTTTTCCTATTTCTAAATTTATTTCTTGTATTCTGGGATGATAATAGGCTTGACACAAAGGAAAGGTGGGAAAGAAAGGCGAACATGTAGTGATAACACCATGTAAGCGGGAATGCAGCTTTTCTGGGTGGGTTGTTTGCGTAAGCAATCCCAAATTAGTATCTCGAGCTTATAAAATATGGGTGAGCCAGACTCAGCTTCTACTATTGCGTGGAAAATTTTATTTGTATCCCATTACCCATAGAAAATCAATGTTTGTAGCACACACCCTGTACAGAAGCCCCCAGTTAGCCGTTGTATGTTTTGGTTCAGTGGATTATGAAAAAACGAAAGGCAATTATGTAGCTCTAAAGAGAGTTTGTGGTGTAAATGTTAAGTGATACTATATTATTTAATTTTATCTTTTTTCATAGGTTTTTGTTGTGATCATGTGATCATTTCATAGGCTCATTGAGGGTTCTCTCTCTTTTTTCTTTTTTTTTTCTCTCTCTTTCTTCGGCACTTCTATTCGACATTCTATGAGGTTGTATGATGGGAAGATTCACAATATTGATACTTGAATATAGAATTTTCAAGGTTGACAGCAGTGACTACATTTAGGGTGTGTTTGGATAAACAGGATAGAAAAGAAAAGAAATGATACTATTAGTTAGGGGAGAAAAGAAAAGAAATGATAGTAATAATTTCTATTCGTGTTTGGATAGATAGGGGAGAAAAGAAAAGAAATGATAGTTATTCTTGTTTGGATAAGATAGAGGAGAGAAAATAAAAGAAAGAATAGTGATCAAATTACTATCCTACCCTTTCATAACCACTTCATACATTATCCATTTTCAAAATCTTATTTCTTTTTTATAGTTCAATGTCATGGGTAAAAACAAAAGTAAAAAATAAAAAATAAAAAAAAATAAAAAAAATATCTAAGATGAATCATCCAAGGTTAAAGGTAATAACAATCTTTAATATTTTTTATGAACATGTGAAAAATTTATTTTTGTTGTATTTGTTATACATATCCGACTCAATCCCTTCCCATCCTAAAATTTTTAATAACTTTTAGGATTGTCATATATCCTTGCATTCTACTAAGCATATTGAGACATAAATGTAATTACTTTTCTATATGTTGATTTGTAGAGGGCATTTTTTATATTAATAATTTTTAATTTAGTATCTCTCCCCCCATCTTCTCAAATTAGGAAAGAAAGCATATAAGGAATATCTTTTCTCTCCACTTAATTTACCTAAACACACTTTCAGACCATCCTCTCTTTTCTTTTCTCTCACTATCCCTCCAAATCAACCCTACCAAGCACACCCTTAATCTGGGCAGAAATATGAGTACCACGAAGAACTTACCAAAAGCAAATATAAAGTTTATCAGATTATCATATTACACTCTTTTAAGTGGGATTTTTTTATTTTTTTTAGTCACCTACACCCCTAATTTAGAACTGACATAGAAGCTGTCTCTTATTAAAGTGGTTATTCTCATATTATGTGGAGGTTCCAAAACTGTGCTAAGATTATAATAATAATAAATAATAATAAACAATAATAATATTTTGAAAAGAAAAAAAACAAAAACAATAAGCTCTTGTCAACTCGACTGGTCCGTGGAGGTGCCAAATGCCCAATTCAATATTTAGTCACGGGCAGTCTTGATTACTAGCCATATGTAAAGCCCATAAACAGCCGTCCTGCTTAATAAACTTTCGTTAAATATTTATTTATATTTTTTAATTTATTTATTATCACAAAACTTTCGTTAAAATAAATCATAGCAAAAAGTCCTTTTTAGAAAGGAAAAGCAAGTGTATCTACTGCATCTAATGTTACAAGACGCCGAGGTCAACAAATTATATCTGAACCTTCCAAGAAATTTCTTAAAATCAGAAGGTCCGTGTGGAATCCAAAGCAAAATCACCGCTTTTCCTCTTGATTCGAACCCTTTTTGTTTCAAAAATGGACCCACTCGATAAGAACGTTGGAAGGAAACAGAAAGTCTCTCTCTCTCTCTCTCTTAATAAGACCGTTGTAAAGTCGAAATCTTTTTAAAAGAACAGCAATAGCTTATAGTTGAAGGAACTCTGCCACAAAGAAAGCAGAGTAAGCATTGAGATTCAACAAAAATGGCAGCAACAATCGGTACTCTGCTACCAAACTACCAACAAAACAAAACCCTAGATTGTTTTAGCACCGCCCTTGACCCCAAGTCTCTGATCCTCTCACAATTTTCCGATTCCGAAAAACCCAATCTTCTGCAACTCAAAACAGAGAGCTTCGTCATGGAGAGAGGACCCAGATACAAAGCGTACGCCGATTTGAGAGAATCGAAGCTTAGGATGAAGAACATGAGACAACAACAGCCTCAGGAACAGGAATTCAATCTTTCACCACCAAAGAAACAGGTGAGATTTCAGAAGAATTTTCCGGCGACCCCAATTGGGCGAAAAGGGTCCTCTGTTCTCGCACAATCGGTGCCGGATTTCTCGGCTGTGCTGCGGAAAGAGAACAGAAAGCCGGCGAGTATGCTGCCGCCGATGATGGAGAAGTCAGCCACGCCTCCAGCTAACTCGAAGAGCGCAAAACTATATGGGATTGGAGCGAAATCTGGAGGAAGTAGATCGGCAAATTCGGGGGAGAAGAGGTGTGGGGGGTTGATGGCGAGGAAGAGCTATGCAAGTGTGGAAGAATTGAAGGGGTTGTCGGCCGTGGCCGCGAATGCGATCAATGGAGAAAACAGGGGAGGGAAGGGTGGAAGAGGGATTGGCAAGACTGTTTTGGGTTGCAGACAGTATTGAAGAAAACAGGGGAGAGATTGGCAAGACTGTTCATGATAACATTTGTTGATTTTTTCTTTTGAGATTTTTATTCTTTCGATTCTTGATTGAATCACCTGTGAGATTGTTTTGAATGTTATTATAAGATACCGAGGGATTTGGATAATGCTTAAGAATAGAGGCTACTTGAAAGATTCATAATTAGTTTTTGAGATTGTTTTGAATGTGATTATAAGATACTAATGGATTTGGAACCTATATAACCTAAATTTCTTCTACTGGGAGAGGAATTGGCAAGACTGTTTTTGAGTTTTTTTTTTTTTTTTTTTACTTTGGATTCTGGATTGATTGATTACCTGTAAGATTGTTTTGAATGAATGTGATTATAAGATTCTGAGAGATTTGGATTATGGTTAGAGGATGTACTTCCATTGTTTGATGTATTTACAAACAATATATATATATATAGAACCTAAATTTCTTCAAGTTCTTATGCAATAATCCGATTCATTGACATTCCTTGTAGCTGTTGTACAAAATGTACTTCTATAAATCCTATAGAAATCATGTAATGAAGGGATTCTTATTTGCACAAATGGTACTTTAAACTAGAAACGATTACCATTTAAACTTGGAACTAGCATGAACACATTAATGATACTCTTTATCTCTGCCAAATATGAAAAAATTGGCATCACTTCTTATTATATTTGAACCTACTTCTTTGATTTAAAACAACTAAAGGCCATTATCACCGCTGGTTCTGGAATGCTGGAGCCTGGAAAGATATGACTGAACAAAAAGGTAAACCTAAGATTTTTTGACTCTCACGTTTGTCAAATGGAGCTTTTAAAATTATACCAAATAATAGCCCTAGCTCTAACAGCTACAAATAAACAATAAAGGTCCTAACTTGTTATGGTACAGTGCTCTTTAGGAAATTGAATAGCAAATAACATACAGGGTTAAACTTTTTCCATTAAAATCCATCAATTTGTACAGTACAAAAGTACCATCTTATTTGGATCAACAAAAGTGCGGGAATGTTGAAGTATGCCTGATGACAATTTCATCAACCAAGGCTGCATAAGATTTTAGAGGAACCCTGCCTGCAATCCCAAAGGTCTACCACAATTTCATCAACCAATATCTGGAGTATGTCCCCACCGATTTCAGCACCAGTCTCAAATGCTTCAATCTCAAAATCTGTCCATTTCCCCAAGGAATGACTGATCACCCTCTCAATTAGCTCATCTGGAGTCAACCCAGCAAAATCTGTCCATCTTCTAACTTCGTCAACTACCTCAATAATCAGCTTCTCAGCATTCATGTGTGATGGAAGTCTTGTCCATGCGCTGAACCCATATTTACAGTATCGACCATATCTTGAATCTAAATACTCTATCACACAGTCAAAAAGGAATTCCTGGAATTGATTCCCCTCTTCGGGATCCTCAAAACCGAGAAACCAGCCAAAATTCGTCCATATGAGACTAGAAAGAGTCTCCAGTTCGTCAAGGAGAAAGTAGCATATGTGAAAATTTGTTGTTCCTTCTGAATTATGTAGGGCTGCATTTCCAAACAACATTTCAGCATTAAAGATGACCTCTTTTGCATGGGTGAGCTGGCTCCCTTTTAATCTGGTGTCAGCAATGTTGGTACGGTATAATACTTCAGAAATTTGGTTGAGGAGATAAGTCACGAGCTCACTGCCATTCCTCCCTTTGTTTAGTGAAGTTGCAGAAACCAAAATATCTGCATCAGTATCTAATGGCTGTGATATGTCATAGGAGCCATCCAGGGAGCGACAACGAAGTTTGTGTTCTGGAATGAAAAAAGAAAAAGAAAAAGGACCTATATATATAAGCACAAGAACAAGAAAGTTCAAATAATGCCAGAAATGAGGTATTCAATCTTTATGAAGCCATTCCCAAAACTCGTAGCAATCACAAGGAAGTTGAGACTCAAGTCATTTGCACACATTCCACAGTAACATGGAATTTTATTTCCTTACCTGAGTTATCATCAAGACTGTTGGAAAAGCAAGTATCATTCGAAAAAGAAGCTTCAAGTACCGATCCTGGGCTAAAATAATCCTTGTCATGTGAATACGCCCCGAATGAAGTTCCTGGTGCTCTTGTCTTGGCCTAACGTGAATAAAAATAAATAAATAAAACATCTTAGCGGCTCTAATAGAAAACAAAAGGAGCAAGAAAGATCTAAAGCACCTTTCAAAAAAAAAAAAGAAAAAAAGAAAAAAAAGAAGAAGAAAGATCTAATGTGGACAGCAATACTGACTCTAATGCTGGCAAATTATTTCTAGAACTGATTCCTATATTGGAAGTTCCTCATCAGTTATTGAGCAAGAACAGTTTCTACTATTATGAAAGATTAAGTATTGAATTTACAATATTCTTAGAATTTTAAATTTATCAATTTGAATAAAATGATTTATATTAAATCTTCACCAGATGATTCTAAATTTTTGTTCAAAATCCTTAAAACATTGGGATTAAGGGGGGCCCAGCTTGTGGGTTAAGGAAAGAAAACTTCTGAGGAAGATCAAGGCATTAAAAGGGTTTGTTAGAGATGATCCATGGAGAACATGTAGAAATATAGGGTCAATCTTTTCAGGATAAGGCACAACATGCTGAAGCAAAGAGGCATGGAGTGAGCTAGCTGGGTAACCCAAAGCCAATAACAGCACTCATAAGAAGCCTTTCAATGCCAGTTCAGGAAAATTAATTCACGGAGCAATTTATGGAATAATCTTTAAACTATATCCATCAACAGATTATGCTCAAAACCAGGATTACAACAATATTTGTTTTCTCCATGTCAAATCATACAAATATTCACGTGAAGAGTTGACACGGAAAGATAATTTCATTTTTGTTAAGCATCCACATAAACTTGAACTCTCGTCGTCAGGGTGAAACCAAGCTACCAGATACCTCAATATTTTATACTAGAATATTTTATTTTTTCTTTTAGATTTATTTAGTTATTTGTAACAACCAGCTTGGTTGTTAAACATCATTTTGTGAGTTTGCATAACAATATAGAAATTCTTAATTCCATTCTCATAGTTCATAGTCATACTATGAGTGGGAAGACAAGTCAAATCACAATGATTTTGTTGGGCACTTCATAATTTCTTCATCACATGCATATTTCTTTCAAAGTTATTGGGAAAAAGGAAAAAAAAAAAAAAAAAAAAGAAAAGATTTACATAATTTGTATTCATTCTAATTCAGATTTGTTCCTTGTTTTATGATTTCATTTAGAATTTTTGGTTTTTGCTTATTTTTTTAATTTACATAAAGTTAGGGAAGTAGTTTCAATTGATATTATCTGATGTCTCATAGTTACAGCTACCTCCATACCATACTTAAAACCATACACCGCCTAGCGTGATTCAATAAAAGAAAGCCATGTTGTATGAACTTTGAAACTATTCAAGAAGAATGTGTACACTAAATAATTATTGGACGGTCACACACCTTCAAAAAACCAACTCTCGACTGAACCAGAATAGAACAAATGTTATTTGAATACGACTACCAACTAGAATAGTTTAAACAGAAAAAAATCCTGCCAGTTATTTTGATGTAAGAATATATAACAGCTGAGATTCTACTAAGCCACGTGCAAGATTGGTGTACAACTTTCCTGGCTAAAAGTAGTGTGTACTGCCCAATTAATTATGTTTAAAGGCATACAAAAGTTGACAAATCAAGCCCACCAAAGCAATATTATATACAAATCAGACCAAAAATAAATAAATAAATCATCTTTGCAGCATCGAGGTAAACCAACCTGGAATGACTCATCCAGAGAAACTGGCCTCTCTGTAGTCAAAACAGATATTAGCTCTTTGTGAACCATAGCAGTGGCTCTCTTCGGTGGAATGCCTTTGTTTGCCAAATCATCCTCTTCTTGGCCAGTCAATTCCTTCAATTGTTGTTTTAGAAGGGCACCCAAAGCATTTCCACTCGATGGGAATGGTTTATGAAAGCATGTCTTTCCATCACTATCATCCGCTGTCAAAATTTGTTGCAGCATACTATTACAACTAACTCCATTTTGACGCCCTCTTTTCTCCATTTCTGTGTCAATTCCAGTTTTGTGCTTCATTGGGAAATTAAATGTGGAATTGATAATGCCATTGCCCTTATTAATAGCAGTTCCTTTATGTTTTCTCATATGAACCAATTTCCCTTTGATGCAGGTACTGTTCATAGAGTGAGAATCAAGTCCCATCCCTTTCCCAGTCATTTCATCACACCTAATAAGTCTTCGTTTTTTGTCGGTGGAACTGTCAGAACTATAGCTTTTGCTTTGGCTACCAGGATTAATTGGCCTCCTCTTTGGCAATGAGGATATAGAATCGTCACCCCTGTTACAAGATTTCCTTTCTGCAACAGAATTAAGGTCATTTACATTAGCTGTTATCCTAGTCCTGGTGTGACCACTTCGGTTAAAACGAACAAGATCTTTGGTGCCATTAACAGCATTTGCAGCAGAAGAGACTGTATTGCCATGCGGATTACTTAACTTTGACTGTGGTGGAACCCTGTTCCTGCCTAGCGGCATATGATTTTGCATTGGTGTCTTGTGCTTAAAAACAATGGAAGATGGTACATCCTTTTGAGGTATGCCCTGTTTACTTTCAAGATGGCCATTAAGCTGACCTTCTTGATTAAGAGGCTTTCTATTTGTGTTTGCAGCAGCACGAATTTGTATATTTTTTCTTGCCACCATAGATGCAGATTGCTCTCGACTTTTCTGAAGAACTTTCTCCCCTTCTTCCTCAAGGGAGGACATGGGCAGTCTTGGCTGACTCCTTTCTGAACCCTGAGAAGAAGTGTTGACATAATTTGGGACAGGGGAAGCAAAAACTGATGGCCTTTCCTCCACATTTGTTCTGGACTCGACAACATCTAGCAAGTTGCCACAATTTTTGCAGGACGATTGCTCCTTCAATTGCTTGGCTGCACAAGCAAAATAACCAGAATTTTTTGATATATTGGGTGATAGAGCTATTTTTTCCTCCATGACATGTTTAGAAGCATGATTTATAGTGTTCAAGTAAGTAAGAGCATATTTTGCCCTACTCGTAGCTTGCAACCGAGGTTCCAAAATGTTAGCAGCAGCATCAATCAACCGATTGTTCCTACACACATTTCTCCCAGACGGAAGCCTTGAACTCTTCACCAGAGAAGTGAGTTTAGAATGATGTTTTGTAGATCGCGACAACAAACTCTTGAATTGCAATTCATCAGCTCTGAACCTAGTCAATGGCTGTCTTCCAACTGGCGCTGTCTTCTGAAGCTTATGAGGCCTCAATTCATGCTTTGTCGTTTCCTTCTCAGAATTCACATCTTCCCTAATAAATCCATCATGGCTATTCACGAAATTTTCTTGGCTGTCACTCAATGAAGCTTTCTTTAACTTTTCTGGTTTTACAGTAGGCATATGTTCCAAGCCCATAAGCCTAGCAACCAAACTAGGAGCTCGCATTTCATGCTTTTGCTCAAAATCAACATCACGACTCCCATTTTTCTTCGCATTTGGAAAACCCCCACAATTTTCATCCGCAATCTAACATTCACACAAAATCAAGAGTACCCAAAAAATAGAAGGATTCAAATAAGCCAATCATGAAAAACTACCAAGACAAATGCATGAAAACAAGGCATTCAAAATGCATACCAAACGAAGCTTGGGTAGCTTCTCATCTCCTCCAAACTTCTTTGAAGTATGTTTTGCACGAGCTGACACAATGCAACAACAAAAATGAAACATCTTAATACTTTTTCGCTTCACAGAAACACATTCAAAAACATGTACAAGCAACAACATCAAAGCACCTCTGTTTCAAATTGTAAAAGACACTAACCTGGTGGAAGCAGTTTCTTAGAGAAGAGCTTCTTGTTGGCGAACCTCCGCTTCCAATCGAAGAGCTGAAAGAAGATACCCACACAACCGCCATGCCTGTGAGGCTTCTTCTCTGTGATGGCTAAAGATGAATCCGTTTGACCCGCACTATCATTCATGTCTCAAACCCTAAATTGAATTTCTTCAATTTCGCTTCAAAAGCAACCAAATTGCAGAAACTTGCATAAAATCCATATTATAAACCCTTTATTCCTCAAAACAAGCCCTGCATTCACACATTAAGGCACAAAACTCTCCACTGAAAACCCCTCTCTCTTTCTCCACTGTTGTGTCCCCTCAGAGAGAATTCTCTCACTACTGTTATTACATGTCCGCGTGTTTGTAAAATTAATATCTTTTCTCTCTCTAAAATCACATTGAAACAACATGAAATGCTCCACATCACTGACAATGAAGGAATCTCCAACAATGCTGCGAATAAAATGCCCTCTCTGTGTAAGCAACTACTATCACAGTAATAATACAAATGTAACATTCCTGCAATTCTCTCTCTCTCTCTCCACCTGACAAGTCAGGTGGAGAGAGAGAGCGAAAAGGCATTGCTCACAGGAGAATATCTGAGCACATACATATATACAAACACTATATATGCAAGGTATGTTGTGATTTTGAAGCTCGAGGTTTGTGTTTCTGCTATTAGCAGATGAAAAGGATTTTGCTGTGAAAGCGGCTGGTCTTCCGTTTTTACTGCTTGGAGAATGTAAAAACTACTGTAAAAAGTAAAAATTGTACAGACTATGAAGTGGATTTGTTAAGGGAGGCTAAATAGGAAATGGATAAATAGAACAGAGCAGACCACGATGACGCCCTCACCATTGAAAGGCTACGCCAGTGCGCAACAGACGGTGACACGAGTCATGACTTAGGAAGGAGTATCACTTACCCGTGACAATACGTGTATAGTGTATCAATTCCCCACGAATATTTGTGAATTCGTGTCGTACTTTTTAAACAAATTTATAATTTTAAAGTATACTTTTAAATTTATAACACGTGTTTGTTACATCTTACATAGGTTTATCTAATACTTATTGGATATTTCATAATACATTTTTAATAACTTTTAACTAACTTTTTTAACAACAATTACATAATATAATTATAGAGAAACATTTAAATTTTATTAAGTGGTGATTAAGATGCATAATAACATAATATAATTGTTGAGAAAAATTCAAATTTTATCCAGTGTTGAGTAGAGATACTTGTTTTACGTGTTGTGAAATAAATTCTTTTATTATATATTAATAATTGTATTTAGGTTCATAATATTACAAGAATTTGATTAAAATATATGTATTTTTGTATATAAAAATTGTTTTTATCATTATTGTTATTTTTTTATTGTGTCTCGCGTACTTTTTTTCTTCTTTTTTTTTGGATATTCAACGTATTGGTGCAGATATACAAACACAGTTTGATATGACAGCTCATTCTACAACACTTTACGCTTCTGTAGATATAGACTTTTGTAATACTGTATCTAAATATTCTAGATATTCATTTGAAACGGTTGAATAGGACACACGTGTATTGGTCTGGCTTATTAATAACATGCCCCACCCCAAATATTGAAAGTGCAGTAAACATTTTCTAATGCAAAAACAAGCCTTTGGTTCTACCTCACCTTAGAAAAAAAATTTAATTCACTCAAATTCTCTCACTACGCTTAGTTTACTAGTGAGAATGCACACTAAGTATCAAATAATAATAGTCAAGTAAAATATTTATTAATATAAAAGTTGAATTCATCTTGCACGTATGACGACTACCGTTATTTATTTACAAGAACTACTTGGAATTAAGGTCAGCAAAGAACCAGTATCTAACAAATGCGCCGTCTTATTTTTCGATTTTTTTTTTAATAAATGACTACTCCGTATTTTACAAGTCATAATTATAAATATGATTGTATTTAAAATCAACTTTGCAAATCATAATTATAAACAAGATTATATTGAGAAAAATATTTTGTACGAATTATCCCATTTAGTTGTAAAATGCTCCCTTGACTATATTTCATTAAATGACCATAATATTTTTTTTATTGAATTAAGCTAAATCAATTTTTCTTATTGAAATAAATTATGAAAAAAATTTCGCACTAATTTGATGACAAATTCTCCATTAAATTTGCATAAATTTACTTTTAATTTTAAAATTTAAATTTTTAAATATAAATATTAAGTAGAAAATTTAAGAACAATTAAAGTAATTTTTAAAATTTTCATGAATATATTGCATAAAAAATAATGTATTTTTTTATTTAAGTAATTTATTAATTTCATGAATATTTTGCATGAAAAAGAATGTATTTTTTATTTAAGTAATTTATTAAATTTTCATGAATATTTTGTATAAAAAAGAAGGTATTTTTTACGGTAAAAAAGTTTTAAGTGAATATAATAAGTTTTATTATAAATAGTAAATTTTTAATAATAAGTTAATCATTTTAAAAAATGGTTGTTACAAATATATTTATTTATTTTTTTATTTTTATGATAAATTGATATAATAATAAAATTAAAATAAATGGTAAAATTAATATTTAGATTAGAGAAAAAATAATAAAAATAATTTAATAAGAAATAACAAAGGTAATGAGAAAGGGTAAAATAGTCTTTTGTGGTGATTTTATCCTTAATTACAACAAATTAATAGTTTACGGGGCAACTTGTAGTTCGGAAATTATTTACAAAAGGACAATAATTTACGGAGTTTTTCGCACTTTACCCATAAAACTATTTAACACAATCTAATTATAAATACGACAACTTATACACTAAGTATACGAGTACTTATACATTTAGGACCAAATTAACCTCACCATTTTAAAATATTTCCAATTAGTAGTTTTTTTTTCTTTTTTTTCTTTTTTTTTTTTTTCAACATATATGAATTTGGTTTGGGTCACGGTGGGTATGTTCATAGCTCACAACTTAATGGGCTTCCAAAACTGATTTGCGCAGACAGAGCGGGATGAGGTGGGGTTGCGTAACGGTTATATGAATTTGAGTTAAAGTTTACCCTAATTTATTAATTAGGTTTACTTTTAAATTGCAATTGCAACACCTTTTAGAGACATAAAATGTTAAAAGAGAGAGAAGTTTAGACGGTGGTGTAGAGGAATCTTGGATGGGTGGTGATAAGGATAAAAATAATAGGCAACTCAAAGTCAAAAGAGAAATAAGATAAGGGTAAGGGATTTATTTTACCCAAAATCTCTATGGAATCATAAAAAAATATCTGGTTACCATATGTAACCAGAGTTACCATTCCTGTAAGAAGGAAACGATATCATCTTGGATCAGGGAGAATCTCGTTTCAACAACTACTACCACTAATGCTTCTATAAAAGAGATGATGGGTCAACCTAAAAGGGTACGCCATAAATTTTATATGTAATCCTTATCGGATATTAGATCGTCAAGTACTAACTTGACCGTTGGAGTGCATCCGGCCGGCACCACGCCGGTTATCACTTCTCTTGTTTTGCAGGAATCGCCACCGACTCAGGAGCATGTAGATTTTTTGCATCAACAATTGGCGCCGTCTGTGGGACCGTATTTAGTCATAACAAATCATGGTTCGTACAAGGAAAATCTACAACAAAACTTAAAAGTAATTCAGTCCCTTTACAATCTGGCTTTCTCTAAATGAAAGAGAACAGTTCATGGATTGCGTGGCCAAAAACAAGGGTACAGTTGCTCAATCCAGTAAAATTGCTGGAAAGCCTATAATACCCCTAATTTTAAAAAGGATATTCCTGGTATTTAATGGTATTTAATTTATTATGTAAGTGCATTTTATTTGATTATGTGTCATTATTTTTTTTATTAGGTGCTTAATTGTTTTCTTTTGTGGTGATTTAATTTATTTAAATGATATTTATTTTTAGTTATTTGATTGTAATTACTTGTTAGTGTTTTAATTATTTAATTGGCATTAATGGTTTAAGTGTAATTGGTTTAGTTATTTGATTGGAATTACTTGTTAGTGTTTTAATTATTTAATTGGCATTAATGGTTTAAGTGTAATTGGTTTAATTATTCTATGTGTGTCTTATTTTATGTGTGTTTTATTTGGTTTAATTGGGTTTACTAATTATTATTTTGTTCAATTAGATTATTTGTTAAGTATTTAATGGTGAATAGGGTAATTAGGTAAATACATCTAACTAGGGTTTTAATTACAGTATAAATTAGGGTTTTATATTATAGCCGTCGTAGGTTTCTACGTTAATTGGATGGGCCGGTTAGGATTGTGAGTTGGACTTAAATGAACCTAGGGTTTAGGAAAACTCTATAAGTATAAGGTAGACGTCTGTGTAGGGTTTTTTTTAAACAAAGCACACGTTTTGTGGAAGTGGAGAAGGAAAAACGCAGTTTTTCACATTCTGCCAAGGTTTGATCAAAGCTCCAATCCCGCTTCGTCCGTGGTCCGATCGAGCTGAATTTTCGAGGAGAGGTTCATGACTCAGTGACGCACAATCTGAACGGTGCAGATCAGAGTTTGACCTTGGGAACAGTGATTCGTACTAGTGAACAGTAAATGGGTAGCACAGGTTTTTTTTCCATTCTACCCAGATTTCATCAAACATCCGATCTCGCTTCGTCCGTGGTCCGATCGAGCTGAATTTTGGAGCAGAGGTTTACGACTCAGTGACGCACAATCTGAACGGTGGAGATCAGAGTTTGACCTCGGGAACAGTGATTCGTACTCGTGAACAGTAACTGGGTCGCACAGGTTTTTTTTCCATTCTGCCCAGATTTCATCAAACATCCGATCCTGCTTCGTCCGTGGTCCGATCGAGCTGAAATTTGGAGGATAGGTTCATGACTCAGTGTCGCACAATCTGAACAGTGGAGATCAGATTTTGAGTTCGGGAATAGTGTTTCGTACCCGTGAACAGTAACCGGGTTTTGGAACTCACCGGGATTTTTTAAGAAGACGACGTTGAAACTTTGAACAAAAGTTTCTGAGGCAAGATTCTATCCTTACTCTTTCCCTTAGGCTTCATACTCTTTGCACTCTTAAATGATTCCAGGATTAATGAAGATTAAACCAAACTAAAATGATGTAATACCCCTAATTTTCAAAAGGATAGTCTCGGTATTTTGTTTAATTGTTTTCTGTTCATTAATTGTTTTTAGTTCATTAATTGTTTTGAGTTATGTTTTCATATGTTTTAATTGTTTTTGGTTCATTAATTGTTTTGAGTTATGTTTTCATATGTTTTAATTGTTTTTTTTAATTATTTGTTTTCCTTGCCTTATTTGTGTTATTTGAATTAATTAGTTGGTTTATTTGTTTTTTTGGGTTTAATTTATTTATTTAATTTATTTGATTTATTGACATTAATTATGTGTTTAATTGTAATGATGTTATATTTAATTCTTTATTGTAAATTTAAATTGGTAAGTGCCTTGATTTAATAAGTAGGGTTTTACTTTTAATCAGTTTGTAAGCCGTCGTAGATTTCTCAGTATGTTGGATGGGCCGGTTAGGATTTCAGTTGGGGCTTGAATTAATTTAGGGTTTAGGAAATCCTATAAATATATGTTAGATGTTTGGTTAGGGTAACAAAACCAAGTATACGAC